TAAATTATATAGGGTATCCTACCCTGAAACCATATTCCAGCTTTCTGGAGTTCCCTTTAGGGGCTTAGGGCGTGGTTCACGGAGTTTTTCAGGTTTATGTTTCAGGGTTCAGGCGTTAGGTTTCAGGGTTAAGGGAGTTTAGAGTTTAAGTCAAGGGGCTTCGGGTTTAGATTTGTGGGCGTCCAGCCACGCTACAGCCGTTTAATCTACGTATTTCTTGCGACACTGTATGTGAAATATCTGGAAAAGAAGAAAGGATTGGGCTAACTTCTTGAACCCAAAGGGTCCTATGTACTGTTATGGGGGATACTTCCCTAAGTCATAATAGTAATTCCTAATATGGAAACCCTAGATTCCACTATACCGGTGCATAGGACCCTTTGGGGAAGAGTCTTGATTGTATTCCCCGTCTGCCTGCCAGAAAGTGCATCCGGCTTTCAAACCCGGGTGCTGCGATCAGAGCCGCTTGCCGACATGGCTTCTGTCGACCAGGAATGCCACCCTGAAGTCCAAACCTGGACACTCAATGCTCAGATGGCCAGGACTTACGTGCCTCTAAACGCTGAAGCCCTTAAACCCTAAACCCCTAACCTGCCATCTTCTCATCGTTCAGGCCACTATTGTTATCAAGGCTACTGTACCATAAAGGGTACCATCAGCGTACTCTATCGACAGCCTTGCCTGGCCACTATTGTACTGGTCCTTCTTGTTGCGGCTGTTTCAGCCCAGAAAATCGAGCAAGGGAGCAGGAACAGGCAAGATGGTGGCCACATGAGGGAGTTTACTATTACTAATACTAATACTAATATTCATACCAATACTAATACTAATATTAATACGAATACTAGTACTAATACTAATATTAATACGAATACTAGTACTAATACTAATATTAATACTATTACTAATACTAATACTAGTATTAATGCTGCTGTAAGTCGCATCAACCGGCAGTCGAAAGAATCCAGCTTGTATTCAACGCGCAAGCCTAATCCCCAAACCTTATTGGCTGTAACCTCAACTTTTCAACTTTTGGGGTTCTTGTAAGGTACTCGATTCTGAATGTTTCAAGTTTTGTTTCTTCGGGTCTTGTGCCAGTGATAAACTTAAACCCAAAACCCTTTTCCAGCGTCCTCGTGTTTGGGCTTCGGGATAGTAGAGAACTGGATTTCCTGCCTTGCACCAAAACCTGGGCGATTCTGCAGAATCGCATGACGTGCGGGTCTCGTCTGTCTCCGGAAGACAGCAGCCTCTCAACAAAAAAACCGCGTATCGATCTAAGTATTGGAGGGGTTCAAGGCTTCTTACTTGGGAGTTTGAGAAATATGGGGGTTTCCGAAAATTAGAGGTACCGTATTTTGGAGTCCTTATAATAAGGATCCTACTAGTTAGGGTACCATATTACGGTCCCCTATTTTCGGAAACTCCCAATATAGAATGACTACAGACCCTGAACGGTAGGATCCTTGCTAGCAACAGAGCTCTTAACACAGACCCTGAAAAGGATTCTTGCTATCACAAGGGTCCGATCACCCTGCCAACGCATTTTTGGTCGATCACCGTCATCTCCGATGGTGACTTCCATGGTCGAAAATTCCCCCTGCCAACGCATTTGGTTCAGTTTAGGGTTTCGATTTTCAGATTCAGGCCCAAGGCACTGCCGCTTAGTCGGCTTGCGGTTGGAGTAGGGCTGCAGGTTGGGGAGTCAGAGACTCCAATATCCCTTAATTAAGGAATATTCCTTAAATTATAATACGATCCCTAATATGATTTAAGGAATACCTTAACCCTGAAGAACCTACCTTTTTAAGGACTTATATAAGGAAATCATAATAGGGAACCCTAAAAAGGTAGGTTCTTCAGGGTTAAGGTATTCCTTAATTAAGGGATATTGGAGTCTCTGGGGAGTCAGGGCGTAGCGTTTCGAAGAGCGGTGAGGCTCGTCAACGGGAGATGCCAGAGACCTGCAATACAAAGAAAAGGCTCAGTGCCAGTATCCAACACTGGGTTGAGGCATCCCGAAACCTGCACCGTATCTACGTACTTGAACTACCTTACCCGATTTTTGTGTAGGTTCTTACTATAAGGTATGCGAAACCCTAGTATCGAATCTATATGGGCCCTGCAAGAGAAGTAGGTTTTGGTAGGTTAAGGTATGGCTCTTGGGTAGGGTTCTGGTTTGTTCATGTTTTGACCCCCGGTTTCCTTGCATAGGTTTTGTTTACCTGTTTACCTTCCAGCAGTAGAGTTATAGGTTATAGAATTTTGAAGGCAGGCCTGATGGAATCCTTGCAAATCCCTTTTGAGCACAAGCCCCTTTTCAACCTCACAGGACCCTCAACCCTAGACCCTGTAATTGTAAAGCTTAAACCCTACTTAAAGTTATGATTTAAGTTCCTTGTTTTGGTTAACCAAAAATTAAGTATATTATAGGATTCTAGCCGTAAAATTGGTTGACCAAAGAAGGAAACTACGGTGGAGACTAAAGGTAAACCCGAAACGGTGGAACCGGGCCACCTGTTGCTCCCCGCTCTTCGCTACCAGTGATGCCAGACGCACCGGAACCTACACCCCCCTCAAAAGCCCTCAAGCTCTAAACCCCAAAACCGCGCAACCCTAAATCCTGGTTTAACAAACCACCCTTTCGCAGCCCAAAAAACCTTAACACGTCTTTAGCCACACGCAAAAAGCAAAACTTAGGGGTACTTAGAAATAGCTTTTTAGTTTTTGGTTATCATAATCCCTAAGAAACAGCTAAAATCATAATTTTTGCCAGGGTTCTAAGTTCAGTATAGAAAAGAGGAGCTCCTCAACCTGCCAGTTGGGGTCAACTTGCTGACTCTGTGAGATCGTGCCGCCGAAGACGGCTCCTTCAGCCGATGGCTTCCTTCCATGACGTTTTGGCTTCAGGTAGGGTTTAGGGTTTGAGGCGTAGGGTTTAGGGTTCAGGGTTTAGAAGGACTCTTGGGTTGTACAGGTCTTCAGGGTTTAGGGTTTTAGGGCTTTGTGATTTGAGGGCCCTGTATGGTTGTACTATGGAGGCCTTAGCAATTAGAATAGGGTTTGCAGTGTACTGAACAAGAATGATGTAATCGCCGAGGGCTCTCTAGCAGGAGTTCCCTGTTTCTTGCTGCTTCTACTTCCATACTACAGTAGGAGCCCTCAGCCCCAGACCCCTAAACCCGAACCCTTCAACTCCAAATTCAAAAACCCTAGAGTCCTAAATGGGTGGTTGTCAAAGTTAGGGTCCCTTTTGGGGTCCTTTATATAAAGCGGCACCTAACATCTAGGGTACCCAAAAAGGGACCCTATTTTTGACAACCACCCAAATCCTAAAACCTATACATATTCAACCCTAAAAGCCTAAATCTAAAATCCTATATGGCAGTACCCTGAATAGCAGGATCCTATTATAAGGACCACCAAATAAGGTACCCTTAATTTTCGGAAACTCCCATATTCGAAGACTTGGGGCATCGTGGTGGTCTCTCAAAGGGGAAAAGGAGGGACCCTTAATGGGGGACCCCTACCCTATAATGGTTTATATAATGGGTAGATATAGCTATATTAAGGGTATAGACCTAGGGGTCCGTATTAAGGGTGCCTCCTTTTGCCCCTGGAGTCTCTGTTTGGGAGGCAGTCCACCAAGGGCTTCGGTGTATGGCTCGATGTGTTACCGGTCCAGCGTGGAGTTTAGAGTTTAGATGGGTTTCGGGATGAAGGGTTTAGGGTTTAGGAGTTCAGATTTCGGGCCAGGGATGCGGCTTGAGGGTGTAGGGATTCGGTCTTAGTGCCTTCGGGACTGAGCCTGCAGGGTTTCGGTGATTTTCGGGGCCCTCGATGGTCCACCTACGGGTTTGCGTGCAGTCACCATTGTCGTGCCACAAGGAGGTCAAGAATGACGAAAGGTGCAACACTTGCCGTTCGGTAGGACAATGAGCGGGGTTGAGAAAGCAGGGTGGCAGAGCTGATCGTAGTGGTCGGGTGTCATCACGCGGTGAAGTCTCACATCAGGGCCGGGCGGTGGCCGTACAGTAATCCGTGCTTTGCTCCCGGGGACCCTTGACGACCTCGAATGAAAAAGTTGAGTTGCAGGGTTTGTTTGGGGTTCTCCGCCGGTAGCTTGTATGGTTGACCCAACGGTTTAGGGTTGAGGGTTCCCAATCCAGTCAATTAGGTTTCGAGTCGACTTCTTGCTATTGGTCTCATCTGCAAGCCTGCATTATAGGAGCACACCTCTTCCAATAAGACTGTCTGTCGACCTGAAGCACGGTCCGTGGGTTGTTTGTCAAGACGTTTGCAGGTGATGGCCCGCGCAGCCGTCTGAGCCTCGTAGAAACAACGACAAGAAACACTTTTACACATCACTTCTATGTACCATTGCTGTTGCTAGTATTTCACTGCCATGACTTGTTGCGGCTTCTATACGTTCTTACGATATTACAATTATTGCGAAATGTTCTTTCGGCTGAGAAAATGCGTGAACTGAAAGCGCCTTGAAGCCGGCTGGGCAGCATAGCCAAGGGCATCGCCCGGCCCCGATTCCACCTACTGTACCATGTGCAGACTTTGTAAGCGCATTTAGCACTATCACCGGTTTGACGACGACTACTTCTGTCTAGTTCCTGGCAGTGTTACCGCTTTCGCTACCACAAACCGCAAGCAAAACCACTACCACTACCACTATACCACCATCGATACCACTGCCTCCACGTCTGTTGTGGATGCCGCTGCTATCGGGAAATCCTAAACCCTAAACTTTCAACCCGAAACCTAAGCCTAAAACCCTAAACCCTAAGCCCACAACCCTAAACCCTACACCTAAAACCCTAAACCCTAAGCCCAAAACCCTAAACCCTAAACCTAAAACTTTAAAACCCTAAACCCTAGGCCCAAAACCCTAAACCCTAAACCTTAAAACCCTCAGCCCTGGAGGCATGCTGACGGAAAAAAGTGCTTAAAAAAAAACCCTAAGCCCTAGGCCCTAAAACCCCGGCGGAATGGAGGGCCCGTCATCCTTCGCAGATGCCGTGGATGCAGCAGCCGAGGAGGCGCTTGCCCCCTCGGGCATTACTATAATTCTTCTAGGACCTAGAGTAGGCCCTTATTCCCTGTTTTAGGGTTCAGGTTCCCCTTTAAAGCAAAAAGGGCACCCTTTTTATTCCTGGGTTACTCTTGGGTCTAGTAGGGGTACTTTAGAAATATTTTTTTTTGTTATTATAATCCCTTAGAAGCAGCTAGAATTGTAATTTTGCTAGGGTTCTAAGTTCAGTATGGTAATATTTGCCTTTACTCTTTCGGGGGGCTTCCTTATATTATAACTAGAATATAATGGGCTTCAAAACCTCGATTCTATATATGAAGGTCCCTATATTAGCTTCAGTTTTAGGTTTGGGCTTAGGGTTCAGGGTGTTGGGCTGTTTAGGGTATTGGTTTTGGTACAGGTCTAGAGGGTCGAAGAAGAGCTTCGAATTGTTCAAGGTTTCGGGGTTTCAGCGGCACGGCAAGCCCCAGGTTTTCCGGCAGCCCTTTCCAAGACCCTACGATCCTAAACCGGACATCCAAGAAGGCCTTCTAAGGTCCGAAACACCAACCGGGCCTAACCGCAAATGCTGGACCGAAGCCTTTCATCCAAGCCCGAAGCTGTACCGTCCCTCAAGACCCCCGAGCCCATCCCACCCTAAGCCCTCGCAACTCTGAGCCCTGTACCCTGCACCTTCAACCCTAAACCCTAAACCCCTCAACCCCTAAACCCCTAAACCCCTAAACCCTAAACCCTATACCCCTAAACCCCTGAACCCTAAACCCCTAAACCCTAAACCCTACAGATCCCTAAAAGGCTGCACCGCAGCCTATAGATGCTGTGCTGCCAACCCCAAAAACCTTGCAAAGCGGCCCCAAAGCCTAATACTAAACAGCAAACTCTGACCCTTCTATAGGGGCCTAAATAGTTACGAATACTATTTTGGGGGTTCCTTATTATAAGTGTAGTATCAATGGTTACGAATACTATTTTGGGGGGGTTCCTTATTATAAGTGTAGTATAATGGGCCCCAAAACCCTATTCTAATTATTGAGGCCCCTACCCTAAACCCGCACCGAGAAATGTTTCTTGCCTGCATTAGTCAGGTGCCTGACTTCGCAGCTGTGGAGGACCAGACGGTGTGCTCCAGGGCTTACGAAGACTTGGGGTGTACGATTTCAGCGCTGAGGGCTCAGGATTGTGGGTGTGGGGTTTGGTGCTCTAAGGTGGATGGTCTTGTTTGGTTTCGGTTGGGTATTTCGTGCTCTAAGTTCAGGGTTTGGCGTTATGGTTTACTGTTCTGTTCAAGACTTCCACCGGTTTTGGCTTAACCAAGTTTATGGTCAGTAAAATTCAGGGTTCAAGTATAGCCACAGAACCTTAAACGCCCAACAACTAAATCGTAAAGCCTAAACCCTATACCCTATACCCTAAACCCTAAACCCCTAAACCCCTAAACCCTAAAGAACCCTACTCTCCGAAACCCTAAACACTCCTCCCCTGAACTCTGAACCCGGAGCCCGGTACAGGAGGGACTTCGCGAGTTCGGGTGTGGTCTGTCTCTCATCGTTTTGGGTTTAGGGGTTTTGGGCTTACAGTAAACTCCATAAAGTTGGAAACCGGATTAGGGCCAAATAGTGCTGGGATTCCCTATATATTACTCTTAAGGATTCAGGCTATTGGGTTTCCAACTTTTGGGCTCCTACTGGCTTTCGGCTTAGGGGCTTAGGGTTTATAAGTACCATAACCCCAATTAGGGTCCCTTTTATATAGGGTACTTATAAGTCTACTTACTACCTACTTACTAAGTCCCCCGACCCTCCAAGTAGGAGCAGGGCCCATTAGTTTAGCAATCTCTCAACCTTACACTGGGTACCTTTTCAAAAATGTTAGTGCCTGGAAGATTTCTGAAATACTGGGCCTTGGGTCTGGTAGTAAGAAGATATCGCCCTTTTAGTCCCTGTAAGTATGATTCTACTACTATGATGATGTACCCAGCAGGCCCCCATGCTAGCCTCTTCGCTCGCTTCGTGTCATGGGTACTTCTTCCATCGAGTTCCTAGTCCAGGTCGTCAGGGCGACATGTTTTTTGTTGTTGTGGCACCGCCCAAACTAATGTAGCGCCCTTAAGAGTTACCGACCCTGTACACCGAAACCCCTCGATATACAGTTGCTTTTAACTGTTCCAAAACTCAAAGGGGAAAAGGAGGGACCCTTAATGGGGACCCCTACCCTATAATGGGCTATATAACGGGTATATAATATAATAGCTATATTCAGGGTATATACCTAGGGGTCCTTCTTCAGGGTCCCTCCTTTTACCCTTGGATAAACCCTCGTCTTATCATTCAGCGCCCCAGAACTACCCTAAACCCTCAACCCTACACTGACCTAAACCCTCAACCCTAAACCCTAAACCCTAAACCTTAAACCCTAAACCCTAAACCCTAAACCTTAAACCCTAAACCCTAAAACCTAAAGCAGGAGGATGGTGGCCAGTCGCTGAGTTATGCAGAGCTCTCCGCGAAGTCCACTGCTGCTGCCCAAGGACCGGGCTGGATGATTTCAACTTGGGATTGGAACACCTTGCTGAGGGGGTTCAGGGTTTAGGGTTTGGGGTTTAGGGTTTAGGGTTTGGGGTCTAGGGTTTTATTTGGATCTGTCCCTTAAAGAAACCATGACGACATAAAAGTCTATTCTTTCTTCTCCCTGGCTTTCAAAGCCCAGTCAAGGTGTCCGGGAGCAGAAAAGCTTTCAGTTATGAAGCAAGAACTTTGATATCACTGTGCTTATTCTTGCCTTGGTCTTTCTGACTGTGTAGCTGGTGTGCTGATAGCTTGCATCGCGTTCTGCTTCTGCAGTTGTTTGCCTCGTCCTCAACCCCTGAATCTTAACTCTGAATCCTAAACCCTACCTGTAGCCGGAAAGACCTACCGTTTTAGGGTTCCTTATTGTGGTTTCTAAAGATAGTTCCTTAAAAGAAGGTAGGTTTTTTCGGCTACAGGTAGGCCACAGCCTCATCCCCAATTCCCATAAACCCTGAAGCCTGATCGCTAAACCCCGAGCCCCTAAACCCTAAACGCTGCCGTGGAGTTCCGAGTTTGGACCTGTTCGAGCTGCGCTCGGATGGATCCAATAAGTTCACCACCCAAGCACGATGAATGAAGATCCGGATTGATAAGTACCTCTCCTTCAATTACTCTAGCGGCCTGAAAAATTGCCCGACCTTGTTTGATGGGTTCCTTATAACTTACAATATAACTCTCGTACGATGGCCCCCAAACCTGATTATTCAGGCTTCTACATTAGTGTAATCGTCATCCTGATGTTAGGGCCCCTAGATGAAGATGTCGTAGCATCCCGAGACACTGAGCTCTTCCCGAACCCCGATTCCAAGTCCTAAAACGGTGGCAAAATCATATTATGGAGTTTCCGAAAATAGGGGACCCTAATATAGTACCCTAAAGAGTAAGATCCTTATTATAAGGGCCCCAAAATATGGTACCCCTAATGTTCGGAAACTCCCATATAACCTTCCTACCTGTTCGAACTATTGTTCTTATCATTATGATTGTTATTATTAGTGTTGTTTGTTTATGTATTTGTGATATTTTTATTCATACATCTGTCCCTTATATCAAACCCCTAAACACCCGTAAATGTGAAGCCTTGTAAAACACTATTCTGGCTACGGCTGATGATATAAATCCTGCATTACCCATAGTAAGGAGCATACCATGATTCCCGTAGTTTAGGGTCCTTAAGGTAATGCGGGATTTATATCATCACCCTAAACCCTAAACCCTATAGATCCCTTAATGGAACCCTTTAAAGGTACCCCTATAGATCCCTTTAAAGGAACCCTAGGGATTTATATCATCAACCGTAGCTATGTAAGGGCCCCTGTGTCACGCCCCTCGGGAGAGGACTCTCGGCCCTCGGTGTCCGTCGCCCACATCCGCTGCTCACGGGCATGCGGCGAGGCAACATGGGAGTTTCCGAAAACAAGGGGTACCCCCTAAACCCTAAACCGTTACCTTAATTGGGGTCCTTATAATATGCATCCTATTATTTGGGGTACTGTTTTAGGGTCCCCCTATTTTCGGAACCTCCCTAATGGGGCTCAGGGTTCAGGGTTCCTTTAAAGGGATCTATACGGGTACCTTTCAGGGCTTCCTTTAAGGGCTCTATAGGGTTTAGGGAGTTTAGAATAGGGCGTTTTGTGAACAGGGTGTAAAGAGGGTTCTAGGCATAGGCGGCGTAGGGTTTTGTTTTTTTGGCTTCAGGGTATACTATGCTACAATGGCCAGTGAGACTCTGAGGAATAGTGTTGACAATGACCCACACTTCTACATCAGTGTGGTTGTTTTCGCGGGAAAGACCAATGTCACGATTGGCCCGAGAATTGAGCGTGACGACAGTTGCAGCAGCAGCAGCAGCAGCAGCAGAGCCATGTTTCCAATGGTTCAACACGGTAATCGATACAGACAGAGTGTACAACGTAAAGCAGACATGTTCAGGGTAATATGTGGTGACACTTGTTTTTCAGACTTGCCGATCATGATGTATAGCCAAACATGTAGTACTGGAAGGATGGCTCAGCATAGTTGTATTTTTTTTTGCGGTGTATGCCGACAGCGGCACTCGCAGCAACACATGTTAAAACGTTCGCCATGCATACACGCACTATGTCACGTGTTGAAGAGCAAGCTTCGGTGCTGCAGCAGTGGGTGGAAATCGCTGGCACATTCAGCAGCCCAAGCCCTGCACCCCAACATGCTTGAAGGTTCAGGGTTCAGGGGAATCCTGACAACCTCAAAGATTTTGAGCGTTATGATGATCCCGATCACACTCATAAGCCGAAAAGGACCCTCGCTGCAGGTTGCGATTGGTATGTTGTCTACGTGGCTTCCGCACGGCTCGGTGTGCCCGTTGTTCCTTGGATCATATCGATTTCGGGCAACAGCTCACAAGACACACAGCCAGAAAGAAAGTCCCCACGCTGCAACGATTCAGCAGTGCGCTTTCAACACTGGGCTCAGTAAATTTGATGTACGAGTGACTCTATGGCACACTATAAAGAGTTCTGCAGAGCGCACTTTGAACTGTATGACTTTGAGGATGCGTAGTAACTGTCAGTGTGAGTTCCTGCGACTGCGGCTGCTGCTGCTTCTCCTTCTCCTCGTCCTGCTCCTCCTATTGCTGCTGCTACTGCTACTGCGACGACGACGACGACGACTACTACTACCTCTACCACCACCATCACTGCTGCAGCTACTCCTGCCTATCATTGGCACCATTCGTGAGTTAGGCATATGGTGTTCTGTCAAGCCACCAGACATCACAGCCTTCAATAAAACCAGTGGGCAAGGCGATAACTTGGTATGAACAGATCTTGAGAACAGGATGCAGTAGGTTCAACTTCATTAAACATAGAATGTGGTCAATGCTGGTTTGTCCGTAAACGTTTGATGTTACCATGCTCAGCATTTGCGCTCAAGTTCCCGCTGTGCCGCTCTTGACTCGCGATCCTTCCCTATCAATGACGATGAGAGTCCCGGAAGTGGTTGGTGAACATGAGCTTCTGGTTGAGTCGTTTTATCCCAGTGTCCACGATGAAGAGAACCAGTATCAGCATGAGGCTCCAAGCAGCATTTGTGCATTCTCGTGGAGGCTTGCTGCAATCATGACTGTCTGTGTCGTTGGAGCTTGCTTGGCCTTGACAGATCGTGACATGGCGCAAGGGAGGCCGAGTGACGTCCAGAACAACACCATCGCAAGCTTCAACCCGTCCGTCCAAAAGGCCTTGTTGGATTGGAAGCTGAAGAAAGCAGTGGCCAAAGCCAAGGTCGAGAAAGAGATTTGGTGCTGGAAGCATCGGATTTACGGAGTCGATTGTCACCGAACCGCCAGCCATACTTCAACGACTACTCGTACAACGACTACTCGTACCACCACTACTAGCAGCACGGCCACTAACACGGTGGGATATTGCCAAAGCGGAGAAATCCTCTTCTCCTTCCCAAGTAGAGGCACCCGCGTTGTTGGTTGCATCAGGGGCCTTTCCTGTGACCTGGCAGGTCAAATAGCTTCATCGGTTGAAGTGTTTGAGGCACCCGAAAACGACCAACTGGGTGAGTTCGTTCCAGCCAGTCAAAGCAATATGTGGACTACCGGTCCTGGCTGCAGTGTTACCAGCTGTGACTTCGAATCCCGATATGCGACTGGTGCGAATCGGGCAACACTGGCAATGAGGAAGTATACTAGTGGCTTCGAATGTGCAGGAATTGGGAACACAAACGGTTTTATTACGCAGTGCCGCCTTCCTCCGGCAACCTTGATAGACTTTTTTTACATCCCTTGAGCGCAGCGGCAATTTGAGAATATTTGTCGATTTGGGACGTGCAACGTGTAAAGTGTACAAGGGCTCGTTGCTCAGCTGACTAAGCATCAATGTGCCTTAGCTGCATGTCCGAATGTCGGTGCAAGCTACCTTGGCTTGGGATTCGGGTTCAATTTCAACTCCTCTCAAACGATGGTTGAAGGTGTTGGCACTGCGGCACACAGCGCCAAAAATCCCTGTACAGATTTTGACAAGTTCGGAAGGGACAGATCGACCAAGGAACAACTGACAGGGTGGCCATCACTGTGAGTTGAGGGTAGTTGCATTCCAATTTTCCAAGGTGGTTTCAGAATTTCAGGAGACTTCATCATTGTTTTCTGGGTAACAACCTGTTTCGCTTATCAGCTTCTTTGGCGATGCATTATACTCTCCGAGCGGAGCAAGTGCACTGTTGCGGGGATTGGTGGACAGTACAACCTGGTGTCGCTTTTCTGCCGGAAGCAACGCGGTAGCACTACCATCTATCTATCTATCCATCTATCTATATACATTATAAAGAAATATAATTATATATATATATATATATATATATATACATACATACATACAGATGTACGTATATGTGTGTATATATATATATACAAACTGACCCTAAACGCTGAGCTGCATTAACTCGCGGCATCACCCTCGAAAGCCCCACTCAGCAAGGCTGCCATGGCGACCGAAAAGTATTTGGATCCCGATGCTCGAGCAAGGTCAGCTGGTCTGTTGCGGGCTTTCGGCGTCAGGGTTTCGAGGTTTAGCCATTTATGACTTTCCGAAAATGAGGGGTACCTTCTTTTGGGGTCCTTATATAATCAGGATCCTACTATCTAGGGTACTACATTAGGGTCCTCTATTTTCGGAACCCCCCCTATTATGGAGTTTAGATGTTGGGGGGGGAACCTGTAGCCCCAAACCCTACAAAATAGTAGGTTATGACCCCTTCATTAAAGGGTCTGACCCTTAAAACGGTAGGTTTTGGATCCCAGGGAAGAAGGTGATGCTTTGGGGGAGGTTCAGGTTCTGCTGGTCGTGTCAGTCTGTCTTCTGAAGCACGCCTTCTCGGGATTCGGAGTTCGCCATTGTCCGGATAATATAGTATTGTAAAGTTCAAGTATGTGCTTATTCACTTGTGTAGAAAATATGCTCGCAGAAATACTATCGCAGAAATACATAGGATAGTGCCTGTTTTACGTGGTAACTCTTTCCTAAACGCCCTAACACGAGTGCAAGCGCCAGTCTGGCATACTTCGAGGATCATGGGACTTAGTAAGTAGTTATAAGTACCTTAATTTGGGGTCATAAGTAATGATAAGTGTAGTTACTTTACTTATAGCCCTACTTACTAAGTCACATGATCATTTAAGCAGGCACGCTCAGTTGATAGTTGCTCCCAGGCGACGGGACCAGTTCTTGTCGTTGCAGCCGCAGCTGGCTGTCGCCGCATGGCAATCTTCAGCTTCTAATTAGCCTGGTTCCTGATTCGGATGAGATTCATTTTCCTATAATGATGATATGACACGTTTTTCTGTTTTAAATACTACGAAAATTACTACTACTGTGAATCATGGTATATTCCTTACTATGGGTAATGCAGGACTTTTTATCAACCGCAGTACTACCATTATTACTGTTATTATCATTCGGAGCTTCAAAAACATGGGCCATGGACTTCGGTGGTTGGAGCCCCAGGCCGGAACCCTTTGGCCACAATGAGATGCCGTTACTACGGTATAAATCCCGGGGTTCCTTTAAAGGGATCCATAAGGGTACCTTCAAGGGGCTCCTTTAAGGGATCTATAGGGTTTTAAGGTTTAGGGTTTAGGGATATAAATCCTGCATTACCCATAGTAAGGAATACACACACCATAATTCGCAGAGTTTAGGGTCTTTAAGTTAATGCAGGATTTATATCATCAACAGTACGGCAGAGGGAATGTAGGTGCCTTAATAAGTACCTAATTATACTATTTTTGTTTGGGGGGGGGTTCCTTTTAAAAGGGTCTTTAAGGATTGTTATAAGGGGTATTACAAGGGTTTAGTATAGGTGCCATACTACTTGCCTGTACTATTCTGGGTGTTCCTTAATAAAATAGTTACTATGGCAGACTTAGCTGCCTGCATTCTGGGCTTGAACCTGCTTAGGGGTTTAGGTTACGGTTTAGGGCTTAGGGTTTCTTATGTTGCGGAGTCCCTGCGAGGGTTAGCTTATCTCCAAGGGTAAAAGGACGGACCCTAAATAAGGACCCCTAGGTATATACCCTTAATATAGCTATTATATACCCATTATACAGCCCATTGTAGTGTAAGGGTCCCCATTAAGGGTCCCTCCTTCCCCTTTGATTATCACTGACAGAGCCTTCATCTTCAGCGCTTCTTTGAGTGTAGGACTGGTGTGCGGTTCTGGCACTGCTGCTGGGTTTAGGGTTTAGGGCCTAGTTTAGGGCTTAGGGCTTTAGGGTTTAGGGCTTTAGGGTTTTACGGTTTAGGGTATAGGGTTTTAGGGTTTAGGGTTTAGGGTTTAGGGTTTAGTGTTGTCGTTTTGCACATCGGTCTAATTGCTTGCCTGCTTGCATGCCACCCCACATGCATGGTATAGTTGTCCTTCCCTGTTGTTCTAGCATCCATGCATGCAAACATGCATGCATTGAGCCCTAAACCCAAAGTCACGACTTTTCAGTGTTGGGGCTTGGTGTAGAAGCTTCCCATGATGAACCTTACTTGTGACTTGTTTTGTCTTGGGGTTGAGACTTGTTGCATTCTTAGGCTCCTTGAATTAGGGTTGGGAGTTCGTTTGCTGAGGATTCTCCAAAGTATTGTTATGACGAGGCAGGGATTTGGGGTTTAGGGTTACGGGCTGTCGAAAAGTTTTGCACTGCGCCGCGGCCAGCAACCAACTTGGAGTGTGGCCGAGGTCGACGAGACCTGCGACGACGCTTCTACTGCCTGCTTGGCACAGGACGGGCAGGGCCAGTCGGGCTTATGGCTCAAGACAGTGAGTAAAGAAACTCGAATCCGTAGTACTGCACCACTGTATGGTTCCGTATTGGACTTACAGCAAAACATCCCCCCCCCCCCAACTTCCATTCGAATGATTGGTGTTGCTTGGCATGTGCAGTGGAGTGCTGAGATATGCCATTTCCCAGGCCATGGAAATCGTGCAAACAGCGAAACACCTGAAGCTTCAGGGCTTAAAGTAAAAGCCAGAAAGTTGGAATATGATTATCCTAAACCCTTTATGGTAAATTATAAGGTATCCTACCCTGAAACCATATTCCAACTTTCTGGAGTTCCCTTTAGGGTTTCTATCTCCATCTCGGGATGCCAACTTAAGATCTCTGAAGCTTGTCAAAAGCCCCCTTGCCCAGAACCCCATGGATGAACACTGTAAGCCTCGCAGTTTTTGTTGACCAGTTTTTGTCTCCTAAGGCCATTCTTTGGAATCGTTAGCTGAAGTGCAATGACAAACGGCTGCTTAGGGTTTCGGGTCAAGGGTTAAGGGTCTGGGTTTGTCGTCTTCTTACCGTCACGTTCTGACCGGCTGCAGATGCTGATAAGCACATATTGTTATGGGATGTTTTGGGGAGGGAGTTTCAAGGGGAGGGTGGTAATCTGGTGTAGTGATCCCTACTTCTCCCCAGTACTCCCTAAAATTCACCCTAAACCCGAAACTCTAAGCCTGAAACCCACACTTAAGGATCCACACGGTTTAGGCTAAACCCTGCACCGTCACTTAAGCAACCAAAAACCAACCCGAAACCCTAAACCCGAAACCCCGGAGCCTCCCTTAAGGATCCCTATATTACTCTCGACCCTCCCTGAAGGATCCCGTAGTAGTATCAGAAACCTTAGACCCTCCCTTTAAGGATGCCATAGACCCTCCCCTAAGGATCCACCGAAACGATCGACCCCACACCCTACACCCCCCAAGCGCTATAGTAACCCTTATGACCCTTATAGTAACCCCTATAGACCCCTTTAAAGGATCACCGTCCCTTAGAGATCCCTATCGCACTATAGATCCCTTTAAAGGAGCCCCTAAACCCTGAACCTTAAAAACAAAACCTAAACTCGACGCTCCCTTAAAGGATCCCATAGACCCCCCTTAAGGATGATAGTAATCCTTATGCCTTATAGTATCCCCTATAGATCCCTTTGAAGGATCCACCGAAAAGTTACCATAATAGGAATCTATTGTAAATCGTTTGAATTCCTTATTATGGGAATTTAAATTAAATCCCTTAACAACCACCCAGGACCCTAAACCCCTAAACCCCTAAACCCCTAAACCCTAAACCCTAAAATCTAAACCCCTAAACCCCTAAACCCCTAAACCCTAAACCCTAAACCCTTAAACCCTAAACCCCTAGACCCCTAAACCCCTAAACCCCTAACACCTTCACCAAACATCGGCTAGGATGCCCAGTAGTACCCTTATTCCCTTTTTGTAGTCCTAGGTTCCTTATAAAGCTACCCAATACCAAAAAGAGATGCCTTTTTATTCTTAGGTTACTGGGTATCCTAGTAACATATGGGAGCTTCGGAAAATGGGGGACCCTAATACCTGAATAATAGGATCCTAAAACTAAACCTTAAACCCTAACCCCTAAACCCCTAAACCCCTAAAACCTTCACCAACTAGGATGCCCAGTAGTACCCTTATTCCCTTTTTGTAGTCCTAGGTTCCTTATAAAGCTACCCAATACCAAAAAGAGAGGCCTTTTTATTCTTAGGTTACTGGGTATCCTAGCTACGGTTGATGGTATAAATCCTGCATTACCCATAGTAAGGAATACACCATAATTCCCAAGCCCCCCTTGAAGCCCCTTTGACCTTCACCAAACATCGGTGAGGCCGGCTTGGCCCTGCATCGCCTGGCTGGGTTGCTCTGCAAGAGCCCCTGGGATGGTCTCAGCCTTCGGGGTCCTTTGAAGGGCTCCTTTAAAGGGATTGGGGTTCAGGGTTTAGGGATCTACAAGGGTTTCGATAAGGGTACTATAAGGGTTTAAGATGTCTAAGATTTTGGGGGGTTTTGAGGGTTTAGGGCTGTTTAAGGGTTTAAAGGTTGGAGGGTTTAAGGTTGCAAGGGCTTTCGGTGTCAAGCGTTTACGAGATTAAGGCTCTACGGTCTACGAGTTTATAGGTGCAAGGGTTTGAGATGGTTTAAGGGGTTTAGGATTGTTAAGGGTTGTTTAGGGCTTGGTAGCGTCTAGGGTTTAATCTTTTTTGGTTTCAGTTCTTAGTCTTGGTTGCTTGTTCTAAAAATTTGAGGTTTGTTTGGGTTCTCGGCTTTACAGCTTTTGGGGTTGAAGGTGTATAGGGTTTAGGCGGAGGTTCATTTGGCGGGAAAGTTCAGGGTTTAGGGTTAACGTTTAGAGTTTAGGGCTTAGAGATTGGAGTTTTCTGTTGAGGAAATTGACGTAGTCAAATCGCCCACAATGTCGGTATAGGCATCAGTATCCATTTTTGACCATGGTGTATTGCTGTAGTCATTGAGAAGCCAAGTCGAGTCTTCCTTGTGATCCTAACCTTGAGCTCTACATGGACACGAAGGACTTTGAATTGTTCGGGGCCGGGTGTTGCTAGTCCTAAACTCCTAAACCCTATACGCAATCTCTGAACCCATAGTAATACAGCACCAGGATTGGGGATGTCCGGATCTTTAGATTGGGGACAATCGACGAATCAGTGCTGCATGCCGCGTCGTGATTTCAATGAGGACCCGTGTGGTGGATGAAAGAATCTAAAGGGAAGACATATTTTAATAAGTCTAGTATCTTGGGCCCTAAAACCCCATTCCAAAAATTAAGGCCCCCATAGTAAATGAGTAGGAGTCGCAGTCCCATAAAATCCCAGAAAAAACTGTACCAGAATCCCTGTCCTTCCTCCACCCGCCAAAAACCCATTCCAAACATTGGGGTCGGGTTGTGTTGAGCAGAACCCGTGATCTGCACTCCAGAAGGCTGAAAAAGCCCAAACCCAAAATCCTAAACCCTAGGAGGCTCGGAAGATTTTGTCACTGTCAGGGCCGGCAGTCTTCAAGAAAAGCCCGAGTCAAACCCGAGAGCCCTGACATCCGCAGCAGTGAAGCCTGAAGCCTTAAAAAGCCGCAGGGTCTTGGGATTGGGGTTTAGGGTTTAGGGATCAGGGTTTAGGGTTTATATGGGTTTGGGGTCTATATAGGGTGTAGGGTTTAGGAAGCTTTGCTGTAAGCCAGAACTAAAGCCAGCAGGCCTATGAAGTACGAGGGAAACGAGAGATCGCCACTCTGTGCTAGGTACCGGCACTTCTGCGGCTTCCCTGCTGCATTGAGTAGGGGTTAGGGGTTGAGGGGGTTCAGGGGTTTAGGGGTTCAGGGGTTTAGGCTACGAGTTTAGGGTTTTAGTAAAGGGGAAGGTGCAGATTAGGGCTTCGGGTTTTAGGGTGTCGGGAGCTATAAATAGGGTAGCAAAATACGCATCACTGCCCATAGCCCCAAGTAAGGCATTTCCAGCCTTACTAGCTGAGTCCACTGATACCCCAGGTAGGGGTTTTGTGCGGTTAGGGCGGGTGTTTGGCTGCCTTGGGAAGCCATGGGGTCTGTGACTGCAGTCTTTGCTGACGCTTGCAGTGGGCTTGAAATGAACAGTGTACTTTTAGGGTTCAGGGTTTAGGGATTTAGAGTTTAGGGTTTAGGATTCTAGACCTCGAACCTGAAATACTAAAGTCTGTAATTCTGAACCCTGTAGTCTTGCATTGAACCTCACCCGTCTAATAAGATCCTTAAGCGTAATCTCAGATCGCTAAACCCACACTGTAGCCGTTACCCCCGCGACACCCGTTGGGGCTTAGGGTTCCTAAACCGTTCATCACCTTTCCTGAGGAGCTGCCTGTGGACGTGGGCAAGTCCGATGCGCTTTGCTACTGTGCCTCGGCTTGAGTGACAGTTCATCAAGTCGGGAACTGATGGGAGACCAAAAGGGGGGTTTAAGATTCTTGGGGTAGGGATTCCTTAATATGAACCCTATTATGGGAACCCTAATCCGTACTAAACCTCCATAGGCTACAACCCCTTTCGGCCTGCTATGATGAACCCAAGGACCCAGGGTTAGGTTTAGTGTGCGTGGCTGAATTACAGGGTTTAGGCAGTTGGAGCATGTAGCTAAGCTCCAGCTGACCCTGGTATAGACGCTGAATAATAGCATCTTTATTGGAGGGAACTCTAGACGCCCTTGACCCCTAGTCCACTAGAAATCTTAAACCCCTACACCGTAAACCCTCACTTTAAAATGCAAAAGGTTCAGGACGAAGCGTTCTCAGGAGCTCGGGGTTCGTATCCGAAAGACCTCGGAATCCCCGAAAGCCGAATCTGTCACATTTAGGGCTTACCTTAACCCCGAAAAACCTACATTCTTAAGGACATATATAAGGAAATCACAATAAGGAACCCTAGAAAGGTAGGTTACCCATAGGCCCCAAAGCAGGGCCTTTTCGGGAGTACCTAATAGAATTCTATATATGAACCCCAAAAAGGAACTACTTTGGGGCCTTTAGGTATTCAGGGTTCAGGTAGGGCTCGGCAGCGGAGGCTATACCGGTGGTACCACGGGGCGCGAGCGATGTGTGGAGATCCACCATGGTGCCTGGGTCGGCAACGGGAGGGCTCTACCCATAGGCCCCAAAGTAGTCCCTTTTTGGGGTTACCTTATGGGATTCTAAATATGAGCCCCAAAAGGAACTACTTTGGGGCCTTAGGGTAAGTGTCTAGGGCTTAAGGCTCTGCGGCTTCAGGGTTCAGGGCTTGAGGGGTTGGGTTTAGCTTCAGGGGACTTCTTTCAAGCCAGGTTCCCTTATTCTGAGGCCCCTATGAAGCAAGATCCTACTCCGAAAGGCCTTGTACCCTGGACGCTCAGCCCCAAAGCACTGAACTCCCACTCTGCATGACAGGACTAACAGTAGCTCCGTATGGTTTCGCATTCCCAGAGGGCCCAACACCCCTTAATTAAGCAATATACCTTAAATAATAGGGGGCTTCATATTATGATTTAAGCTATATTCCTTAAGTAAGGGGTATTGGAGCCCCCTAAACCCTAAACCCTATAGATCCCTTAAAGATCCCTTAAAGGAACCCTAGGTATTTCTTAATTAAGGGGTATTGGGCTCTCTGGGTTCATCCCTCATAGAAAGGCCGAGCTTCGAGCAGGACAGCAGCGGAGCAAACAGCTCTGGTGCATCGTTCAGGGTTTAGGGTTTAAGATTTAGGGTTTAGGGTTTAAGATTTAGGGTTAAGGGGGGTGTCAGACTCGGCCCTTGTAAACATCTGTTGCCAGAAGCCCGCAGCGTGACTGCTTGGGTTGTAGGTACTTTACTTGTAGACACGGTAGGGTTCTCGGGTTTGGGGTATCAGGCTTGGGAGTTCATTTCGGGTATTAGGGTCCTAACCCCTGAAGGGTAGGTTTAAGGCTTCGGGCCTGAACCCTAGACCCTAAACCCCAAACCTCTCCTTGCAGACGGAAAAGGGTGTTTAAAAGCAAAACCCTAAATTGTGCATCCTAGAGGGCAGGTTTAGGGCCTATACGGCCTAGACCTTCTACCCAAAGCCCCAAAGCTTGCATAGGTTTAGAGCTTTAGGCCTAAACCCCATATCCTAAACCCCTGAACCCAGCACCCTAAGGCATGGCTTTGCATGAGCTGCGCAGCTACCCGACGGCATTGCGGCTTCGGCCGGCAACCCGTCGGGGACCCAGCCTTGAACCAGATGAAAACCCACGGTTTTAGGCTTTGGGGTTTAGTGTTTAGGAGTTTAGGGCTTTGGGTTTAGGAGTTTAGGGCTTTGGGTGTAAGGTTTAGGGTTTAGGAGTTTAGGGCTTTGGGTTTAAGGTTCAGGGTTTAGGCTTTAGGAGTTTAGGGACTAGCGCCTTAGGGTTGTAGGAGTTTAGGGACTTAGGCTTTAGGGTTTGGGGTCTAGGGCTTTGTACATGGTTTGTTCAACTGGTTTTTGGTTTTACTGTTGTGCGCCTTTCTGCATTACGATACAGTAGAAGCCAGAAAGTTGGAACATCATTATCCTCATGCCCTTAAGGCAAAGTGTAGGGGATTCCAGCACTATTCATCCTAAACCCATGTTCCAACTTTCTGGGACTAACTATATCAAACAGATAGTGCAAAAAACATACATGCATACATGCAGGGGCTTGTATGCAGGTTCCCATCTGGCTGTTTGCCTAAACCTTCCTGCTTATCTGTCCCACCATACATGCATACATACATATACATATACATATACATATACATATACATATACATACATATATATATATATATATATATGGACGCACCCCTATTTGGGGTCCCCTACGTTTCTCGCTATACCAACTGACTCGGTTATAACCACCAGACTTAGGTTATAACCAGCCGACTAGGTTATAATCAGGTGTACGTCATCGACTACAGTATTATATCCGGTTTGAAGACTAACCCGGGAAGTTGCAACAACCCATGCTTCCAAAATGCTGAAACCCGCACAATGCTAAGAATTCTATGACACCCTCGTCGAAACCCCGTTACAATGTGCTAAAATCCTTGCCTTGAAGCCGTCGATATATCTTCGTAGTTCATCTTTGTGTGACTGTATCTAAACCGCTGTATTTCAGTTTTTTCCAACACGCGCGCTGTAGTCATTAGTCTTCTTCAGTCATTCCTTATCGCGAACTAGATTTTGGAACGAAAAGTTCTCCATCTTTGCACTGAAAAAGCCGCAATCCCACCAAGGTCTCTGTTGTTGGACGCATTGCTATGACGTTTTGGCAAACTGATAGCTTTCAATGACATTTCCCTGTGCCCCTATGTGGTTGCTTTTAAACACTGGTATATCCGGTAGGTGTATTTGAGTGGTGCATTCTTAATTCTGCATGACGGCTGCCCCAAGCCAAAATTGAAAACTTGCATACCACAAGCTTAGCAATCGTTGTATAGTGTTTTTCCTGGGGGACGACATGAAGCGTCGCTTCTTAGGCTTGGCACTGTTTCTAATGCTGAGTGATGAAGCCTGTGCTTTTTGTATCAGCATACTTTAGCCATCACGCAAAGCCGACTGAAAATCATAAGGCGACATCTAGCTTGTCCGAATTTCTGTTTGTGTTCTTGTGAATATTCACTGAAGGTCGAATAGAAGCCATTGTTCCCAGTCCAGAACGTGATCCTCGTGATAGAAAAAGTGGTAACCACACACCGAATCACTCCTCGAAAGAGGTTCATCCATGTAGTTGGAAATAGCAGTGCTAGGAATGTTCTATGTACCGAGCGAGGAAACCTAACAATTTGCAAGCTGCAAATTTTGTTTCGCTCACCACACATATTCTTATCAGTTTTGTCTCGTCGAAATCCGGCTTCCTTGGAACGATGTTTGAACATAACGTTGCAACCAGTTTGCCTATGTACGAAGTGATGAAACCTGACCACGCTGTAAAATTTGAAATACTGTCTCCCTCTACAATGACGTCGTATCAGTCGTATCTCAACTTTCTGTGTACCGTCATATTCCAATGTTGACAACACTTACTGACCTACTGTAATCCCGATAGAGCCCCTTCATATTCCGCATTTTGATTCCTGGGTGTGTGACATGTTAGCGGCTATTCTCTCAATGTCATAAACCCGATGTACTGGAACGGACAGACCATTATGTAAAGTCCGCCATATAGCCTTTCCGCTAAAGTTGGGGAATGCGCATATGGTCCCCGGAATTATGTTTGTTGCAGAGCACTGCATCATGCCTCAGCAACCGAAGACATGCCAATTACCTCGGACCCTCTATTCTTCTAGTCCTTGTTTAATTTCATTGCGGTTACATTCACTGAAACACCGGAACTTTCGAACGTTTGGATTTAGGTGTTGATGAAGTAGCGGTGGCACAGGCCTGGTTATAACCTCTGTCCCCGGTTATAACCAGGACACCTGCGTAGTAGGCAGCCCTAGACCCATCACTAAACCATTAAACCATTAACAAACCATTAAATTAGTACACAGTCAAACCAATCCTTTCCCTTAATGGACCCAAACCAATAAACCATTAAACCATTAAACCAATCCTTTTGCCCCATACCAGTAAACCATTAAACCATTAAACCAATCCTTTGCCCCATACCACTAAACCACGAAAACATTAAACCATCAAACCAATCCTTTCCCCCTATGGACCAAAACCAATAAACCATTAAACCAATGCTTTCGGCCCATACAGGGATGTGTCTCTCTCTCTCTCTCTCTGTCTCTCTCTCTCTCTCTCTCTCTCTCTCTCTCTCTCTCTCTCTCTCTCCCTCTCTATAGGGGAAATGATTGGTTTAATGGTTTAATGGTTTAGTGGTATGGGGCAAAAGGATTGGTTTAATGGTTTATTGGTTTGGGTCCATTGGGGGATTGGTTTGATGGTTTAATGGTTTATTGGTTTGGGTCCACTGGGGGAAAGGATTGGATTAATGGTTTAATGGTTTATTGGTTGGGGTCCATAGGGGGAAAGGATTGGTTTAATGGTTTAATGGTTTGATGGTTTACGTGTGCAAAAACCCAGGGGGCCCCATATAGGGGGGTACCCATATATATATATATATATATATATATATATATTTGTATATGCATATGTTTAATTTAAATATATTTATGTGTATATATATATAATAGCAACACATGCACGTACACCTATGCAGAACATGCACATTTGTGCATGCAGATGTGCTTCAGGTTGATGCTTCGCATCTTCGTACATGGTCAAATTGTGCTGGGCGGTCCGGGTGCGCTCGGTACGGTGGATGATATAAATCCTGCATTACCTTAAGGGCCCTAAACTATGGGAATTATGGTATACTCCTTACTATGGGTAATGCAGAAGAGGAGACGTATTCAGTCAATTAGCTGCGTGTTGCCATGGTTTGGAGTTGTTGAGAGCTTGTAAGGTTTTGGAGTGCTTGAGACCTTGTATAGTTAAGTTATGCATGTCTGCTTAGAAGATGGCTGCTTCTGTTCGCAATAGCTCCTGAAGCCTTGAACGCCATCGGAGAAGATTCCTGCCAGCTGTCAGTCTAGGCTAGGCATCGATTTGGGATACTGGTTGATTTCCCTTATTGCTTAACATGGGGCCCTAAGTTGAGGTAATTCTTTTAGGGGCGGTTGAAATCGTCACCGTCGCTAAGGTGACTCGAGACCTGAAGATGTCTCGCCGGCCATGTTCGCTGAACCTTAGACCCTTAGAGCCTTAGAGGTACATAGAAATACTGTTTAATTTTCGGTTATTATAATCCCTAAGAAACAGCTAAAATTATACTTTTTGCCTTGGTTCTAAGTTTAGTATAGGACCCTGCAGCCCCAAAAAATCCCACCCGAAGCCACCAGAAGCTGCTTTCTTGTGGGTTCATCATAAGAGCGTACACAAACTAGATTATGGTAGTTTATGGTTGGCCCTGAACTGAACCCTAATCAACATCCCCTTCGAAAGCCAGATACCTATCACTCTGCGATACTTTGCATCTATGCACCGGTAGTGAGTGTGGGTCACACAGGGACAGGAACCTACCATGCAGGCAATTGTAGCTGTGGTTCTAGGGTCTTGCCATAGTTTCCGACTTGGGCTGTAGTCCTTTAAACCTCGGGCCCCTAAACTTCTAAACCCTAAACCCTGAACCCTAAACCCTAAACCCTAAAGCCCCTAAACTTCTAAACCCTAGACATCCCTGGACCCTAAACCCTCCATCCTAAACCCAGCTACGACAAGACTCCGACGATCTTTCGTCAAGCATTGCATGTGTGCCTGGGGATCTTAGAGGGTTGGTTGATACATAGAACTCTGGGTAAATACCTATGCTGTTTACTATTTGTTGAGGTTTCCTCAATAATGCGATTAAATGAAGACCACCACTGCTGCTTTTGATAAGAACTGTTCGTCATAACCACGACAACAGCGACAGTCGCAACAAGCTCATATCCCTCGTGAGCTCCGCTCGTTCAGACTCGACATTTTGAGGTGTCGACTAAGTGGCAGAAGCATGTGTCCTATAATATATTTTAATATACTACAATATAGAATATACCAGCGGTTCCAAGACTTCTCTTCAAGGCGTGTCTGCTCAAACCTTACCACTGGAGCCAATTCCCTGAGGCGAAGACCAAGTAAATCCAGATGCCCGTTGTTTGCAGCTGTGTAGGGCTTCGGGTTGCTCAGATTCTAGTGAAATCCATGCATGACTCTTGCTAGTCGCCGCTCCTTCCGGAGCCAAAAGTCGTTTGCACAAAGCAGTCCTAAACCATAAGCGCCAATACGCCTGGACCCTAAACCCTAGCGGCCCTAGCGACCCGTTTTCAGATGGCCTGCCTCAATCGAGGCTCTCTAAACCCTGTGCGGGAATAGAAAGCGGCTCTCACAAGAAAAAACCCTTGCGACACCCTAACCCTAAACCTTAGACCCTAAACCCCAAACTCTAAACCTTTAAACCATAAACCTTACACCGCCAGGCCATCAGGGTGTTACAGCCGTCCTCATTGCAGTGGGCAGCAGCCGTCTACGGCCCTTCGCTGAGGAACACCGAGATTTCGCGTGTTTGTTGGTCAGGGTCGGCTGGCTCGACCTATGCTGTTGAATGCTTCCGTAATCATCCGCAACGCATGCCCTGCTTTCTGGAGAGACATATTCATGTAATGTAATCATTTACTCAATTACAGTTCTGCTTGTTTTTGCGTTCATCTATCCATCCGTCCAACTATTTACCTACCTGTCTGCCTATATACAACTGTATATGTATATGTATACGTATGTATATATATATATATATATATAGTTATGGAGGTTTATGTCCTTATGTCTTGTTCTCACTTGTTTATTTTCAAACATACGCATATGTGCAAAGAGAAACTTGGATACCTGTTCTATCGACTACCTATCAATCAATCTGTCTCCGCCTATCTATATATCTTTCTATTTATGTATCGATCTACCTCTCTATCGATCTAGCCATATCTCTCGATCTATCTGTCTTTCCTTCTTGTTAACCTAGGTAGTCTATCTGTCTATCTATCTATTTGTCTATCTGTCTATATATCTGTCTGTCTAGATGTGAGCGAATTGGGTGCGGTCATGTCCGCGGTTGTTGATTTTGCGAGAAGCTCAGCCTTATAACGTGTCCGGAAATGCTACTCGTATGATTGCTGAAAGTTCCCCATGACTATCGCATAATTTCCCCGATACCCTTTCCATTTCTTGAAGTCCCTTTTCTTTGATCTTGATTGCAACTGTGTTGTGGCGATCGACCTCAAAGTATGAAGTGACCATTTCTTTGCTTGTGTGCTTCTGCCGTGCCGTCGCAGTAGTAATATACGCACCGAGATAAGTGCCACTACTACTACTACTACTACTGCTGCTACTACTACTACTACTACTACTACTACTACTACTACTCCCTGGGGTTCCTCCCTATAATTGTAGTCTAAAGGCGCCCAAAAGCCTATTCTCATTACTAAGGCCCCTATATAGAACCCTTAATAGTAGCCCTTAAGGTACCCCTCTAAAGGAACCCTATGGAGACCCTATTCTAATTATCAAGGCACCTATAGAAACGGTGCCAGCCGGAGCAGGAAGACAAAGAACTTCGGCAGATGGCTTTCAGTCATGCCGCGTCTTTCCTTAGAGTTTAGGGTCTTGGGTTTAAGGTTTTTGGGGTTTAGGGTTTTTTGGGTTTAGGGTGTGGGGTTCAGGGTTTAGGGTTTAGGGTCCCCTTCCCCGTATTTCCGCCATGTATCTTTTGGCAAGCCATGGCAGCCATGCGTGGAGCATCTCTACATTCCGATGTCAGGTCAGCTGGACGTGGCGTTGGCTTTCCGCGGCTGCGCTGTGGTAACTGCGGCCAAGCAGCACTTGGATCTCAATCCCTGGGCCCTAAACCCTAAATCCTATACCCTAAACCCTTAAACCCTAAACCCTGGGCCTGTAGACCCTCTATATCCCCGTTGGATGTCCTGAGTCTGAGGTTCCGATTTAAGGCGATTTCAGGAGGTCCCGGCATGCCAATCTAGGATGCCCAGTAGTACCCTTATTCCCTTTTTGTAGTCCTAGGTTCCTTATAAAGTTACCCAATACCAAAAAAGAGAGGCCTGTTTTTCTTAGGTTACTGGGTATCCTAGTCATGCAGTATGAAATACTCGTATGCATGCAAAGTAAAATAGGCATGCTATGATGGATGCAACCGTGGCTAGCATGCAGGTCCACGATTTGCCAGACAGGTTGCCTTGATGCCAGGCCATAGAAAGACCGTAAGCCCTAAACCCCAAGCCCCTAAATCAATTTCATTCCCTATGTGCCGGACCTCTACAGAAGCGACACCCAAATTTAGCGAACTTCCAGCCTTGCAGCCAAAGTCTGGACCAGGGCGGGGAGGATTGCAGGGTGTAGGGATAGTACTATTTGCAGCCAACAGGACGCATACAAATCCTTCCTGCGTTTTTCACAAACCCTAAACCCCTAAGCCCCTAAACCCCTAAACCCCTAAACCCTAAACCCCTAAACCCCTAAACCCTAAATCCTAAACCCCTAAACCCCTAAACCCCTAAACCCCTAAACCCTTAAACCCCTAAACCCTAAACCCCTAAACCCCTAAAGCCTAAGATCCTGCCGCCCCGATGCTCCCTAGGAGGCTTTCGACCTGCAGGACGCTCTCATGGTTGAATCCGGGCTTCAGAAAGAACCTTGCGTTTAGGCCCATAGGGTTCCTTAAAAGGGATCTATAAGGGTTCCTATAGGGGATACTATAGGGTTTAGGGTTTAGAGCCGTTTAGTATTAGTGATTTAGAGTTTTAAGGTTAAGTTCAGGATTTAGAGCCGTTTAGTATTAGTGATTTAAAGTTTTAAGGTTAAGTTCAGGATTTAGGGCCGTTTAGGGTTTTAAGGTTCGCCTTCCAGCCATGTGACAAAAACACCTGCATGCAGTCTGTAGTTACTGGGAAAAAGGTCTCTGGATCAGATCACGCCGTTGGACGCTTGCTGTGGATGATCTCTTTCTCAGCGATGTTTCCTGAGATTCACCAACTTACCTTTGGTTAGTAGGGAAGGGAAGAATGGTTCTAATAGTAGTTATAATTGTACCCCATTCCTCCATTCCCTACAAACCAAAGGTAAAGATCCCTCTAAAGAAACCCTGAACCCCTAAAGATCCCTTTAAAGGAACCCTAAAACCCTATAGATCCCTTTAAAGGAGCCCTATTCCCTACTAACCAAAGGCAAGCAAGAGCCCGACACCTTAAACCCTTATATACCCTAAACCCAAGCAGCAGACCTTCAACTTCAGACTCTAATCACTTGTCGACCCTAGCGGCTACCCCCTAATCTCCAAACCCCAACCCTGAAACCCTAAACCCAAAACCCTAAACCCTAAACCTTAAACCGAAACGCGACTCCAAGCAACAGGAGTTGGTCTCCATCGTGAATGAGCGGAAGGTACGGCCCTGAAGCACCCACAGATGGTGGTGCTAAGGGTCTTCAGCGCGGTGGTTTAGGGTCTATCTCTCTGTCTGTCTCTCTCTCTCTCTCTCTCTTTCTCTCTCTCTCTCTCTCTCTCTCTCTCTCTCTCTCTCTCTCTCTCTCTCTCTCTCTCTCTCTCTCTCTCTCTCTCTCTCTCTCTCTCTCTCTCTCTCTCTCTCTCTCTCTCTCTCTCTCTCTCTCTCTCTCTCTCTCTCTACCTACCTACCTACCTACCTACCTACCTACCTACCTACGTACCTACCTACCTACCTACCTAATCTATCTATCTACTAGGATGCCCAGTAGTACCCTTATTCCCTTTTTGTAGTCCTAGGTTCCTTGTAAAGTTACCCAATACCAAAAAGAGAGGCCTTTTTATTCTTAGGTTACTGGGTATCCTAGTCTATGTGTGTATATATAACTATACACAACTACAAATATATGCACAGGTATATAGATGGAGATAGAGACATCGCATGGAGATAGATAAAGAGATGGATCGGTAGATTGGTAGATAGATATAATCCAGGGTATAGGGTTCAATACTTTTGATATGGTCAGGGGTTTCGGCTTGAGGGAGCCGTGCTTTTGCTTATCGGCTGGTAGGGGGTGCTTGGTGTCGGTGTCTATGTCATGAGATTGTTCGACCAAAGCTCTTCGTGCTCGTCGGGGTTAGGCTGTAGGCTGTTTCACGTGGCAACGGCCGGTGTCTCTCGTTTCATCCGTGCGGCCTGCCTCACCTCGCCACAGTGACGCTCGGTGTTCCTCTTTGGGGTACAGGGTTTGGGCTTACCCCGGAGTCATGGCCATGGCAAGATCTGGCAAGTTCTGAACGTTTCTCGACCCACCCCCCCACCCACACCCCACCCCCACGCCCAAGAGAGAGAGAACGAAAGAGAGAGAGAGAGAGAGATCCCCTTGAAGACCCCTCATATAACCCTTCCAGAACCCATCATGACAGAAACCTAACACTAAGTGAGAGAGAGAGCTCTGCGAGGTGTCGATTCTTGGACTGCCACCTTCGCTGCTGCAGCTGCTGGCGCCCAGCGACTTCCTCGATGCCAGGACTTCGAGGGTTCAAGGTTCAGCCCTTCAAGGGATTTATATAATGTTCCGCTCAAGGGATCTATAGGGGATCTATATGGTTTAGGGTGTCCAGGGACTCCAATATCCCTTAATTAGCGAATTTACCCTAGGTTGTGAAGGTATCTTCCTAATGAAGGGATATTGGACCGGAGTCTCTGGGAATTCAGGCAGATGACCCTTGAATCGAAGAATCGCGAGCTTCATGGATCGATAGAGATGCCGGTGAGCTTCCGCGCAGTGGCGTTTTAGAGTCTATAGGGTTTAGGGTCTAACAAAGGATTACATACCCACTGAAATACCGGTGGGCCAATTGCAGATCCGGAAGCAAAGCTGCGACGCGAGGAGTGCTGGTGGATATTGCCGATTGCGCATCTCGGCAAAAGGGAGTGACTTTTGACAGTGAGTTCAAAACGGCCTCTAATATGGGGGACCGAAGAATTTCTAACTATGTCTTCACCCATTATATATAGTGCCTGGGTAGTTCAAAGTATACGGACCCCAAAACCCTGTTCTATCTCTGCAGCCTCTTTCAGGGAGGTTTCGGGCCTTGGGTTAGCGTGTAGGCTGGAGGCAGAGGGTATGGATCTGTTTGTACAGTTTGGGACTTTCAGAGAAGAAGGGGACTCCGGAACAGACCCCCAATCGTAGAAGCGTGCGATCCTTAACACCAGCTACGTGTATTTTTGTTTAAGGATATGCCGCCCAGGCTTCCAGAATACGCAGGTCTTTGCAGGGATTATACAATTTGCTTGGCATTGGCTGAAGGGTTTTGATAGGTTTCGTCGGGGTGTTGTTTGGCTGTGTCGGGTTTGATCAGAGTAGTGTTGCTGGACATGTGCTGACTTATAATGATGCAGGTTTGCTCAAACGGACCCTTAAAACCCCAAAGCACCATATCCTCAACTTTATAAGTCCGAGCAACTCAAAGACTAATCTTAAACCCTAAAATCTCAACTCCGATCTCAGTGCCCTGCCCTCAATTGAGGTTTCAAAACTCAGTTTGCAGGGATTTTTGGAAACTGTGCCGAAGTCCGACACACCCCTACGTTCCTGACCTTGAACCTCAATCTCTAGACTCTAAACCCCAACCCATACCCTTGACTTCCTGAAGCCCAATTCAGTAAACAAAACCCCCTAAACCCCAAAACCAAGCCCCTAAATTAGAAAAAAGTCCAAGAACCCCAACCCCGAAATCCCATAATCCCAAGAAAAACCCAGGACACCCAAACCCCCAAACGCCCTATTGCTTGAGCCCGAAAACCCTAAACCCCCAAAGCCAGAACTAAAGCCCCAAAGCAGCACAAATTCTCATACTTTCAACCCCGAGCTCCAGAGCTAAACCCCCAAACCATCTCAAACCCCTATACCTTAGATCGCTAAACTCCGAAAGCCCTATATGCCTAAACCCTCACATTTCTAAAGCCCTAAACCTCTAAACCCTGAACCCTTAGATCCGCACTGACGACAAGGGCTGCAAGATATTTTCTGAGTAGTAAGTGCTCGCCCCAAGTGGGGCTTTCGCTGGCATGGATAATGCAGGTGGAAAAGAGCCCTGCCAAAAAAGCCGGACCTCCCTAAACCCCTAAACCCAGAACCCTACACTCCATAAGGTCGACTCATTTCGTGGGGGGAGCCGTGTCCTTCTGTGGGCCCCTCAGAGCCTGCAGTGTTGCCCAGAGTGTCTTAAGCGTTTAGGGTCCTTAAAAACTGATATTGGGTTTGGTGGCATAAACTTACGAAACAAAACTCTAAACCATTTCCATATATATATATAGATGGCTACATATAGACAGATAGCTATAGTAAGGATCTTCGAGCGGCTTTTCTTGAGTTGGGCTTGGGCTTTAGGGGTTCAGGGATTTAGTTAGGGCTTGAGGGGTTTCGTTGTTTTGGGCTCAGGGCTGAGGGTTTGGGTTTGTAGAGTTCGGATGTTTTGCGCTGAAGCGATGAATGATTCTGGGTTTAGGGTTTGTCAGGTGGCTACGGGTTTCGGGTTTTAGGATTATTGGGTTTCGATGTAGGTTTGGGTTTAAATTGGGTTAAGCGGTGTCGTTGAGGGCAGGTTTTGGCCTTTGGGAGGCGGGATCCCTAAACTCTAAACCCTGATTTGCCTTCTTGAGATGGTGTGGCTGCAGATACTGTTCTGGTGCTTGCACAAAGCTCAGGGTTTAGGGTGTAGCACTTAGTACAAGTTGATGGTCTCTCATATTGTTTGGTTTTGCGCCCTGTCCGCATCCCTAGGTTACAGCTGTGAACTTTCTCCTGTGATTCTTCGTGTGTCGCCCGTTGGTGCGTCATGCCCTTACATCGAACCCTTACATTCATCGATGCATCGAGCCAGATTAGATCTGCTATTTCTCTAAGGCCATCTATCATGATTTCTCCCTGGTGTGTTTCAGCTACATTGTTAGACTTCCGAAGAAACATCAACAACGGCTGAGTTGAGCTACTGTCACGGTGTCGTTGACAGCCTGGGCGAGTTGATTAGAGGAAATTAGAGGCATAAACTCGGCTTGTACCTTTCTGGTTAAGAAAGGCTTCGTGCACCATGTTGACTCTGTTCTTACCGGATTCCTACGTTGACATGTAACTAAAAATTAAGAAGGTGTCTCAAGCATCAACGAGATGCACGACATAAGCTGGGTCGGCTATATGAGGCATATAAAATCCGTTAAGACATGCTGAGGGCTTCTGGCGACCATGCTTGAATTACAAGCTGAAGTGAGCCGCCTAGGATCACAATCAGACTGTTTGTTGTGCACGCTCCAGGGAGACGCTGAAATGGAAGCCCTGTCGCTGTGTACCTTGATAGCTGTATCAGTATCAGTATCAGGAGCAGCTGCAGCGCAAGCGGCAGCGGCAGCGGCAGAGTAGCGGTAGTCAGTAGTCGTCGTCGAACTCGTCGTGTTAGTCAGCAGCTACCTAGGGTTCGTAATGTGAAGCCAGAAGTGTCTCAGGCCGTGGTGGAGCGATGGGGTGCGGGTCACCTACCTTGGCGCTTTCTGGATGTACTCATCTCGACGGAGTGCCTCGGTACTGGAATTAGTTTTCGTTTGGGGCAGCTTGTTTATAGCTTGCCAATTAATCTCTCACGTTCTAGCTAAATCATACTTTGTCACTGTCGTCGCCATCAACAAACCCACCCTTATGCCACCAGTCAACAACTACAAGATGGAACATGAACTATACAAATCAAGAGTGCGTTCGACTATCGAGTCGTGATACAAGCATTAGCATGCAATTGAGTATGACCTAACTCACTTAAAGATATTCAAGTCTTCAGGATCTTACTGCTGTTCAGGGTGTATACATGCCCCGTGAAGCTTTCGGCTATGCTAAGCCGCCCAATACTTCGTGACCCACGTTTTGTTGTGAATCTGGGTAGCCGCAAGCGAAGCGGGACGTGGCGGGAAATCAATCAGTCAGTTGAAGCCATCCACAACGCGTCAAATTCGAAGTCTCTCGAATGTCGATGCCGAAAATATACCTTGGCACAGTGCACCTTTCAAAGCTTGAAACGCTAGACTCGCGCAAGAGGTGTCGTGAAGGTTAAGGTCGAGTGCACTGTTGTTCTTTGGGACTGTGTGAGGGGGAGGTGTCGATAAGATTCTGGGCGCAGCCCTAAATCCTAAACCCCTAAGCCCTGAACCCTCAACTTCGCCGAAGGTATTGGCTCACCTTCGTCTCCTATGAGTTGGGGCACCCAGACCTCGCCAAGCATGGTGTTCTATTACGCCCAAGATCTACGTAGTCCTGTTCTTGAGCCATTTGATGTGCTAGGGACGTGGGAACATCGGCGAAAGGACGGAACTACAACTCATCTTAGGAAGTTTGCAAGCATAAATACAGCTGGCCCGCGACGGTTTAGCGTTTAGGGGGCTTGTGCCAAAGCGAACTAACTAGGCATGACCTGTGGGAATGCTGAAAACTAAACCGCCTCCAGTCAGATTTTGGGGTCGATTCCTGTCGCCCCGGAGCCCTTAAGGACCAAACCCAAAAAATTTCAGATTCTTGGGGCTTGGACCAAACCCAAACATGACCCTAACCCTATAACCCTAAACCGTAAACCCTTATAGTACCCCTATGGAAACCTTTGTAGATCCCTTTAAGGAAAAGGACCCTAAACCCTAAACCCCAAAACTCAGACAAGACCAACGAAGAAAGCTTGCGAGGCGCGATGAGAATGGCCGAAGCCTCTTCGAGCCTGCCCCGGCCTCCATGGGTGTATAATACAGGGGCCTTAATTATTCGAATAGGGTTCCTTTTGAGGGGGTCTATAAGGGTTATCATAAGGGACCTATAAGGGTACTACAAGAGAGGAGCCTTAATGATTGGAACAGGGTTTCCCCCAAACTAGTATTGGTAATTATTTAGGCCCCTCTAGAGAGAATTGCAGCAGGGTTTAGGGTCTATGACTTATGGAGTTACTAGGGGTTCTAGGTTTCGGATTTAAGGGTTCCGGGGGTTTAGGGTTTTGGGGTGTAGGGGTTTGGGACTTTTGGGGTTTGACAGGTCTGGTGTGACATTCAAAGACCCGTCAGGGCGCAGACTGCAAGGCATGGCAGATCTGGAGAAGGTATACTTTCGAGCTGTTGGTTTCACACCGGATGCTTCTGATGATGATGCCAATGATGATCTCTGAACAAGACTGTTCATGATCCTGATGTTGCTGCAGATGTTGCTGCTGCTGCTGCTGCCATTCCCCATGGTGGGAAGGTGGATGATGATTGTGCTGGTGATGGCGGTGACCATGATGAGACGATGATGATGATGATGATGATGATGATTACAGTGGTGGTAGTGGTGGTTGCGTGGCGATTATGACAATGGCGGTTACGTTGATGAATACAGCGATTGTGGCATTCGCTGTCATGGCCATGTGCCATTTCAGCGTGTTTGTTGGCATTGGCAGTATAAGGATGGGCCTTGGCGATGTCATCGTGCAGCACCGAACTCCATGACGTTATTCCTAAAGCCAGAGATCTCAGAGGCTTGCAGGCCCCAAGAACACCAGACTCTGGGCACTTCGGCCTAGATTTCTTATCGTTTCGACCTTTTGACTGACTTACACATTCTCGAATTTTGGCACAGCATGCAAGGCCTTTCCGTGCCATCTCTTAGAATTCCACAGCCGTCATTGCTGGCATCGAAATCCTAAGGCCCTAAACCCCAAGAACCTGGACCCTACAGTTATCTTAACACCCTAGATCCCGAATCCCAATGCCCTAGAACCCTAGACCCTAAGCCCTGGACCCTATACGAAACCTGTCTTTAGTGCATAGTGCAGACGGACCTCGACGCACGAACTTCCAACATCGTCAAAGGTTCCTGGCGTGAAGACCTTCCTGCTTTCCCCAGCTTTGGAAGACACAGGAGAATGCAGGGCTTAATACAATCAAGTCATAATAAACGTGTACATATGCATATATACATATGACATAGAAACAGAGAGACGGACGGACAGACAGACAGACATATGAATTCTTGATTCGAGTCAATATCATAGACATAAATATATAAATATATATATACACACACATGTATAACAAACTAACTAAGAACACCAAAAAGGGGCTTGCGGGCTTTATGAGGGTTTTGCGTTGACGGCTCAGGGTTTCTGTCTCTGAGAAGCCATCTCACCAAGTTCAGGTGGTGCGGTAGGTGGGGCGAAGCTCTAGGATGATGCGCTTAGTCATGGACTTCTGCGACAGAAAGTCCAACTTGTCATTTTGCGTGCGCGACCACAAGCTCAAACATGGACAGCGTAGAAGTGAGTGTGTGTGTGTGTGTGCATGTGTCTACATATGTATGTATGCTTAAAATGTTTCAATCTTATTGGCATGCCGCACTGCTAGCTGTTTGTTCAAGCTTCATATCCAACCTCCGTCTCGCTGTTTTCCAAGCAATCCCCCTGGAAACTCGAAAGGCTTTCTACAGCGGGGATCCGCCGGACGACAAAAGCAGAATACTTAATAAGAATTGGGCTTTCCGGGCATCGTCCCGAAGGTCATACAGGAGCCAAGTGGTGATCCTTGCCCTAGTTAGTAGGATCCTGATTATAAGGACCCCAGAATAAGGTATCCCGAATTCTCGGAAAGTCCCAAAGTAAGGGCTGTTGAAGGAAGCATGTTTGACGCTCCCTGGGACCTGTCCGCACCGTAAACCCCTAAACCCTAAACCCCAAACCCTAATCCTAAACCCTAAAGCCCTAATCCTAAACCCTAATCCTACACCCTAAACCGTAATCCTAAACCCTAAACCCTGAACCCAGGAGCTGTGGAATCCAAGGAGGATGCCGGGAGCTCGGAAACAGCGGAGGCAGAGTTTGGGATTTTGAGTTCTTACGAGGGTTTCTAGGGTTTAGGGTTTCTAGAACATCAAGAAAAGGGGTTCTGCATTTTTTAAGGGTCCTATTACGGATCTAGGAGGGATCTGCCAGAATGCAGTCAGCGATCTATACGCTTTCAGATTATCTCAGGTTCTGGAAAGGTTCATTCAGAGATTCACGAAGGGATCTACAAGGGTGCTCTGAGGATCTGTAAGGGCTCTATCCCCAAGGGTCCAAAGGACCCAATAAGTAGATACTCGGTTTTAGGATAGTAATTATGTAGGTTGGGATTTTGGGGAGTATATGATTATTGGGTACTTGGACCCTTGGGGTATCAACAGATCAGAACCCTAAACCCTAAACAGATCAGAGGTCCGTCCGGCTCGAAGGGTTTCCATACTTAAAGGTTCATCGGACTTAGTAACTATGGTTATTTAAAGGCTCCTTTAAAGGGATCTATAGGGGTTCCTTAAAGCGATCTATAGGGTTTAGGGTTTAGGGTCTACTTAAAGGTTCATGGGACTTAGTAACTATGGCTATAAGTAAGGTAACTATACTTGTAATTGGGTATAACCCCAGTTAGGGTACTTATAACTGTACTTACTAAGTCCCATGAACCCCAAGTACAGGTTCTGTGATGAGTCGGGTTCTACTTAAGGTGTGATTTCGGCTGTATAGTATCGGTTTAGGGTTTAGGCTGTATTAGGCTGTATAGGGTTGACAGGGGCATTATGTAGGAGTTATTGCGTGGGGTCTGCAGCAGTTACGCTTCAAATGGCTATGAGCAGCACCTGCAGTGTCGAGCCGCACAGTCCCCAAGCTAAGCTCTGCGTAGCCCATTATGGGAGTTTCCGAAAATTTTGGGGGTCCTTGTAATCAGGATCTTTCTATACATTTAGGGTACTATACTAGGCTGCCTCATTTTCGGAAACTCCCAGATATGATAATCCCCATTGAGGGGAAAGGGGGGTATTTAAAAGAGCCAGATTGGATCTTGGAGTCTGCTCTAGTAGGTTCATATGTGGATATGAAGGAAGCAAGCTTGCAAACTATTCAGACCTCTATATCAGCTATAAATCATGTCCCCAATCTGATCTCTCTGCAAAAAGACCGTTCAAACCCTAGGAAACCTTATACAACCCTATAGGACACGTTTAAGCATCCTTGTATATAAGAATCTCGTCGACTTCCATGATTCCGCAGGATCTTTCTCCAAGCGAAGTGGGGGAGGCCGGCATGCCCCACCCATGTTTTTCTTCGGGGGGGGGGGGAAGTGGGGAGGGTTTAGGGGGCAGTGGAGTGGAGATTTAGGACATCAAGCTCCGGTTTGAAGGTGCGGGGTCTAGTACGGGTTTAAGAGTTCTGGATTTGTAAGGCTGAGTTTAGGGGCTGAGGGACTTGGTAGTTTGATCGTCTGGGTGGGCCAGGGTAATTAGCCTTCAGTCGTCGCACAGCACAGCCGACAATAGAGGCGCATAAGCATGATACCGGCGCGCTCTACACCGAAGCCCTGGCACCAGTTCTCAGTAACCTGCAGTAGCGTGATCATGGCGGGTACAACGGGTCCTCAGCCAATACGTCACGTCTGGCAAAGGGGAGTTTCAGAAAGTCAGGACCCAATATAGACTCAAGTTATTGAGGATTCTTCACATCACAAACCCTAAACCCTCGCAGCAACCTACATTTTCAGGGTTTTACGGGGTTAGTGTAGACCTTGAAAAGCCTTTAAGCCTTTAACCCCTAAATGCCGTAAACGCTTAAACACCCCCTTGCAACGACAACTACAGTAAGGAAAAACTCAACCCTTAAACTTCCTACTCCGTTGATCTCGATTGCCCAGTTTCCAACACCCAAACACCTAAGAATCCAAGCAGTTACCACCCTCCCCCCCACCCCCCCCGGTCGTTTGGTCAACTCAACTGCAGCTTCAAACCGAGAAACCCGTATGATTGTCGAGGTCGGAGTAATTTCAATCAATCACATCGCCTCCAGAACCGCATTAAACTTGTTAGGTCACCACCTTCTATCAGAGCCTTCAAGGCTTTTGATGTTCTAGGGCTGGGTTCGAGGGCTGTGAGGTTGTAGGTATACTAACATCTAAGCGGTACTGCCTCGGATCAGGGCATTCAAGGTTACAGGTTTAAACCCCAGCATTTACCTGTGGTCTCCATTGCCGCTCCTTCTTCGGGTCGCTTTATATAGGTTAAACCAAAAGCAAGGAACCATAATCGAGAGTTTAGGTAGGCTTCATAGTGACCCGCAGAAAGTTGGCACAAGGATTTAGGATGATTAGTGCTGGGATCCCCTATACTTTACTTTAAGGGCAGGAGGAGAATGATGTTCCAACTTTCTGGACCCTAAACCCTAAACCCTAAGCCCTAAACCCTTAAACCCCTAAACCCTTAACCCTAAACCCCTAAACCCCTTAAACCCTAAACTCTAAACCCTAAACCCCTAAACCTCTAAACCCTAAACACTTAAACCCTAAACCCCTAAACCTCTAAACCTCTAAACCCTAAACACTTAAACCCTAAACCCTAAACCGTGAACCCTAAACCCCTAAACCTCTAAACCTCTAAACCCTAAACACTTAAACCCTAAACCCTAAACCCTAAACCCCTAAACCTCTCAACCTCTAAAACCTTAACCCTAAACCCTAAACCCCTAAACCTCTAAACCTCTAAACCCTAAACACTTAAACCCTAAACCCTAAACCCTAAACCCCTAAACCTCTAAACCTCTAAACCCTAAACCCTAAACCCTAAACCCTAAACCCCTAAACCTCTAAACCTCTAAACCCTAAACTCTTAAACCCAAAACCCTAAACCCTAAACCCCTAAACCCTAAACCCCTAAACCCTAAACCGGACCCAGGGAGCAGTCGGAGAGCTGTACTTGGCTGGCGACGGCGTTTGCTGCAGCTTCGTCCATGGCGGCTCGGGTCTCAGAGGGACTACCTTTTAAAGGGACCCCAAGGAACCCTGTATTGGTACCGTTTAAGGCACAGGCTCAAGGCTTGAAATCTGAAGCGTTCTGCGCCAAGAGTGGTAGATGGGATCCCGGTACGTCCGAGACTCTGACCAATGCGGAGTGCTACCAAAGATTGCACCAGCTTCTGCACCTGTGATTAATACAGGGGCCTAAATAACCTACACTATTTTTGGGGGGCTCCTTACTATAGTTATAGTCATAGTATAATGGGCCCCAAAACCCTATTCTGATTATGACGGCCACTATATTAATTGGCGTTGAAAGAGCCAGGAGTGCCGCCTCACACTTACACCATTAGGCACCTTAAAGTCCCAAAGCTTCACTCTGAAAACTTGTGGGCTGAGACTACATGTATTCATATAGCTTAGTGGCTGAGTGGATACACTTTACACTTTTGCGGATTTTGTCACCCACTACAAAACTAAAAAAGTGTACACTTTTGGGGGCTTATGAACTCAGCAACTAAGATAGGGTTTAGGGCAAAACGCTTGAGGAAGACAGCACACGAAGAAGTTTCAAGCCTGTCTGCCCCACTTGCTTTTTCCTCAGGCTCGACGGGGCCGAAGGCGTCAAAGCTCTGCTGTGTTTCGCAAGGGAGGGGAGCTTGTTCTACTTGGAGGATCATGGGACTTAGTAAGTAAGGTTATAAGTACCTTGAGGTTACAAGTAATTATACCTGTAGTTACTTTACTTATAACCCTACTTACTGAGTCCCATGATCCTCTAAGTACCTGGATGGAGCGCAAGATACCTACCGTTTTAGGCCTCTTGCATAGAGCTTCGTTAGAAACGTCTTCAAACTCATAGGGTCCCATGTACCTATACCTGGACCTACTAAACCCTACTTTTTTTAGGCTCTTATTATGAACCCTAATATGGGATTTATAGGGACCCTACAAATAAGTAGGTTCTCGCAGGTTAAGGCATGGTAGGATGTAGGGTTTCTATACTAGGAATTACTATTATGATCCAGGGAAGTATCCCCCATGTCTTCAAATCCAAAGGGTCCCATGTACCTATACAGTATAGAATGTGGGTTTCTATTTTCGGAATCACTATTATGATCCAGGGAAGTATCCCCCATAACAGTGCATAGGACCCTTTGGGAAACAAGGTAGGTTGCTTGGGGTTCGGGTTGCGCTTAGGCTGCCTTGGGGGAGTCTTCTGGGCTAGGCTCCTTAGACCCTGAACCCAAAGCCCTACGGTTTAGGGTTTAGGGTTTAGGGGTTAGGGGTTTAGGGTTTAGGGTTTAGGGGTCCAGGGTTTAGGGTTTAGGGTTTAGGGTTTAAGAGAAGAGTCCTGCTTTCGTCTGTAGTTTGGGCCCTTTTGGGTTTTCAGGGTTCACGGGTTTCGGGGTTGGGGCTTAGTAGGGTTTAGGGTGTATACTTAAAGGATCATGGGACTTAGTAAGTAGGTTATACGTAAGGTAACTACAGTCATAATTAGTTATAGCCACAATCAAAGTACTTATAACCCTACTTACTAAGTCCCATGATCCTCCATCTACAACCCTTATAGATCCCTTTAAGGAACCCTATTATAGAATCCTATAGTACCCTTAAAAGGAACCCTAAGTCCCATGATCCTCCAAGTAAGATAGGTGTTCAGGGATTGAGAGCTCAGGCCCCAGGGATCGAGAGGGCTTCCTTGGGTTTTCTCTCAAGAGCTCCACGGGATTCTGCAGGATTCAGGGTTTGAGGTTTAGGGTTTAGGTGTCTAGGGTTTGAGGTTTAGGGTGTGAGGTTTAGGGTTTAGGTGTTTAGTGTTCGAAGTTGAGGGTTTAGGGTTTCAGGTACAGGAGTATAAGCTCTGGGGTAGAATGGCTGCCAATACTATTGCACGGGTTTGGTGAACTTTAACACAATCAGGCCAATGCATAATCTACGCCGAAACCCTGTTGTAATTATTAAGGCCCCTATAGTACCCGAAATTGAGGATAAATACTACTCCACGGGTTTCTTGAAGTCCGCCGAAACCCTGTTCTAATTACAAGCTCCCAACTTATTGGGATCGCTGCTAGTTGCTGTTAGGGAGGAGATGGACACTTCGAAATCACCCTCCTGAAAGACTAGTGCGGCTTGCGACTTGATTCTGGTGGTAGTTTCTTTTCCGGTTCTTGTTCAAGAAGGCAGGAATACCAGTCGGCGACTACTTCTAGAAGTACATAGAAGACATCGCAACAATCTCGGGTTGCCAGCGTCCAGTGACCTATGCAGATAGTAGGTTTTTTTGCAGATACTACGCAGATTCACGGTCTAATTCGCAGGACTGCTTGCCAGCTGTCTTTGCTACTTCCTTCACTTCAAAGCGGCACCTAGTTCAACCATAGCCTACCTGGGTGATGTTGTCTTGGACACCCTAGACCCTAAACCTTAAAGTCTTGACCCCTTAGCCACTGAAAGCTAAACCTCTACCGTCTATGACAGTGCCAGAGAGCCCAATACCCCTTAATTAAGCAATATACCTTAAATTATAAGGGGCTTTATATCATGCTTTAAGCTATATTCCTTAATTAAGGGGTATTGGGTATTGGGCTCTCTGGGGTGCCGGGTGCCCGAAAGTCCCGATGCCTCGTCCGCAGAGGCTTTCCGTCAGCTCGCAGGCCTCTAAGGGCCCAGGGGAGGAGTTTAGGGTTTAGGGTTCTGAATAGTAACTAGCGTCAGACCCATTGCTATAGTACGGTATAAGAAGGGTTTTCGGAATCATAAGACATCATTGAGTTGTGTCATATTACCTTGAGTCCATATACAATTATCCAAACCATACCCCAAAACCCTCTTACCAAGGCTTCTAGGTTCTTGTTTTGTCTAGGTAGGGTTCTCGGTTGAGGGCTAAAGCTAGGGGAGCCGGAGCTTGGATAAGACGCGAACAGTAGAAAGTCGTGTTCGTAGCGGGAATAGGAGTCGCCTTTAGCACGAGCTAGGCGTCACATATAAAATGCCCCCGCCCCTGTGTGCTTGCGCAATGCTTGAACCCTTGAGTCTGTGTTTGTGTTGAGTACTCAAGGCTCAGTGCTTCTGCTTCCGAGGGTTTCGGGATGAAAAGGTCTGGCTTGTCTAGATGACAAGCTCGTTAGAAGAAAGACGTTGGATTTCACCCCACATCCTAGATTCCTATCAGCCGCAGTCTCAAACCACAGAAAGCAAGCATTCGTGTAGCACTGGCATCTAGACTTCCTGCATGGGAATTAGTGTTTTGTTGATGGGTGGTTGTCAATATTAGGGTCCCTTTTTGGGTCCTTATTAGAATGCGGTGCCTAATACTTAGGGTACCCGAAAAGGGGCCATCATTTTGACAACTACCCTGATGCTGTTTGGAAGTAAGAGCTTAGCCAGAGCATGAACCGATAACGCCCTGCACGAAGAAGAGCTATAAGGATACTAACCGCAGCAACACTACTGTCGTACCTACAACCCTAAACCCTTAACGCCACCGTCGTCATAATTTTCTATGTTTACAGGGTGTAGGTTCTAGGGTTCTAAACTTAGAATTAGAATCATAGGGCCCCTAACGGGAGTAGGGGAGGGGGGTAGGGGACTACTATATTTCCTTAAATAGCAGCTGAAAACCCTGCCACTTCAGGGTTCCTATGATAGAGCCCTTGTTTTGCCGAGTCCTTCACCACTGCCCCTGCTGGCCGGACGAGACACGAAGAGACCGCAAGGATAAAGAAAACGTCCCCGAGCTCCCCTGTGTGGAGACCCCAGGTCAAACCGAAGGCCTTAAAACCCCTAAACCCCAAACTCCAGCGCTCATTGCCAATACTATTCGAGGGGTTCTTCATATTAACTAATTAAGGCCCCTCTCTTAGATCCTTGAATCCTAAACCACAAAACTCTCAGCGCTTAAACCCCTCACCCTAAACCCTGCAATGCTCGCATTTGGGATCAGAAGATTGACCCTATGAAGTGGTTCAAAGTTCCAAGGTTCTATAGAGTGACCAGGGCGGTCCAGCCTTTTCCAAGCACAGTGCGAAGCAAAGATCCAAGTTGACTTAGGGATTAGGATTTCGATCCCAACTTTCATGGCTCCAGACTGGGAGCCTGCAGCCAAAGCCTATCCGAATAGAGCTGTAGGTCTCCGCAGAATGTCGCGATGGCGCGCTGATGCCTGGATGGCGGTGCACGCCATCGGGAGTGCTAAAAGACCGAGGTCGATGTGCGAAACGGCCAAGTCGAGATGTGCCTTGTCTGCCCCAAATAGCTCAGAGGGTTGGGGCCTTTGGGGTTCATGGTTGTCTGGCTCAGGCTTGATGGGCCTGGGGCGTGATATGGTGTCCGCACAATTCGTAGGAATAAGGCTTTGTTGTGATGCCGCTGTAAATAGGTATCGCAACCCCCAAACCCTATACTTCACTCTTTGAGGCTCTTATATAGGTTTTGAGGGGTTGTCTGGGCTCAGGAGTATGTACAAGGGCCTCGATTCTGGAAACCTTAAACTCTCAAGGCCTGGAGTTCGGTGCGCTTAGAGTTTAGGTTCGGGTGTGGGGTTTAGGGTAGGCAGGGTAGTGGTTGAGGTGGGCTTTGGGCGTGCAGTGTCTCCGATCAAGGACGGCGGAGGACGAGAGCGAAACAGTGGGCCTGCTTCCAAAGGATGAGCCTCCTGAGGTGCCGCTGCAGGTTCGGGGTTAGGATTAAGCGGATCATAGGGTTGAGGGGGTTTGGGTAGCCAGCAAACGAAGGGGCCGTGGCCATTCTTAAACGGGCTGTGTGAAGCAAGAAGTAACAGTAGCCGTATCCTACTTGTCCGGCAGAGTCGTGGTGGAAATCATGAGCCGATGTGCATTCCGGGATGAGGCTTCAACCTATTCCTATACAGACGGGTCCTGCGAGTTGGTACCACTGGCCTTCCATGCGCGAAGCTGGCAAAGCCCGATTTCGAAGCTGGCAAAGCCCGATTTCCTTAGCACCCAAAGTCATGCCTTCTACAGCTGATTCCTTGTATGTAAAACCATTACAGTAGAAGCCGAAAAGTTGGAATCCCACCCGGCACTATTTGACCTTAATCCGGTTTCCAACTTTATGGGTTTACTGTAATCTATAATGAGCCCCAGGGAGAGGAGGACAGCGTGTCAGCGCCGAATTCCGGCCCAGACCTCCGCAAGCTCCCTCAGGCGGGTTGCTGTCGTTCGTGGGTTTAGGGTTTCAGGGTTTAGGGGTTTAGGGTTTAGGGGTTCAGGGCTGAGGCTTTGTTTTTTGGGTGTCGGGGTTGAGGGTGCGGGATTCGGTCTTACGGCTTGGTGTTTACGCCGTCACATTTAGGGCAGTCCACAAGGTTCAACAAGGGTCCTGGCAGTAGAGAATCCGTCCTCATGTTAAGGTCGCTACAGGTTAGTGATGTATACATACTTCAACACATACATACATACATACATACATACATACATACATACATACATACACACATACATACATACATACATACATACATACATACATACTTAACACACACACACATGTGTGCTTACATGTATGTATGTATGTATGCATGCATGTATGTATGTATGTATGTATGTACGTATGTATGTATGTATGTATGTATGTATGTATGTGCGTATGTGTGTATGTTTACAACATACACATCAAACATACGTTTGAAGTTAATGTATACACATATGCATGTATGTTTGTGTATATGTCTGTTTGTGTTCTGTTTGTTTATATGCATGCATACAGGTAGGCAGGTATGCATGTATCGTGTGTATAGTTGTTGTGCGTGTGTGTGTGTATGTACGCGTGTGTATATGTGCGTATATATATATATATATATATATATACATACATAGATAGAAATGTATTCATAAAGATATTTGTGTATATATGTACATAAACGTAATTATATTTATTTATACACAGTTCCTTGCCGGCAAACGGAAAGTTTCGGTTCAGGGCTCAGAGTTTAGCGACGCTTTCGACAAAAAGCGTCTGTCATTATGCATCAGTGAAGGGTCTTCTCAAGCACATCGATTTCAACAGTTTGATTTCGGACTGTGAATACCGCAGTGGCAGCAAGGATCTTTCACAAGCGACCATAATACTGGCGCCTTAAGCTTAGGGTTAAGGGTGTAGGGTCCTTAAACCCTAAACCCTACCATACTTACGCACATTGTTTATGGGTGAATCAAGCCCTCGTGCTGTATGCCATTGTCAACGAAGGTCCTTGGCTAGCTGCAGCTTAGAAGCCGAATTCAGCATTGTAATCCCAATAGAAGCAGAGCGAAAGCACTATGGAACACTTGTACAGCTTGTGTGAAACCCTTTCAAAACAGTATGCAACCCGCTTGAAAAACACAAATGCTAGAAACCTTTTGATACTCGAGCCCTTCGCATTTCTTTGCGCGAGTTTGCTGAACGGTTAGACTACGTGACCTGCGCAGTGTCTGATTTGATTGTGAGGTGCTATGTAAACTTGCTTAGGCCTAGAGCTAGGCCCTATAAATATCCCTGCCGAAGGCTTGTACTTGCGCCCTGCAGGCTCTTGACACACTCCGAAATACGTTCAATCACTACATGAGGTTGAGGTATCAGTGACGACACTGCCTTACAGTTCCCAGAAAACTAAGGTAAAACATCCCTCCTAAGCCTGATTTATTCAGGTTTATGCATAAATAAATATAAATATATATATATATATATATATATATATATGTGTGTGTATACGTACATATGAATGACTATGTGTATATATACACACACACATATTCATTCATATGTACATGTGTATATATACATATACACGTATACACATATACGTATACATATATGTACAGGTATATGTATATGTATATGCAAAATGCCAGTTGCTATCCCTGTGCAGCTGGTCCTGGATGCCCCTCTTCCTCCAACCATCGACGATGACGCACCCGGGGCCGACTATTGGATGGATGATGACGCAGAAGCAGATGAGCTGGAGGCAAGTGTTAGGGTTTAGTTCGGAGTTCAGGGTTTAGGGTTCGGGGTTTAGGCAAGAAGGTTTAAGGTTTGGGGTTTTTTTGAATTGCAGTTTAGAAGGGTTCAGGCTTTAGAGTTTTGGCCTTAGGGCTTGGGCTATTCGTGTTGCTAGTGCTGTTCATATTCCATTAACCAGTATCATGAGCCTGATAGTTACCATGACTCGATTTCTGAGAAGTTTCGTTTCTGTTCGCAGCTGCGCCAACGCCTTACGCTCCACCGGCGGGTTGGGTCAGAGCAGGGTATAGCTTATAGAAAACAGAAAGAAATTAGCGTTCCTAATTGAAACTATTGCTGTCACTAGTTCTGCTACAGATGATTAGTACAGTAATTACTGTTCTTACTGACGCTATTCTCACTGGTATCATTAGTATTCCGATGATTGTTATGTGTCTTCAGTTGAAACCTCTGAAGCCGAGACCCCGACCACACCGCAAAGGAACCCCATGGTACCCCTTGAAGGGAAGTCTAGTATAGAACCCTACAGTATAGTACTCCATTCAAAGCAAGCCGTAAAGGTTCCTTAAAGGAACCCCTAAAGGATTCCCCAAAGGAACCCCTAGAGGATTCCTTAAAGGAAGTCTTAAAGGATCCCGAACCCTAAGCCCTAAAGGAAACCCTGCAGGATCCCTTAAAGGGAGCCTTAAAGGATTCCTTAGTGGAACCCCTAAAGGATCCCTTAAAGGAAGCCTTACTGCACCATAACTTCAACTTTGAAGGAAATTTTACCCTAAACCCTAAACCCCAGGATTTCCCTTAAAGGAAGCCCCTTCAAGGATCCCCCTTTTCTGAGCTAAGCCTTAAAGGATCCCTTTTTTTTGAGCTCTAGAGAGAGAGGCCGGAGAGGAGCCCGGTCCCTTGCGGAGCATGTCCGAAGACCCAGACAGTCCTCGGCCCCTCGGTCTCCATTTAAAGAAGCTGTGATAAATAGACAGTAGATTATTATAATACTTATTTAGAACATGAGGGATTTAGGGTCGAGGATCGAGGATTTAGGGGTTCAGGGCTTCTGGGTTAGGGTTTAGGAGTTTAGGGATTTAGGGTCTAGGATCCAGGATTCAGGGGTTCAGGGTTCGCGGCTCTTGGGTTAGGGTTTAGGGGTTGGGTTTGGGAGTTTAGGGGTCTAGGGTTTAGGATCCAGGATTTAGAGGTTCAGGTTTTAGGGCTCCTAGGCCTTCTTGAGAATAGTGAACTGCAGAAAGTTGGGACATGAAGTTAGGACGAATCGTGCTGCCCTTTTAAGAAGGATCGAGGATTAAGGGGTTTAGTGATTTTGGGTTGGGGTTTAGGGCTTTGGGGTTTGGGTTTAGGGGTTCAGGGTTTAGGGCTCCGGCTTTAGGGATGTTGAGCTAGGGTTTATGGTTTAGCATCTAGGGGTTCAGGGTTTAAGGGTTTGGGGTTAGGGGTGGAGGGATGAGTAGTAGAGTAGGAAACCCGTAGTTTTGTTGGGTTACTGTATCCCCTACATCATCCCAAACTGAACCGTTATCCCACCTAGGATGCCGGAAAAGTAGGTTGCTAGGGCTTTAGGCTTTGAAGGTTTCCCTGTGCGCTTTTTTCTCTTTTCGTGGTCTTGGGTTACTTGTAATTGTAAACTACCCACCAAAAAGAACCCTTTTGTTCCTAGGTTACTGGGCATGGCAGTGTTAGGGCGTTAGGGTGTAGGATTTTTGGACTTCAGGGCAGAGGGTGTATATGTAGCAGGGGTTTAGGAGTTCATCCAGAGCCCCGCCCTTCAGGTCCTTAAGGACTTAAGCCCCGAACTTTAAAGTCTAAACCCTAAGCCTTTCAGGTCCTTAACCCTGGGGATCAAAATCGCCGAAAAGCCTTATATACTAGGTCTTTGGGCCCAAAAGCCTTAATATATGAGTCCTTAGATCCCTACTTGAAGGATCATGGGACTTAGAAAGTAGGGTTATAAGTAAAGCAACTACATTTAGAATTACTTATAACCCCAATTAAGGTACTTATAACCCTACTTACTAAGTCCCATGATCCTCTAAGTAGGGTCCTAAGCCCCAAAGCTTAAAGCTCAGGTGCCTGAGGCTCGGATCCACAAAGTCCGAGCCCGCGCACTCGCGCTTTTCCGGCTCTGCCGATCTTCTCCTGCTCCGCGCGGAGGAGCCAGGTTTTAGGATTTCGGGTTTAGGGGTTTTATAGGGTTTAGGGGTTTAGGGCTTAGGGCTTAGGGCTTTATATTATAGTACCCAAAATAGATCCCTTGTAGTACCCTGGGTTTCAGGATTTCGAGTTCAGGGGTTTTAGGGTTTAGGGGACGGTTAGGTTTTAGGATTTCGAGTTTAGGGGTTTTAGGGGGGGCCTTTGGGGTTTTAGGGGGCTCAAAGGGTTTAGGGTTTAGGATGTCGGGTCTATGGTTCGGGGATTCAGGGATTTAGTGATTTTTGAGTTGGGGTTTAGGGCTTTGGGGTTGGGGTTTGGGGGTTTAGGGCTTAGGGTTTAGGTTTTAGGATTTCGGGTTTAGGGGTTTGGGAATTTAGGGCTTAGGGTTGGGATTTAGGGTTTGAGGTTTTGGATTTAGGGTCTAGGGTTTAGGATTTAGGGTTTAGGGTTTTGGGGCTTTTAGGGTTTGGGGTGTTGGCTTTAGGGTTTGGGATTTAGGCTTGTTTAAGGTGAACCGTACAGTGCTTTGACAGGAAGGCTTCCTACTAATTAGGATGCTACAAATGTGGCTAGAAAAGGAACTACCATGGAGACTGTAGGTACCTAGGGGCCCCAAAGTAGTTCCTTTTTGAGTAGTATATTAGAGTCCCTAAACAAAAAAGAGGACACACCCAAAAAGGAACTACTTTGGGGCCCCTGGGTAAACCCTAAGCGCAGGAAAGCTTCTCTTTGCTCTGCTCAATCTTCGCAGTTTCTTCTCAGTGATCGTGGGTGGATTTCTCCTTCTCCCTGTAGGTATGCATTGATAAGGACGCAATATGTACTAGTCTTTAGGGTTTAGGGTTTTTGAGATGTATGTACCTCCTATACTGTGCTCACATGCATGCATGGAGGTAGGTCGGTGGGTCAGCAGGCTGGCAAGCAGGCAATAGCAGGCAGGCAGGTGGCTAGGTATTACGTACGTATATGTATGTATGTATGTATGTATGCATGCAAGAAATATTCGCACTGACAGACACACACACACACATGTGTACAACTCGGAAGACGAATGCGTGCGGATGTGTACTGGTGTATGTTTTAAAGGGAGCTCCACCATTTTCCCCACATGTTGAGCCCCAACACTCCAAAGCCTATAAAAGGCTATTGCAGGCAAAGGGTTTTGGAGTCTCTGGAAAAATTTCTGGACCCCTAAGCCCTGAACCCCTAAATCCTATACCCTAAACCCCTAAACCCTAAACCCCCAACCCTGAACCCTAAGCTCACATCCTACTTCCGGAAGCAGCAGAGAGAAGGAAAGCGGCCGGTCTCAGCGAGCGCTGCTTGGTTTCAAAACGATTTTTCCAGCGAGTCCGGCTTGGTTAAGGGATTTCTAGGATGCCCAGTAGTACCCTTATTCCCTTTTTGTAGCCAAAAAGGGAGCCCTTTTTATTCCTAGGTTACTGGGCATCCTAGTTAAAGGATTTCCAGCTTGTCATAGGTATGGTTCCCGAAGGGGTGACTGGGACTTCTGCGCAATCAGCATACAGTAAGCCCCATAAAGTTGGAAACCGGATTAATGCCAAATAGTGCTGCGACTCCCTATACATGACTCTTACGGATTGAGGCTATTGGGTTTCCAACTTTTGGGCTTCTACTGTAGAGCTCCACATGAGGCATAGGAAGCGTTGCCAGGATGCGCTGAATCGCCTCAAGTCCCCAGGTGTACTGTTATTGGGAATACTTCCCTAAGTCATCATAGTAACTCCCAATATGGAAGCCCTACATTCTACTATATCGGTACATAGGACCCTTTGGGATACTTAGAGGATCATGGGACTTAGCAAGTAGAGTTATAAGCAAGGTAACTTCAGTTATTACTTATACCCCCAATTAAGGTACTTATAACCCCACTTACTAAGTCCCATGATCCTCCAAGTAGGGATGAAAAGTATAAAGCTCATGTGTCTCGTTCTCTGAGGAAGAATTTGTCTCCGTCCGTTTCCCCATCCTCTTCGATGACACCGACCGGCATGGCACGGATGGAGCGGATGGCCACCTGGCAAAGGGAAGCTGAGCAATCTTACCTGGGTTAAGTATGGCTGTAGACGTAGCTCGCAAACGAGGAAAGGCTGCATGGAACGCCTCTGGCAGACCTCAACCCATGCGACCACTCCCAGACTACCCATGATGGTCGTATTCCCCTCGAGGAGGACCCCGGGCCAGATCTGAGATTAAACGGCACTGTGGCGAGAGCACGAACCGCACCGGAACATCTGGGAGTTTCCGAAAATAGGGGACCCTAATATAGTACCCTAAATAGTAAGATCCTTATTGTAAGGACCCCCAACATAAGGTACCCCTAATTTTCGGAAACTCCCATATCGTCCAACTCACAATGCGGACGGTAGGGTTTAGAGTTCAAGGTTTAGGGTTTAAAGAACCCAAAAACCCAAATCCCAAACCCTACTGTAAGCTCGAAACCCCAGTTCTGTTGACGTCCTTTCCTCTGCACTTCAGGAATCCTAATCCCCAAACCGGCATGCCTTAAGAGCCAAAGGCGGGCAGCGACATGAGCCGGCTTGTGAAGCAAGGCCATTGCACTTAAAACAAAAACCAAGCCCTAGAATTACAGTCTCGATTGTGATTCCTTTTTGGGGTAACCAGTTGTATAGTCGCTATAGTCACTATAGTATTCATTGTGGTTGTTTTTTTGGGTTACGACTTCTCTAGTCTCCATGGTAGTTCATTTTGGGTTTAACCAAAAGTTTTGTTGGCTCCTACCAGGAAATCCAAGCAAGGAACTACCATGGAGACTGTAGCCAATCGGATTGAATTTGCAGATAAGGCTGAGCTGGCCGAAGACAAGGCTGCTGCATGCTCGTGTTTAAGGGTGTATAGAACTAGGGCATTTTGGGGTTCAGGTTTTGCAGGATTTGGGGTTCAGGGCTCAGGGTTTATAGCATTTAAGCTTTACAGGGGTTAAGGTAGGGTATCAGGAGCCCAAGAGTCTTAACTCTGCTGGGTGTGGGATTTCATAGGGGCTTAAAGGTACAAACTTTTAGGGTTTACCTAAGGGTTGGCAGTTCTTGGCAAGTTCGGCACCTGTGCAAGATCGTGAACCCCCAGGCCAACAGGGTTCGTCGGGATTTACGATTACTCTTGATTTTGTTCGGGGCTTGCAGATTGCCTGGGTTTTGCAGGGATGTTGCAAGCTTTTTGTGGGCGTTGTGCCGCCTCCTCCGTTCTGCAAGCCGCGGCATTTGCCCAACGTCCTGGCCACTCCACACTTTACCCCAGATCCCTACACCCTAAAGCACTTAGCCCCAAAGCCACAACCCCCCATAAGCCCGAACTTTTCGGGCTCCGCCCTTGGACAGGATAGCAGTGACGGCTTGAGCATGCCCTCTTGTTTGTCACGGTCGAGACAGGCTCCTTGCCATGGCAATTTCGTATATAGTATGTGCCCTCACAGTATAGGCTAGGATGGTTTAAACGCGAACATATCTACGTCGTTATCCAATTCAGCAGCCCTACTTGTTTGAAGACACAAAACCTTAGACCCCGACACAGGGTTCTGAATGATTAATTAGAAATTGGCAATACTATGCCCACATCGTCCTGATGAAACCACAGTGTAATATACCTCAAGACCTTTTTCAGCCAAGCACTTGTATGATGCTGTCATTTGAAGTTGTACTTTCCTCATCTGTATATATATAAAGATATATACATATATATGTACATACATGTATTTACATGTGTATATATATGTGTGTACTGTATATACTTGTAACTATATACATATGTATATATATATATACACATGTACATGGATACGTTGTATATACATATACACAGATGTATATGGATACGTACATGTGATGTGTTATACCGTACTGTGTACCCCCAAACGCCTACTCTAATCATTCAGACACCTGTACTCATAGGGACCCTCAGGGGGGTAGGGGGGGGTAGGGGGCCCAGAGCCTCCAAAACCCCTTAATTAAGGAATATACCTTAAAATCATATTAGGGATCCTATATAATTTAAGGTATATTCCTTAATTAAAGGGTTTTGGAGGCTCTGGGGGCCTTAATGCCGATGATACAGACCCAATAAGGCCTAGTTCAGGAAGTCTGGTCCCAACCCTGAAACCCTAAACTGGCCCTAAAACCCTTGAACTGGCCCTAAACCTTAAACCCCAAACCCTAAACCCCTAAACCCCTAAACCCTAAACCCTAAACCCTAAACCCCTAAACCCCTAAACCCTAAACCCTAAACCCTAAACCCTAAACCCTAAACCCCTAAACCCCTAAACCCTAAAGCCTAAAGCCTAAATCCCAAGCCTAAGGGTCCCTATGATGTATCATCCAGTCGAGGCATCCATGGCTCAGTCCGATGTTATGGGGGAGAACAACAGAGGCCGATGAGGGGTTTTAGGGTTTAGGGTTCAGGATTTAGGGTTTGGGTTTAGGGTTTTGACTTTAAGGTTTAGGGTTTAGCGTTTAGGATTTAGGATTTTGGGTTTAGTTTCGGATTTTGGGTTTAGGGTTTTTGGGGTTTGGGGTTTAAAATATCGGGGCCTAAACAATTACCAATACTGTTGTTGGTGTTCCTGTTTATGCTTGTAGTAAAATGTGTCCCCAAACTCTATTCTAATTCTTAAGGCCCCTGCAGTAGGCTGCTTGGTAGGCACACACGTGTCAGAGGATGAATTCTCCAATGTGCGTTTTTTCAGCATCCAGAACAGCCTGTTTGCGATCCGAAGCCACGCAGATAAGGCAAGAATAACCGGCGGAAGCCGCGAACAAGTTCTAGGGGAGAAGTGGTTATTGATACCCTAAACCTTTGCAACCCCGAAACCGTAAATCCAAAATAACTATGATTGAGCCCGTATATCTTGTTGCCGGTCTGCTGCCGCGGTGGAGCCGAGCCTAGTTGGGCATTCATACTCACATTTCATCCCCATCCCTGCATGATGTAACTTAGGGGTACTTAGAAATATTTTTTAATTGTTGGTTATTATAATCTCTAAGAAACAGCTAAGATTATTAATTTTTGCTAGGGTTCTAAGTTCAGTATAGGTAACAAGTCCCAGCCAATTCTAGTTGATTCGACATTATAGACCCCTGGACCCCAAGCCCTAAAGTCTAAATGGCTTCTACCCCGGCCAGGAGAAGATCGCACAGCTGAAGGGCAGTCGGCCGCAAAGAAGGACATGGGCTAGATGGGAGGTTCAGCACAGTGTGCTGTTATGTAGGGGCCTTAATAATCAACTATAAGAATCTTTTGGGGGTTCCTTATTAAAAAAGTCTAGTATAGTGGACACCAGAGCCCTGTTCTATTTCCTAAGGCCCCTTACAGTATTGTGCTGATCTTGGTCGCGAAGTTCGAAGCTCCTATATATCTTTTTCGCTGGAAGACACCTCAGCCTTAGGAGTTTCCCCATCAATATCTTTTTGGAGGGGTGGGGGCAGATCTCAGGAGTGGTTTGCAAACTGAGGATGTTGTATGATCTCGGGATTTCGAGTCCATATCAGCGGTCTACTGATATTTCTTGAAGTTGCAGTGTGTTTCCATTTAGGCGTCTCTTGTTTGCAGTATATGTCTGTCACGCGAGCAAGCTATTAACCACCCGCTTTTACGCGCACACATTTTCCGTGTAAATTTTCACATGTTCGTTGTTGTGCGTTGCAGAGCTTTGGCTAAAGCCCACTAACTCTCTATACAGCCTGCATATTACACAGCACATGTGGAGACAGCGAGCGACGATCGTATTCAGGCCTCATTCGCTACACGTGCATAGTCTACGTGACGAACGGTTGTAAAGCTTGAGCTCACAGCTGCCGCAAGCAGCAAGTCGCAGATCGATGTGTTGGGTCTACGATACTCGGAAGCAGACAAGTGCAGCCAAGTTAGTTGTACATCGATGGTTATAAGCAGGGTAACTGTAGCTATGTGTACTTATAACCTCAACTAAGGTACTTACTAGTAATGTGGATGGAATAGTTATGCTGTGTGCAAAGTTGCCAAATGCAGTGGATTCCGATGCCAAACTTTTCATCAACTGGCGAAATGAAGGATGGCTTGATTTGTTGGCACTTGTCGCTGCATATTGTATCTCCCCCGACAGCAGCCTTGTGAAACTTTTCAAGCCTCTCTCACGCGCAAAACCTCCGTCATCGCAGGGCGACAGCGTTCAGGTGACGGTCACCGCAGCTGAGGGCACATCCTCGCAGGACTCACTCTGGGTTCATAACTCGATTTTAAGCTTCGGGGTTTCAAGGGTCCAAGTACTCAAAGGGTAACTTAACCATATGCATTCTGCCCTTAACCCTGACCTAACCTAGGGCTTAGGGTTTAGGACCAAAGCTTATACCTTAACCTACCAGAACCTGCTTGCTGTAGGGCCCCTATAAATCCCACATTTGGGTTTATAATAAGAGCCTACGAAAAGGTAGGTCTTGGTAGGGTGTAGTTAGGGGATATATATATATATATATATATATATATACATATACATACATACATACATACATACATACATACATATAGGGGCTTTTATAGTTAGAACTTTAGAATAGAGTCTTAGGGCTCCTTATTATAATTCTGCCACAATATACCTCCAAACTCGACTCAGGGATCAGGTTTGAGGCAGATCCCCAAAAGGTGGGATGAAGGTAGGTGGGATATTCCAAAATAAGAGTCCTCATATGGCGGATCCTTAATCCTACCTACCTTCATCCCACCTTTTGAGGCCTCCGAGGATTGAGGCAGATCCCCACTTGGAGGGTCGGGGGACTTAGTAAGTAGGTACACGTAGTAAGTAGACTTATAAGTACCCTAAAAGGGACCCTAATTGGGGTTATGGCACTTATAAGTCCTTCAAATAACCAGTTAGTAAGTCCCCCTAAACCCTAAACTCAATACCCTTACAGAATCCCTATAGATCCCTTTAAATGACCCCTTTAAAGGAACCTATAGTTACTAAGTCCCCCGACCCTCCAAGCAAAGTCGCCCCCCCCCCCCCCCCCCCCCCCCCCCCCCCCCCCCGCGGCGCCTTGGAGCTCTGCGCCGAACGCACTCTGAGCATCCCCAAACCTACCCGACACAAAGTCGCTTATAGGGTCTACCTAGACCTACTCAACGCCGCTTCTTGTAGTTTCTTTTTATAAACCCTAGTATGGGATTTATAGGTACCCTACACCCTGCGCATGACGTGCGAAAGCACACGAAGAAACTTGGAGGGTCGGGGGACTTAGTAAGTAGGTAGTAAGTAGACTTATAAGCACCCTAAAAGGGACCCTAATTGGGGTTATGGTACTTATAAGTCCCTAAAATAACCAGTTACTAAGTCCCCCTAAACCCTAAACCCTTATGGAATCCCTATAGATCCCTTTAAAGGAACCCCTTATAGTTACTAAGTCCCCCGACCCTCCAAGAAGGCGCTCAAGCCGGCGGCGCAGCGGAACCACTCCAAAGCGGCGACTCACAACTCGGTGCCGCTAGGTCGGTTTAGGGTTTAGGGTTTAGGGTTTAGGGTTTAGGAACTCAACTTTTCAACTTTTGGGGTTCTTATAAGGTAGTCGATTCTGAAAGTTTCAACTTTTATTTCCTTGGTTTTTGGGCCAGTGAGTCTGGGATCTTTTGAATTTATTAGGGCCCCAAAGAAGCACATAAGCAAGAATTAGGATAGGGGTATCCCATTTAAAACCCCTTATACTGAAGCCCAATAAGGTAGGGATATCCCTATAAAATGCTTATGCTTATGTGTTTTTGGGGGTCCCTATCTATGGTTTAGGGTTCAGGGTTTAGGAGAAGCCTCACTAAGTCCAGATCCAGATGCTGCTGGGGGCTGTTGAACCGAATCCTAGTGAATCCTGAATCTTATAGTTCGGGTTTGGAATTTAACCCCAAACCCTAAAGCCCTGAGCCCTAAAAGTGGTGGAACTCTGAGAGGAAGAGTTCCTTCCAAGGGTACGTGCTATAATGCAAGGGTCCCCTTCGGAGTATCATAAGGGTTCCTTCAATGGTGCTGTAAGGGTTCGGTTAGGGGTACTTCAAGGGTATATGGTAGAAGCCAGAAAGTTGGAACATTGGTATCCTCATGCCCCTAAGATAAAGGACAAGGGATCCTAGCACGAATCCTCCTAAACCCATGTTCCAACTTTCTGGCTTCTACTGTAGTCTTTGGGGTATTAGAGGGGTTGTGCTTGGGGCTTTAGGGTTGGGAGTCGAACTTCGGGCTGAAGGAGATCGTTCAGCTGTGCAGAATTGCTCAGCTTCTCTCGGGACTCTGTATTTCTTGCATACTTGGGGGGGGTTCATGGGACTTAGTAAGTACAGTTATATGTACCCTAGCTGGGGCCATATCCAACTATAAGTATAGTTACCTTATCTAAATAACCATAGTTACTAAGTCCCATGAACCTTTAAATAGACCCTAAACCCTATAGATCCCTTTAAGGAACCCCTATAGATGCCTTTAAAGGAGCCTTTAAGTAGGGCCCGAAGTGTCGCAGGTTGAACTGAACAACCTCGGCTCACTGAACCCTATGGATCCCTTAAAGGAACCCTAGGCATAAGGTATATATTCCTTACTTATGGATCCCTTATGACTTCCTTAAAGGAAGCCTAGGCATAAGGTATATTCCTTAGTAGAGGGATATTGGAGTCTCTGTGGTGGAAAGATGCTGGTGGCTAGTGCGCCCTCGGACTTTCACTCCCCAATCGCTGAGCTCGATGCCAACTTTCCTCCAAGGGGGTATATTTTTTGCACTTTGGGCCCCCAAGACCCTAGTCTAATTATTAAGGCCCCTATATTATAGGGTTTCGGCATCGGGGCTTACATGGGTGGTAGTCAAAATTAGGGTCCCTTTTTGGGTCCCTATGATAATACGGCACCTAATATTTAGGGTACCCAAAAAGGGACCTTAATTTTCACAACTACCCATATAATTATGATAAGGCCAGTGTTTGAATGCCCCGAGCCAACCTTGCTTGGAGGGTCGGGGGACTTGGTAAGTAGGTAGTAAGTAGACTTATAAGTAGCCTAAAAGGGACCTTAATTGGGGTTATGGTACTTATAAGTCCCTAAAATAACCAGTTACTGAGTCCCCCTAAACCCTAAACCCTTATAGAATCCCTATAGATCCCTTTAAAGGAACCCCTTATAGTTACTAAGTCCCCCGACCCTCCAAGTGGGCCCCGAACCAGAGGATCCCTCACGCCCGGAATCCTCGCACAAAAGCGACGACGCGCGAATCAAACAACACAAGGTAGGGGGCCTAACGGAAAAAATGCTACCAATGCTACTTTGGGTTTCCTTTCTCTCATGATTCTACGATATTGTGCTAAAATATGCCGCAAAGCCCTTTTCCAATTATTCAGGCTTCTTAAGGCCCCTATATTCGTCTACCTGATCCACCAACAGCACGACCCAGGCTTTTGTCTCCGATCGCGCCGGTCCCGAAGCGCCTCCCGAGGAGTCGTAGTAAGCAGAGACTTTGAGGCAAAGGATTGCAGGGTTTTGGAGTTCAGGGGTTCAGGGGTTTAGGGTTTAGGGTGGCATACCGTTTTAGGGGTTCTACCCTCTAATTAAGGGGCCATAACCTACTACTATGTAGGGTTTGGGGATACATGTACAGAATCTACTGCTTCGGACTCATTTGGGGCGGAGGCTTAAGATTTAGGACTTAGGGTTCAGAGTTGTGGGATTTAGGACTTATAGGCTTTAGTGTAAGTTGTACAGATTTGGCGAGAACGACGCTATGTGCACACGTTGCAGAGCGACATTTAGCTTCGAAGTGGTCACGGTGTTTTCTAGGTTGCTGCAATGAAACAGGTTTGTCAGGTGTGGCGGCGCTTTTGAAGTGTTATTATCTGTGTTCAGAACAGACGTGACCTTTCTGTAGAACCCGGTATGCTAGAATCATTGGATCAAAAAACAAACTGACTCGTCGGTTTTTGGAAACCTCGGCGTGGTTTTGTTGCGAGCCTTAACCCCTATCCTTTAAAGCCCTAAATCCCAGCATCGCTCCGAGGCACCTCCTTCAGAGCCTACAAGCATTGGTTCAGGAGCTGAGTGAAGCTTGGATGCAACAGCTTTCTGAAGTTGGCAGGGTTGAGGGCTTTTTGGTTTGGTGTACATGTAGCATTTGGGGTTTAGCGTGAAGGATTTCGGGTGCAGGGTTCTTTGGGGTTTAATGTCAGCATCTGAATATTTCGCGACTGGCCTTCGTATCCCCTTGAGTATTGAGATTTGATTTTACGCTAAACTCCAAACTCCTCTAAATCCGAAAAACTAATCGATTCAGGGTTGAGGGTTCAGGGTTTAGGGTTTAGGGTGGGTGTTGCTTTCGGCTGTCTCGTATTCAACGAGTCGGTGCATCCATCAATCCATCTTAAGCCCTCAACCCCTAAACCCCCAAACCCTACTGCTACTTTACTGCTCCTAGTGCTGCTACTACTACTACTACTACTACTACTACTACTACTACTACTACTACTACTACTACTACTACTACTACTACTATACTACTCCTACTACTACACCCTAAACCCTAAACCCTAAACCCCAATACATGCAAGCGTGTAGGTTTTTCCGATGCTCAGACCAGACCGAGCCAAGAGGATCCTTGGAGGAGCTGCTCTTCATCTTGCGCTCCTCCTGGGCTCTTGTTAAGCCTATGGGAATTATGGTATATACTTCTTACTATTATATTCGTAATGCAGGATTTATATCATCAACCCTAGGACTCTTGATCCGGTGGGTTTAAGGCCAAGCCCTAAACCTCATACTTAGTAGCTGAGTGGATACACTTTACACTTTTTTGGGATAATATTAGCCACGATAAAGCTGAAAGTGTACACTTTTTGGGGCTTAGGAACTCAGCAACAAAGTCAGGGATTTTGACCCAAGATTGCCTGTAAAATAGGGATCTATAGTAAATGACATGGTTCCCCCATTCTTATACATGTGTGGTTACTTAAGTTAACTTCCGTATTAACAAGAACCCAGTCTCTTTTCAACTTCGAGTTTGGTTTGCTCTTGCTACGCCATGTTAAACCTTTTAACGGGTTTGGGGTTTAGGAATTGGGGCACGATCTAAGCCCTCAACCCCAACAGCATTTTTTTTCTTCAGGCTGCTGCTGATGCCACGGCAGGTGTGAGCCCTAATCCCTTCAGCCTGAAACGTTAAATCCCTAATAGGGGACCTTGATTCGATACCTTAAACAGCAGGATCCTTATTCTAAGGACCCCAAGTAAGGTACCCCTAATTTTCGGAAACCCCCATATAACCCTGATTTCCTGGACTTTCGGAGGCCCTAAACCCTAAACCCCAAACAAAAAAACCCTAAACCCTAAACCCTAAAGGGAACTCCAGAAACTTGGAATATGGATTAATGGTAGGATCCCCTATAATTTACCTTAAAGGGGATACGATAATGATATTCCAACTTTCTGGCTTCTACTGCAAACCTAAACCGAAAACGGCCTTCCGGCACCCCCCGCGAAGGCTCGGAAGGTTCGCACCGTCGAACTCGTTGCCAATGCGGAGATGCGTGGACGTTCTGTTCCCTGGGTGAAAGAGGGTTTAGGATTTAGGGTTAAGGGCTAAGTTAAGGGATCCAGGAATGTTGGGTTTGGTGATTACAAACTAGATGAAATTAGGCATTGCGGCTCTGGGTTTAAGGCTTCAGAGGGCTTTAGGGTCTTTGGTTATCGGGCCGCAGGGTTTGGATGTTTCAGGGTTTGGGTTATTTTGCACGCCCAGAAGTTCAAGGTTGAAATCAAGCTAGGATGCCCCTGTAGTACCCTTATTCCCTATTTGTAGTGCCTAGGTTCCTTGTAAAGTTACCCAATACCAAAAAAGGGAGCCCTTTTTATCCCTAGGTCACTGGGCATCCGAGACTGAGAGTCTTGAACTGGAAACTGAAACCTTTAGGAGGCTTGTCGCAGTTAAGCTTTGGGACATTTTATATTTTCCCTTATTGGGCTTAAGAGGATCTTATTTACTAATATTTTTCAAAGGCTTTAAAAGCCCCACCTAGTTAAGTATCATGGCCTGCTTTCCTGATTTGCTTGTAGCTTGGAGCTTACCACAATCCATTTAGGGTGTAGCCGCGTAGTCTCCATTGTAGTTCCTGTTTTGGGTCTACCAAAATCTCTCTTATAGGATCCCAACCCTCAAACTGGCTAACCCAAAAAAGGAACTACAATGGAGACTATATAGGTAGGGTTTAGGGTTTAGGGTTTACGGTTTAGGGTTTAGGGTTTAGGGTTTAGGTGTGGCACTGGCCTCAACCCTGAGTCGAGTTGTGCGCATATTGCAGAACGGGTGCTGCGCTTATGCCCTAGTAGTAGAGTAGGTAACCTGGAACCTTTTTTTGGGTAGGATGGTCGCTAAATAACCAAAAAGGTTATAACCTTTAGTTCCCCATGATACCCGACAAATAGGATGTGAAGATGCGACATGGGTGCTTTTCCGCATTGCATGCTGCGTGCTTGGCTAGGTTGAAGCATGCGTCTGGGTGGCTGAAACGTACCGGACTTCGGGCATGTCCTTCCGAACGGACACAAGCGGGAATCATGCCGAACCCTATGTCAAACACGCTAAGCTTGGCTTCCACCGTATACCCCTGAAGCCCTAGACAGTAAACCCAATCCCAAACCCCCAAGCCCTGAACCCCCTATCAACCCTCAATGCCCAAACCCTTAATCCCAAGCCCTGAACCCGTACTCCTCAAACCCTAAACCCTTAAAAACCCGTGAAGCCACTACTATAGGGGCCTTAATAATTGCCGATACTACTTTGGTTACTTATTTCATGTTGTATGATGGGCCCCAAAAGCTACATCACAGATCCCTACTATTTATAATAGTTTATAGAGCCCTTATAGAACCCTTTAAAGGAACCCTCTAAAGGTCTCTTTCTAACATTCAAAACCCTTATAAATAGTATCCCTATAGAGATCCCTTGCCCTTAAAGGAGCCCTTTAAAGGAACCCCTAAACCATAAACCTAAAGCCTAAACCCGAAACCCCGAAACCCCGAAACACCGAAACCCTAAACCCTTAAACCCTAAACCCTAAACCCTAAACCCCTAAACCCTTAACCCTTAAACCCTAAACCCTTAAACCCCAAATCCTAAACCCCTAACCCTAAACCCTTAAACCCTAAACCCCTAAACCTAAAGCTCGAATTCCTAAGGCCCCTTTGTTTAAGCTCTGATTTTTTTACAGGAACCCTTCAAGGAACCCTTTTAGCTCGAATTCCTAAGGCCCCCTTTGTGTAAGCCTGCCCGTGTCCCAGGCCACGGAGGACGAGGAGGCGGAGAGGGCCATATGCTCCGATCCAGGTCCCTCGGGGCTTGAATTACTGAAACTAGGGTTTCCTTTAAAAGGGGGGTCCTTAAAGGGCCCTATAAGGGTTTAGGGCTTTAGGGTTTAAGGGTTTTAGGGTTTATGGGTGCAGGGGTTTTAGGGTTTAGGGGTCTGGGGGTTTAGGGTTTTAGGGTTTAGGGGTCTGGGGTTTAGGGCTCAGGGTTCAAGGTTCGGGGCCTTGATAACTAAAATAGGGTTCCTTTAGAACGGGGGTCCTTAAAGGGCCCTAGAAGGGATCATAGTACGCATCTATGGTCAGGGATTGAGGCTTTAGCTATCTATGCGTGTGTGGTCTTCGGGTCCTTTAAAGGCTACTATAAGGGTTCCTTTAAGGGATCTGTAGGGTTTTGGGGTTTTGGGGTTGAGGGTTTGGGGCTTTGGGGTTCGGGGGTTGGAAGATCAGGGCTGACGGTTTCGGGCCGTTTAGGGTTTAGGGTTCAGCTTGAGGGTTTCTTAGGGGTACTTAGAAATAATTTTTAATTTTTGGTTATTATAATCCCTAAGAAACAGCTAAAATTATAATTTGTGCCAGGGTTCTAAGTTCAGTATAGGTTTAGGGTTGAGGGCTTGGAGCTTTAAGGTTCAGGGTTTAGGATTGAGGGGATTTGTAGGGGGGTTTAGGTGTTATAGGGGTTAAGGGGATTAGAGTTTTTAAGTGGTTGGCATTTTAGGGTTTTGGGGGTAACGGGTATAAGGTTTACAAATGTGTACGGTGTAATTAGTCGCGTAGGGTTTTGGGCAGTTTAAAGTTTCTGGGGGTGCAGAGCGGGTTTCTTTCCCTATACCCCTAACCCGAGGCCCTAGACCCTAAACCCGTAAACACTAAACCCTAAACCCCTAAACCCTAAACCCGTCCTGGTTTGGGTTGCAGGTTCAGGAAGGTCAACACACTGTGCCGCGAGAATCCTCCACAGAATCACAAGTGTCATATAAGGTCCGGAGAATTAGTGCCCCATCCCCTTATAGTACCTTGCAGCCCCTATAAAACTCGAATATACTATCCCCCAGACCTTGCTATACCAAACCCTAAACCCCTAAACCCCTACACCCCTAAACCCCTAAACCCTAAACCCCTAAACCCTAAACCCCTAAACCCTAAACCACTAAACCCCTAAACCCTAAACCCCTAAACCCTACACCCCTAAACCCTACACCCCTAAACCCCTAAACCCTAAACCCCTAAACCCCTAAACCTTATTTCAAGTAGCAAGGCTCTATAGTAACCGTTGATCTGATCCACCGGCCCCAACCGAACCAGCCCCTTTCAAGGTTTGGGGCTTTAGGGTTTTGGGGTTTAGGGTTTAGGGTTCAAGGTTCGGGATTTCAGGGTTTAGGGTTCGGGGTTTAGGGTTTAGGGTTCAGGGTGGTGGGTTCCGGGTTTAAGGTTGTGAAGCTTGCGGACGTGCGCCCCAAGCCTGAACTGGTGGCTATCAAGAGATCCCCTTCGTAATTATTCAGAGTCAGACCCTGAACCCTGCACTTATGCAGTTGTCAGAAGAACGGGTTTCAATGGAAAAGCGAGTATTAAAGCTCAACCGGGCATACTGTTTCGGAAAAAGTAGTAGTTCCTTGCAGGTGCCACATTCACGGAACTGGCTCGATGCGTGCTGCATCTTGGGACGATATGTATAGATGCAATCGTCTTAAGCTTCTGTTGAGGTTGCCACGTGTTCTTGTTTTGTTTTTTTTGGTAGGCCTTGCGGTAGTGAAGCCGGACGGAAGTGGTACAAAACGTGTGGACGGTTCTCGCGACTGAGGAGAAGAGATGTTGAGAAGGCCTGGCCCGCTGCACACACGCAGCATCTTTTGAAAACAACCCCAAAAATCCCTATCCCGAAAGCCTTACACCCTAAAAGCGCAAACCCTAAACCCCTAACAAAACCCGGACTAAACCCTAAAAGCTTAAACACCAAAGCACTACGATCTCCTAAACCCTAGAGCCCTAAAGCCCAAATTCTCAATCCTCATTCCCTCACGGGCCCCGAACCTGAAAATCGAAGATGTGATCTTCCACAGAACATACACGCGTACCTTCTTGCATACACACACATACATACCAGCATGTTTGTGTATATAATGTGTATATATATATATATATATATATATATATATATATATAGAAATACGTACATACATACACGTGTGTATACTAACATAAGCACGTACACACATTTCTATATGCCATTACGAAATCGCGATGAACATTATTGAGTCGGAGCTTCGGGCATGGGTTATAGCCTGAACTCAACATACGAATCTTTGTGTAGCCGGCTATATTCACATGCTTGAGAACAAAGTATGTTTGCAACGCATGTCAGCAGGGTGGACGTATGAGCATGTGTGGGTATGTATAAATATGTGTACATATACATATATATATATATATACACACATGCACAAACAGGTAAGCACAGATATGAATAGGTGTAGTGAGGTCGTGATAGAAATTTACCTAGTCATACAGTCAGACACAGAAGGATTAAATACAGACAGCGATGCAGATGGGGAGAGAGGGGAGACACAGGGAAATCTTCAGCGTCGTTTTTCTGGTCGCAGTCAGTCGGTGGCACATGTGTGCGCGGCTTGAACTTCAGGAAGGTCTGGCCCCAAAGTACCTGTACAGGGACTACTGTAAGGACACTGTGTATATACTACATAGTTACAGGACCCTGAAGGAATGTGCAGAGCACGAAGTACAGCATCGAGCCCCGGCCTCGGACTTTAAGCCCCAAAGCCTTAGTCCACACCCTGAACGGTTTGGGGTTTGGTTGGCTGGGGTTTCGGGTTTAGGGCCCCACCAGGTGTCGAAGCTGGTTCGGAGCGGCGTGTCTGTCAACATGGCTCTTCGGGAGGCCTCGTAATTGTTTTCAGCCTAAACCTCAACCCTAAACTCCTCATGCCCTCAAGCTACCTTAACCCCACGTAACCTACCTTTTTAAGGACTTATATAAAGAAATCATATTAGGGAACCCTAAAAAAAGGTAGGTTCCTTAGGGTCCAGGTACAAACCCGAAACATTTCAACCGGGGACCCCCCCCCGAAAGCCTTGCAGGCCTTTGAGCCCCAAAATCCCCTCAACTCAAGGCCTCTAGACCTTAAAGTAAAAGCCAGAAAGTTGGAATATGATTATCCTAAACCCTTTATGGTAAATTATAGGGGATCCTACCATAAATCCATATTCCAACTTTCTGGAGTTTCCTTTAAACCCAAAGCTAAATTCCTTGACAGGAAAAATGGCTCAACTCCGTGACCCTCAAACGCCAACCCCCAAACTTACACATCACCAAGGCCCCAAACAGTGAGCCCAAATCCCAAACCTTAACCCCGAAGAACCTACATTTCTAAGGACTTATATAAAGAAATCATACTAAGGAGCCCTAAAAAGGTAGGTTATTCAGGGTTAAGGGAGACCTTAAATCCGAAGCCCCACAATCCCAAAACTCAGAACACGTCAACCCGGGAGCCCTCCAGAGAGCCCAATACTCCTTAATTAAGGAACATAGCTTAAATCATAAGATGAAGCCCCTTATGATTTAAGCTATGTTCCTTACTTAAGGGGTATTGGGCTCTCTGGGCCTCTAGCTCTAAGCCCTGTAGGGCCCTAAGCCCCGAAGAGCCCTGCACCAGGATCTGCAAGTTGGGGGTTTTGGAGATGGCCAAGCTTTAAACTCATTGCTGAGAGCTTTGCATGGGTTTGGCGACGACTTAGGGTCTATAGTTAGGGTTTGGGGTTTAAGGTGTAGGGTTTAGGGTTACTTCTTAATTCTTTCTATTTGTTAGCATTCCTTGTTCTAATTGTACAGTACTCCCCATACAGTTGGAAACCGGATGAAGGCCAAACAGTGCTGGGATTCCCTATACATTGCTCTTGAGGATTGAGGCTATTGAATGGGTTTCCAACTTCTGGGCTTCTACTGTAGGTTTCATAGACGTTGTGTAGGGCGGTCATAATGGTCCAGTCCAAAGCCCTGACCGGAGGAGCATGGTGGCTTTGTGCACTTCTCCACCCTGCTCCATGCGGCCGCCAGATTTGTGGAAGTTGGTGTATTTGTTGGTTCCTCTGATCCCTAAAAGCCCTGGAGCTTGACTAAGGGGTTTGTACGGTTTTTTGAATAAGATGCACGAGGAGTTTTACGAAGGAGTGGGGCATTTAGGGCCTCAGGCTTTAGGGTTTAGGACTCCAGGCCTTTTGCACGAAGCCAGTCGCGGCCTAGCTAGCCAGACGCAATCTTCAACCGCCACTAGGGCCACAGTATCGTTATCGTCGCTGTCTCATGCCGTATCTATGCTGCTGGTATCATTGTATCATCCATCGCAATTTGTTGTGGCAGCTACTGTATTGCCGTATTGCCCTCGTTGACATTGTTGTTCTTGGTGGTACTAGTTACTGCCGTCGCTACGTGTGGCTTTGTCTTTGCTGTTGTCGTCGTTGTTGCTGTTGTTCCTCCGCCAGTATTGCTGTACGAAGCTGGCATTGCAAACGTTAGTTGTCTTGTGAATTGGCATTGGCATTGCCGGTACTGTCGGTGGTGTTGGTTCTGTGATTTGCTGGCGGAGCGGTAGTAATTGCAGCAGCATCGTGATCATCGCACTAAGTAGTTCTCCACTGTCTTCAAATTTACCCTCGCTGATCCACATGTGCAGTTTGTCTGAGCCTAACCCCCTAGATGGGGGGTATTTAATTAGCACGCTTCCCGTTCGGAAGAGGATGCTAAACACCGAGCGACGAAGGTCGGTTGCGCTTTTCAGCTGCACCGATGTGATGTACACTTATTCGGAGCCGCGGTGGCTGGTGATCAGAAGAGGCACCATAACTTTTCCCTGGAACTCTATCCGAACTATTCAAGTCACAGGCGGTCCTCTGTCCCGAATCCCTAAACCCCTGCACACCCTAAACCCGGAACAACAATGCAACCATCTGGGTGGTTGTCAAAATTATGGTCCCTCTTTGGGTCCTGATTATAATACGGCACCTATTATTCAGGGTACCACAAAAAGGGACCGGAATTTTGACAACCACCCATCTGAGGTTTGTGACATGCCGACGGAGCCTACCGGCCTTCCTCAGGACCACTCCTCCGTGAGAGCGGAGAGTCTTTTTCGTCGGCCACAACCTGCATTTTAGGGTTTGGGGCAAGGATGTAGGAGAAGTGTAAAGATTAACTTTGATTGCTGTAAAGGGAACTCCAGAAAGTTGGACTATGGATTAATGGTAGGATCCCCTATTATTTACCTTAAAGGGGTTACGATAATGATATTCCAACTTTCTGGCTTCTACTGTAACGGTAAGGAACCTATGCTGCTCTTTTGAGTAGCTTCCGGCGTCACGACCAGTGTCCTACTACAGTGCTAGGCCGTTGTCTTTGTTCTACAAGCCGAGCAGCCCGAACCACTTGACCTTGAACTCAAGCCCTCACTGACCCTAACCGCAAGACCCTAAACCGATACTTGTAGGAGGGTTTGGGTTTGGGGTTTAGGGGCTTGGGCTAAACCCTGAACCGTCAACCCTAACCCCTTTTCGTACCCTTATCGAAACCCTACAGAAACCCTTGCAGATCCGTTTAAGGAACCCTGAACCCCTGAAGCCCTAAACTACTACGGTTCAGGGTTTAGGCATCTTCTTGGTTTGATGGGCTGTGGACTTCCGGCTTCGCTTGCCGGGCTGACGTCTGACGTGTAAATCAGATGGAGGCTGGGCCCTGGAGTTGCCATAGTTCTGCATACACATGTATGTATGTATAAATATGTGTGTAAAAAATACATATTTTCATAGATATATACACATGTTGACAATATATATATATATATATATATATATATATATATATACATATAATATATATACTGTGTATTATGTTTCTAAGGTCCTGCCGGTTAAAGGAAGCCCTATGAAACAAGAGTTTATCCTTTGTCTCCCCGGCCACTTCACACTCCCGGCGAGGTCTCTATGAGAGCCCCCAGAGACTCCAATATCGCTTAATTAATTGAGGAATATACCCCAAAATATTTTAGGATCCTTCATATGATTTACGGTATATTCCTTAACTAAAATATTTTAGGATCTTTCATATGATTTACGGTATATTCCTTAATTCGGCATTCGGGGATAGGTGAGGTCTCTATGAGGCTCCTGCCAAGGTCTTACGGGTCTTGCAGAGGCTTTGGGAGATTAGGAGTTTTGTTTAGGGTGTATGGTGGGTGCCTTTTAAGAGGTTCTATGCGGTGTCACATAGGGTTTAGGGTTTAGGGTTTAGGGTTTATGGTGGGTGCCTTTCAAGGGAACTCCAGAAAGTTGGAATATGGATTAATGGTAGGATCCCCTATAATTTACCATAGAAGGGGGTTAGGATAATGATATTCCAACTTTCTGGCTTCTACTGCAAGAGGTTCTATGCGGTGTCACAGGTGTGTTACGGGGTTTCTTGAAATTGGGTGTCCCTGTTTAGCCCTTGTAAGAAGACCCTGCACGCTGACACCCCGTAAAAGCCCGAAACCCGTAACCCTGACCCCAAACCCTGGACCCTAACTCACCAAACCCCAAACCTGTAAACTCAAACCCACAGCCCTATGCCCTAGACCCTAACTCCGAAACCCTAAACCCTGTGTTTAGCCTTCCCCGAAACACCACACTGCTTTCACTAACCTCAAACCCTAAACCCTAAGCCCTAAACCGTCGCAGGAGGGATGTGTTCCCATCATCGAGGCGCTGATCTTGGCAAAGGCCTGGGCAAGATCTCATCTGGAAGTTTCCGGAAACGAGGGGACCCTGATATACTACCCTAAATGGTAGGATCCTTATTATAAGGGCCCCAAAATAAGGTACTCCTATTTTTCGGAAACTCCCATCTAGAGAAACTCAGTTTGTTTTTCGTTTGGTGGTTTGAGGGAAGGGTTCAGGGTGTTTAGGGTCTCAAGACGGTGTTTTTTTTAAGGGCTTTAGGGTGTAGGACCTTTCCTTTTTGGTGGTACTGGGGCTTCGGATTTCATGGTTTGCATCTCAACAGCGGTTTGTGCGTTCTGTCCTGTTTTGGTGGCTTCAGAGCCATATTTCTTGGGCCTTGTAGTGTCCTTTGGTGCGGATTCGGTTTCAGAAATATTGAAGAGGTGCCTTGTTCAGCGGTCCAGATCACATGTAAGTATCCTGCTGTGTAGACTCTCTAAGAGGGTCTCTTACTGTCAGAAGCTCTCTATCCGTATTAATTGAGTTGCTGGTGGGTTTGCGGTTTTAGGATGGTTTAGGGTTTGTAGTGGTGCAGACCGTGAGCGATTTAGGGATGCTGATCAAGTTGCACACAACCCTGAATCCCAGAATATGAATCCCAGAACATGGGGTTTCGGGTTTGCAGCTAGTGAGCAGTCTTCTGAACTCTACGTATCCCAGTTTGTTACCGCACCATAGAGAACTATTCCGTGTGCTATTGCGCTGTTGCCGTTCGACAGTAAAATATGGAAGCTTATTATGTAAACCTGAAACTGTATAAGCCCGAGAAGCCCTAAACCCATAACTATCAACCCTCTAAGCCCCAAACTCTGCAGCTATCAACTAAGCCCTATCCAAGCCATGCGGGCGTGCGCAGAGGCCAATATCAACCCGAGGAACTCAACTGGGGCAACCCCGATTATGCGCCTCGTCTTCAGAGATAGAGCTGAAGGTTTAGGATTTACCTGGACCCTAAAGAACCTACCTTTTTAGGGTTCCCTACTATGCTTTCCTTGTATAAGTCCTTAAAAAAGGTAGGTTAATTGGGGTTTAGGGCTTCAGGGGTTCAGGGTTCTTTAAACGGATCTACAAGGGGTTCTGTCGGGTTTCGATAAGGGTACGAAAAGGGCTTAGGGTTCAGGGTTCAGGGGTTTAGGGGTTTAGGGTTTAGGCCTGAAGGGTTTGGGGTGTGTTTTGGTTTAAGAAGGGGCGCCAAAGGGCTTCTTTAGGCTAGTTGTATATAATATAGGGCTTGTCATCGTCTTACGATTTTAAATGGGCATAGGACTTGGTGTTTTGGTTTCTAGGCTCCAGGTTTTAGATGTATGAGGTGTTTCCGGTTCAAGGTTTTGAGTGTATACAGGGTTTATGGTTTAGGTTTTTTCTGGGCATAGGGTCTCGGTTTTGACAGGGTTTAGGGTTTCCACTGAGACGTTTAGGATGTGGGTGTGGTAGATCGCAGACACTTCATGGCCTACAGGATTTCATGGGACGTTGAGGAAGCTTGTGCGAGCCTTCCTGCTGGGTGTTTAGTTTTTCACATTTGGGGCTCCTTTTGGTGCACCTTCGAGTTCTGTTCCTGCCACGGAATTCCGGGTGCGGCGTAGTCAAACGTAAAAACCCCAAACCCAAAACCCTGAACACAGAACCGTATAGTATAATGGGCCTCAACACCCTATTCTACTCATCAAGGCCCCCATATTATAGTGCCCTTATAGAGCCCTTCTAGGCCAGCAAGCAGACCTAGTAGGCTCCGAGAAGTATTTCTCTGCCAAGGCGCATCAGATCTCTCGGGGCAGCGAACCTGAGAAAAAGGAACCTACAAAGTACGGGATCCGTCTTCTAATCGGGATCCTAGGTATGGACCATATCCCTAAACCCTAAACCGCCAGGCAAGCAGCCCCCTTAGACTTCTTGGACCTCTAGGCAAGCAGTCCCCTAGGTTTCTTGCAGGTGTCACATGGCTGGTTGTCAAAATTATAGGGTCCCTTTTTGGGCCCTTATTATACTACGGCACCTGATATGTGGGGTACCCCATAGGGACCCTAAGTTAGACAACCACCCACATATTGTAACTCAAAGGGGAAAAGGAGGGACCCTTACTGGGACCCCTACCCTATAATGGGCTATATAATGGGTATCTCATAGCTATATTAAGGGTATATACCTAAGGGTCCTTATTAAGGGTCCCTCCTTTTCCCGTTTGAGTAACCGATCGTCTTGCTGTAGAAACTCGACGAAAGCCCACGGGCATCCTCTGCCTCTCACGGTTTTAAGTTTTGTAGTAGACCCTGAACCCTAAACCTTGCGACGCCCCTAAACCCTACTAAACCCCAAACCCTAAAAACCCTGCCCAACCCTGCACTTTAAGACCTAAACCCCTGTAAGGTATGCCTGCCGTCAGAAGAACGTGGAGGTGGTGAAGATGCCGCTCTTCTGGTTAGGGTTGAGGGTTTCGTGTGTAATTAGGCAGTCGGGACTTTCAACAGCTTCGAACTCTTTTGATGACGGCTACCGGAAAGCAATGAGCTTCTAGGTCAAGCTGAGTGCCCTGAACCGTAGGCCCTACAGATCCCTAGTTGCTTTACTTTTCTAGCGTCGTTGATGCCGCTCAACGCCCTGCAGCACTGATTGCGAGCCTGATTCCTAAACCCTAAGCCCTAAGCCGCCTTAAACCCCAACCCCGGAAGAAGACAAATGCCCATATAATACCGTAACCGTGGTGGCTTTAACTACGAGGCTGTCCTTCTTCTGTGTTGATGCGGCACTGCCCCGATGCCTAGCACTTCCATGTGAACTCAAGGCGCCTATCTCAAGAAGATGCCAGCACTCCAAACCATACAAGACTAGGTAGGGCTTTGGGACATTTCATATTTTCCCTTATTGGGAATAAGAGGATCCTATTTACTAATATTTTTCAAAGGCTTTAAAAGCCCCACCTAGAAGAAGTCAGGCTAAACCCTAATCCCAAAATCCTGAAACCCCCTAAACCCTGAACCCTACGACTGGCTGAGGGAGGTTTGGCGCAAGTTTAGTGTTCAGATGGGAATTTCCGAAAATAGGGGACCCCAATATAGTACCCTAAACAGTAGGATCCTTATTATAACGACTCCAAACTGGGCAGCCCTATTTTTCGGAAGCTTCCATATGGCCGTGGACGAGGCTCATTAGCCATGGTGCCCGCGTTTGGCCCTGCGACGAGGCGGGTGCAGAGAGATAGTCGCCGCTACGAGATTAACTGCGACTGACTCAGCCCATGGATCTTTGGAAGTTGAGTCCTGGGGTTCGGGGTTTGGAGTTTTGGATTTGGGAGTGGTAGGGATTCAGTTTGGGGATGTAGCGGCACTTGGAGACTTAGAGATATTATCTTGAAATGTCTTACAGGGAGCCTTTTATAAACCCGGAACGCAACCCTACATCATAAACCCTAGACCCTAAACCATGTGTTGACGCTGCTTGCATCGCTGGTGAGCTAAGTAAACAAGCTTCCTTTCATCGCATTTGCACGAGGCTTGCATAATGTGTTTCGTTTTGTATACTTGCTGCTTAATGTTACTTGTGGTTTCATTTTTGTCATGACCAGTACTGGTGGTATTATCACTGTTACTGCTGCTCTTTTTTGTATTTTGTTTATTGGCCTCAGTCATCGTCGTCGTTTTCAGAGTCGCAGTCGGTGTCGCGGTCGTCGTAATCGTAATGTAGTGGTAGTAGAAGAAGAAGTTGTAGTGGTACTGGTGACAGTGGTAGTAGTGGTAATAGTGGTAGTATTGGCCGTTGTGGTGGTAGTGGTAGTAGCGGTGGTAGTGGTGGTAGTGGTGGTAGTGGTAGTGGTAATGCTGGTAGTGGTAGTGGTAATGCTGGTAGTAGTAGTAGTAGTAGTAGTAGTAGTAGTAGTAGTAGTAGTAGTAGTAGTAGTAGTAGTAGTAGTAGTAGTAGTAGTAGTAGTAGTAGTACGCGCTTTGCGTGTATTTGACGCTGTGTTTTTTGGTGCATGCATGTCCGAAACACACGGCAGGGACGTCATTTCCGCATGCGCATGTCGTTGTGAGCCGAGCGCCCTGGATCGTGGGTTTTATCGGCTCAAGTGAAAGTCATGCCATGATGATGTCAAACATGCTCGCGATTAGCCCCCCCCCCACCCCCCCCCCCCAGGTCAATGATGATGTTGATGAGTAAGATGATGTTGATGAGTATGATGATGATGATGACTGTATTTTAGGTCGTTCTGGCGCTCGGGTCTGCATGGTCCTTCTTTAAAGAGATAAAAACGAATAACCACGGAAATGCTGTAAATACCAGTATATCTAGGCCCTGAGTATGATGATGTTGATGAGTATGATGATATTGTCTATCACCGTGATGATGATGTTGATGGCGACAATGAATTTGACGGTTTTGAATGTTACTGTTATGATGATGATGTCAAACATGCTCGCGATTAGCCCCCCCCCCCACCCCCCCCCCAGGTCAATGATGATGTTGATGAGTAAGATGATGTTGATGAGTATGATGATGATGATGACTGTATTTTAGGTCGTTCTGGCGCTCGGGTCTGCATGGTCCTTCTTTAAAGAGATAAAAACGAATAACCACGGAAATGCTGTAAATACCAGTATATCTAGGCCCTGAGTATGATGATGTTGATGAGTATGATGATGATGATGACTGTATTTTAGGTCGTTCTGGCGCTCGGGTCTGCATGGTCCTTCTTTAAAGAGATAAAAACGAATAACCACGGAAATGCTGTAAATACCAGTATATCTAGGCCCTGAAACCAAGTCGCAGATGTCCCAAAAGCAGGAAAAGCATGGCGTCAAATACACGCAAAACGGGTAGTAGTAGTAGTAGTGCAGGAGTAGCAGCAGCAGTAGCAGTAGTAGTGGCGATGGTCCTGGCAGTGCTAGTGGCAGAGTTTTTTGTGCGTGGTAGTAGTACTATTCGTAGTATTCGAATTAGTAATACTAGTACTAGTAGTAGTAGTAGTAGTAGCAGCAGCAGTAGTAGTAGTAGCAGCAGCAGGAGTAGTAGTAGTAGTAGTAGTAGTTGTTGTTGTAGCGGGTAGTGGTAGTGGTTGTGGCAGTGGCAGTGGTAGTAGTAGTAGTAGTAGTAGTAGTAGTAGTAGTAGTAGTAGTAGTAGTAGTAGTAGTAGTAGTAGTCGTATTAGTAGTAGTAGCAGCAGCAGCAGGAGTAGTAGTAGTAGTAGTAGTAGTAGTAGTAGTAGTAGTGTAGTAGTAGTAGTAGTAGTAGTAGTAGTAGTAGTAGTAGTAGTAGTAGTAGTATCCCTTCTGCATTGACCACGAAGTCGGCGCAAAGATCTGGATTGTGTGTGCCGAGAGCAGCCAGTGGAGTTTATGGCCGTTGGCAAGCAACACTAAGACTGGCAAACAAAAGACGGCAGCCTGAACAGCTCAGCAACTTATTCAAGCTTTCCTCCTTATAGTTAGCGTATGGACCCTACCTTGTTTCATCAAGTAGCATGAGTGCCACCACGCTGATCGCCCCTTTGCTTAACTACCCGACCCTGCAACTCCAGATTTCAAAACTCGATTGTCTGGGGTTTAGGTCAAGACAAGCTTGACTAATTATATCAGGTTTCGGATTTTCATGGACTGCTCGCCTGCTAAAACACTGCATAAAGCGACGGCTCATGTAGTATAGTGGCAATGTATGGCACAATCTAGCAAGGTAATGCCCGTGCGGCATCACACCTCATGCATGGTGGACTTTGTAGAGTCCAGCGCTTCCATCCCTGTATCCGATGCCGCCTGGATCATACCGTGTTGACCACAACTTATGTAGGAGAAGGCCAGACATGAGTGTAAAGTTTTCAGTTATAGGTCAAGGGGGTTGTGACCTGCAAGAGGGGCCCAGTCCCAGACATCGCATGTTCCATCCTGATAGCAGAGCTCCCAGACAAGGTTCGGTGACGGTTCCATTTTGGGAGGGTTGTCCTGTGCAATAACGAAATGATGTACCACGCGAATCCTTTCATGCTGGCGCTTGTGGTGTCCACGCAGAAAGCGCCCTTCGCGGTTCGTGAACTGTACACGTCCGATAATTGCGCTAATGGTAGCGGCGTTGCTGCTGCGAAAGACATTGCGAGGGTCTGCATGGTGCCGCAGAACTACAAAGTGCTTCTGTATTCTCGGAGGATTGTATACCGATATTACGATTCTTCGGACGTGTCTTGCAGTGGACCTCTAACCCGGAGCGAAGTGATCTTAACTGACGAATGTGTGCTTGATGCTGAAGCGTCGGAGATTCAGAACGAGTCCCGCTACGCAAAGTGGACGACGCTTTTGTATGATGCTGTCGTTGAGCAGGTGTATGATTCCGCAGACTGCTCCGGCACCATTTTGGAAACCAATGTGCTGGAGCTGGGAGTGTGCGATCATCAGCACAGACGCACATTTGCATGCCATGAGGGCGTGGTCGAGGAGCTGCATTACAATGTCGGGTGCGCTGGCGACAATCAGTCGTGGCTGTCGTTCCCTTTGCAAGACTGCATTCCCCATCATTCTTCTGAGAACAGAAGTCGAAAATTTACTTCCTTTTCCTGCAGAATAAGCGATGCGAGCCGAAGGTTCGCCATTGGCTTTTGGGCAACATGCCTCTCCTTTCTGGCATACCACTTCAGAGGTGCAGAGTGCCAAGCTTGACTGGAGAAAACAAGCAGGAGCCACCATAGCCAAGGCAACCTCGGCATTACAACTGACTGTTTATCTAATGTAGGGGCCTTATAATAATTATCTATACTCTTTTAGGGGTTCCTTATTTTCAATATGGTTTAAATGTCCCAAAAAGCCCTAGTCTAATTGTTTAAGGCTCTTATATTACGGGTGTTATCAGGCGAGTGTTCGGTTGATGTGTATCAGTGTCCAGCCGCTGCGGGTACCCCAACGCCTAATCTCTAAACTGCAACTGGCTGCCTTCCACTGTAGCTACCCAAAGGGTCCTACGTACTGTTATGGGGGATACTTCCCTGGATCATAATAGTAATTCCTAATATAGAAACCCCACATTCCACCATATAGGTACATAGGACCCTTTGGGGTAGGAATAGCATGATCGACAAATCCTTTCAGAACTAAGCTGTGAACTCTACTCTAATCATCGAGGTGTTACTTAGGGGGACAAGGACTCCCCCTGTTGGTGACCCCAGCTTGGCTTCCACATGGCCTGTGATGCTTCGGATTTGCGGTGGCAGATCCGGAACCCGGCACCACAACCCTAAACGCCCTCAATCACCGAAATCCCTAAACACCTCCCCATTGCCCATTTTGGTGTTCTTAGGCTCCTCGTAACTAGCCAGCAGAAATCCAGTCTCGTTGAGACTATTCCAGAGCGTTAGGTTCCGAAACACCAAATTTCCGATAATGTACGGGTTTGAATACATGGTAACCGGTAGTATGCCCTTGAAGTCCCTTGATGTAACTATAATATTCTGTTCCCCCAAACCGTATTCTAATCATTGCGTCCCCCAACCTATTTGGTTGCATAGATGGTTCGTTTTGGAAGTCCTAATGTGCTGGCTCGGGATCAGAGAGTCTACCTGGACTCTCCGCCCTGGTTTCTTAGTTTGTCTAGCCCTCTTCTTTATTGATACAGCAGAAGCCCAGCCTCAATCCTTAAGAGTCATGGATCGGGAATCCCAGCAGTAATTGTCCTTCATCAGGTTTCCAACTTTCTAGGGTTTCGTACATGGGAGTTTCCGAAAACAGGGGACCCTAAGATAGCACCCTAAATAGTAGGCTCCTCAGTATAAGGACCCCAAAATAAGGTAAGTTTCGGGAACTCCCATATACGTTCCTACTGAGAGGATCATGGGACTTAGTAAGTAGGGTTCTAAGTAAAGTAACTACAGTTATAATTACTAGAGTAATAAGTAAAGTAACTACAGTTATAATTACTTATAACCCCAATCAAGGTACTTAGAACCCTACCTACTAAGTCCCATGATCCTCTAAGTAGCCAAAATATCTTAAACAACAGCCGAAGACATCTGCGGGTTTAGGAAGACCCTGGGTTCTGGGCCCAGAAATTTGGAGGTTTAGGGTTCAGTGGTTGATTTAGGGTTTAACTTAGGGTTTAAGGTTTAAGGCTTCTTTAGGGTTTATTGTTGATTTAGGGTTTAGGCTTTAATGCAGGGCTTAAGGTTTAGGGTTTAGAGCTTCTTTAGGGTTTAGGGTATAAGGTTCAGGGCTTAGGGTGTCCCAGACCCTTTCCCAAGAAGCCCACATCGCCTCAGGATTCAGTTTCTAACCCTAAACCCTATGGGTTTAGGGTTTTAGGGTTTAGGGTCTAGGGTTTAGGGTTTAGGATTTAGGGTTGAGGGTTTAGGGTTTTGGGTTTAAGGTCTAAATTCTGGAGGACGGGCACAGCTGCATCAACTGGGCCATAGCTCTACACGAAGAGGCCCCGCGGAAGCAATCATGTCTTTAGGGTATCACTTTGGGAGTTTCTGAAGATTGGGGGGTACCTTTCGGGGGTCCTTATAATAAGGTCCTTATAATGAGGATCCTTTTGGGGGTCTTTATAATAGGATCCTACTATGAGGTAATATATATATATATATATATATATATATATGTCTTTTTAAGGTTCCCCTGTTTTAGGAACCTCCCCTTTCTTTCTTGAGAACAAGGGGTTTTGCTGGGCTTTTCTGGAGCTAGAACAGGAGGGGCCGAGTAGGAACATTCGGCTGCATTCGGGGTGGATTTGCGCTTGGGCAGTGGGCATGAGCGAGTTACCCTAGACCCGCAAACCCATAAACCCTAAACCCTAAATCCTTAAACCCTAAACCCCAACCCCTAAACCCGAAATCCTGAACCCCAAAACCCGAAATCCTAAACCCCTAAACCCTAAACGCCCAAACCCCTAAACCTTAAAGGGAACTCCAGAAAGTTGGAATATGGTTTCATGGTAGGATACTCTATAATTTACCATAGAGGGGTTACGATATTGATATTCCAACTTTCTGGCTTCTACCTTAAACCTTAATCCCGGAATGATTTTCAGGGTGAACCTAGGGACTTCCCCACAACCTCAAGTAACCCCCCAAAAGCCCCGTAAATCCTAGCACCTTGAGGCTTTAGGGTCTAGTTTAGGGTGTAGGGATGTTTAGGGTATTAGGGTTTAGCTACTACCTGAAGCTCTTTGCGTCAAGGTTTTAGGGTTTTGGGTTTGCTATTTCTGGAATCCACCTTATCGGCACCCTTATACCCCAACTAGGATGCCCAGTAGTACCCTTATTTCCTTTTTGTAGTCCTAGATTCCTTATAAAGTTACCCAATACCAAAAAGAGATGCCTTTTTATTCTTAGGTTCCTGGGTATCCTAGACAACGATCCTCACGCTTAGAGGCTGATTTGGGGCCCTCGGCATAACTATGAGTATCTCCGGGACTCGAAGAAAAAGCGCGCGCCGCCGGGACTAGCCCTGTCAGCTTGGGTTCCTAGCGGTCCCGGTAAGGAAGGGTTCTTTCTTTGTCAATACGCGATCTGCAGTTGGCCCCGTTGAGGTACTTATGACCTTACCGAGTCCCGTAATCCTCCAAGTAAAGCTTCCAGGGCCCAGGATTTGTACAGCTTATGGCTTGCGGTTTAAAGCTCAGGGTGTCGAGCTTAGGGGTTAGGTTACAGGGATATGTGTTTGTGCATGTCGGGTTCGGCCCGTCGTTGAAGGAGAAGCCATTATGCGCCCAGAATCCGCGACAGCCTCTGCCTGACGACGCCCCTCGTCTACTGTAGGTTGTCGCTTGGGTTGTCTCTAAACGCGTAAAGGATCAGCAAGCATCTGTTTTCAGGACTATATATTCACCGGTATAGAGATTCATGTTACAACACCTGCAAGCGGAGGGTTTGTGGTTCTCTCGGAACTACAACGTGAGGCTGGTTATAGCTACTCTTAGTGCTGGTGCTGTGGTGACCTATCAAGACGCATCTCCGGTCATTAGACAGAAAGGCACAGTACCTGCTACGACCATTACGGAGCGCGTATGTAAGAGCTTACGGAAGGCAGTCGTCTTGATGCGATGTACTTGTTATAAATGTTTAGGTGACATACACGCAAGCATTTTTATGTGATACATGGGTACCGACATGCATACGTACATACAGACATACATATATAATATATATATATATATATATATGTATATATATATATATAACATACACACTCTTTTACATTTCATACACACATGCACACAAAACCATAGACACCATTTACATGTGTAGATATATACTCTCTGCATGAGTGCATATTATATACACACTCGAAATCGCCATCTCTCTTTTTCTCTCTCTCTCTCTCTCTCTCTCTCTCTCTCTCTCTCTCTCTCTCTCTCTCTCTCTCTCTCTCTCTCTCTCTCTCTCTCTCTCTCTCTCTCTGTACATATATATAAATATATTCATACACATACATACACAAGCTGTTTACATAGTTCACATGTTTAGATCGACCGACAGATTTATAAATGCTTACTTACGCATAGGTCAGTGCCTCTATTTTATGTATGGACGTATGTATGTGAACACATACATACAAGCATACAGATACATGCATACATGCATACATAGAAAAACACCAGAAATGTGCCAACAAACATACACCCACACACACACACACGCACACACGACCGAATACACAAACAAACTATCAAACAAACGCAAACGCAAACACCAAAAGCAGACACACAAAGACACGCACACACACGAACACACGAACACACGAACACACAAATGAGCAAGCAAACAAATGCGCACACACACACACACACACATGTGGATGCATGCATGCAAGCGTGCATGCATACATACTCTCGTACGCACATAGCACATGTACATTACATTACATCAATTTGCATTACATCGCGTCACACTACACTCCACAACATAGCATACATATAATACATACATACGCAAATACACGTACATACACGTACGTACACGCACACATACAGATACATGCACATACATACCCATGCATAGACATACACAGACATACACATACATACACATACATACACAGCCGTACATACATGCGTACGCATACATACATACATACGTATACGTACGTACATACACACATGCATGCACATACATGTACATACACATACACAGACACAGACACAGACACACACACACACACACACACACAGAGACAGACAAGGACACGGACACAAAGACACGTACATACAATCATACATACTTACTTACATACTTGATACGTACATGCAAACATACACGTTACGCACATTTATTGCATCGATGCAGTGCTTGTGTTGGTTCTTGTTTGCATACAAGGGTCTTTCATGTCCGTGGTTACCCATACCACATATCGAACTATGTGCAAAGATACAAGAACTAAAGTGTGTAGGCAGCGCATTGGCAGGTAGATTGGAGGGGCATATCATATATCAAAAGAACAAACGACATGTTTCTTAACTTCTTGTCTATCTCTCGCTCCCTCTCTGCCTGCTCCCTCTCTCTTTGTCTGTCTCTCTCACGCCTGCTCTCGCGTCACAGACACGCTTACAAGTTGTTCAATCTGTTGTGAAGGTTCATGCGAAGCCAAAGTTTGGCCAAGAGATAGACTCAGACTTCGTGCGGTGATTGTGGCTATCTGATCTACAGCGTGGAATTTAAGGGCTTGCGCGCACCGCTCGCCTGTAAGAGAAAGGTTCGTAACCACGTGATGTTTCAGCATGCGTAGATTGCACATGATTCATACGCACAGAACCTCACCGACATAGGAAGAGCGATCGTCCTATTTGGTGGAGCTTCTACTCGTGGCTGCCACGCTCGAAATCGAGTTCCGGCCTGTCAAGAGGACACGGGGTGGGTGATGGGTGTTCGGGTTAATCGTGTTTGGGGATTAAAGGCCGCTATATTTGGCTTCGAGGTGCGGCTTCCGGCCCCCAAATGAAAATGATGCTGATCTAGGTTCCCCAGTAGTACCCTGTTGCCCCTTTTCTTGTATTAAGTGGCTACTCAGGAACCTAGCGATGCTGTCTCTGACCTTGATTTTGATGTGATGATCGCCAGTATCATCATGACTGCGCCGATGATCCTTATGATGGTGGTGATGATGATGATGATGCTTGCCGTGTCTGGACTCGCGACAGCAACATGATGAATATGTGCGCTGCTTAGCGGCTTCTGGTGCATTGTCCATGTACACAGTGCGCAATGGGACGGGGAAAGATGCTCGAAGCCCAAATCACGTTCATATTCACAGTGCATCCTATGCACAGAGCAACCATCAGGGGCCAAAGCAACAGGAAGGTGATTCACGTGCACAGAGAGCCTTCTGCAGACGGCCACAGTATATTTTTATTTTGCATAGAATGCAACATATAGTACAATAGTAGTCATACTTATAATAACAATGAGTAAAAACGTTAATCAATAAATAAACAAGGAGAATGCACATGAAGGCAAACATCAGTGTATACATATATATATATATATATATATATATATATATCATGGAGTTCTATATCAGTATATGTATATATATATATATATGCTACCCCCCCTCCAAAACCCACCTAAGCGCCTTACTAATCAGAATAGGGCTTTGGGGCCCAGTACACTCTAATTATAAGAAGGACAGCAAACAATAGAATAGGTAATTATTGAGGCCCCTATAGCTGTTGGGTGCGTTGCATGCTGGGGTTTTTATTCAGAATTCCTCTCAGGGAGACACAGATACCACCCACACGCCCGTATCCGCGCCTGACAATGTCGAAATTTCAGAATGAAGGACGTGTGGGTGGTATCCGTGTCTCCCTGAAAGGAATTCTGAATAAAGATCCTACCATTCAACACGCTCAAAGGCTTGGAAGTCCCCTATAATTTCGGAATGTGCCACCTGACTTCTTTCGGCGTTCGAGCTGCAAAGCTGTTGGCAGCTCTGCTTTGTGGGGCTTTACCGGGGTGTAGAGGCTGGAAAGTATAGAGTTTTGGGCCTTCTATGACACACTTATTAATAAGGAACCCTAGGAATAATATTGGCAACTATGTACGTGTGTTTTACACCTTCTATGCTGAACAAACCAACAGCTGCAAGAAGAAGGCAGCTGTGGGCTAGCGGCTAGCGCCTACCCATGGTTTCAACTACCCATGTTTACCTTTATTTTCGGGCTATATCTTGCAATGACGGGAAAATGTGTGTATGTGTGTGTGTGTGTGGGTGTGAGCTTGGGAATGTCGTACAAGCTGTAAGCACAAGAAATCCTGCATAAGCTCGCCAACTGTATAAGCCCCAAAACCTACACCCGAACCCAAACCCACACACCCGCTTGGAGCCCTTACAATCAGAATCCTGCTGGCAACTCGAAATCCGGATTTGTTTTTTGGCTACCTGGAAAGGGCTTCGATTTGGGGCAGAAGGAGTAGGATGTCGGGAGTTCGGCATGTGGCTATTTCAAAGGCTGAAATAAATACCGACACTGTTTATGGCGTTCCCATTTCATAAGTACAGTGTAATATACCCCAAACAGTAAGGCCGTTGTATCATCTAGCTGGGGTATTGTCGGGCCTTGTGGCTAATGTGTTTATTGTGTAGGGGTTTAGGGGTTCAGGGTTTACGGGTTCAGGGGTTTAGGGTTTTTGTAGGGTTTAGTGTTCGCCGTCTCGTGAACCATACAACTGGAGCGCGACCCTCACCAAATGCTAAACCTTGTAGAAAAAACACTTTCGACAAAATCCTTCAACCTTTGAAACCTGAACTAGGGACCCACAAGTTTCTAAGCAACTTTAGCTCTGTAAATCTCGAAACCCGAAACTTCTGAGCCCTTAGAGCCGAAGTACAGCTTTTCCTTCAAAAGAACCCCTTGTAGATCTATATGGTATATAAAGGTAGCTTTAAAGTATCTAAACTTTAAGTCAAACCCTAAAAACTAAACCCGGAACTCAAAACAAGTCAACCTGAGGGGCTGAGTATCCTAGCCCGCGAAAGTTAACATTTTTAATTATGGCAGGGTTATATAAGCCCAAAAAGGTTTCTTTCAGGTTACCTACTCAGCTACAAAGAAGCTACCAAACCTCACGGCGCCTTTCTGGATCTGGGTCACAATTCGCGGGGCTTTTGTATTAAACGTGATTCGAAATGACACCGTAGTGCCTGCATATCGCGTAGCGTGCGTGCTACCCGTCCCCATTGGCTGCGCAAGGCAGGCTATGTTGACATGTTCATATAGTGGTCATGAAAGGATTGGGTACCTGAGGTAGGCTATATTGGTCTTCCCGCACTGGTCCTGACATGATGAGGTGCCTGGCCCAAGGTAGGTGCTACCCCCATTGGCTGTGCAATGCAGGCTGTACTGGTCCGAAACGGATTGGATACCTGGCCCAACACATGGGCCCGTGTTAGATAGCACGGACCGTGTTAATTAACACGGCCCCAGGAACCAAGAACCAAGAACCAAGATTCCCGGAAAACTTTTTGGACAGCATCTTGGTTCCCACACGTGGGCCCGGGACCGTGTTAATTAATACGATGCGTGTTAATTAACACGGTCACCTGGAACCAAGAACCAAGAGCCAAGATTCCCGGAAAACTTTTTGGACAGCATCTTGGTTCCCACACGTGGGCCCGGGACAGTGTTAATCAACACGAGGCGTGTTAATTAACACGGTCGCCAGGAACCAAGAACCAAGAACCAAGATTCTCAGAAAGCTTTTTGGGCAGCATCTTGGTTCCTGGACTTCGTCTTTAACGCGGGCCTACACACAGGAACCAAGATGCCGTCCAGAAAGTTTCCCGGGAATCTTGGTTCTTGGTTCCTGGAGCCGTGTTAATTAGCACGGCCCGTGTTGATTAACACGGTCCCGGGCCCACGTGTGGGAACCAAGATGCTGTCCAAAAAGTTTTCCGGGAATCTTGGTTCTTGGTTCTTGGTTCCTGGTGGCAGTGTTAATTAACACGGCCCGTGTTAATTAACACGGTCCCAGGTGTGTAAACCAATCTCCAGGCAGTTTTGTCTGTGGCAAAGACCCGTCCATATGCATCTATAGCGAGAAGGATATGCCATATGCAGACAGACACACATACACACATACGGACATACCTATAGATTTATGTGGCACGCCACCCCTCAAAACTACTTACATGTTTGGTACGGGGTAAGAACCAAGAGCAACTGAAGGAGAGAGACAGGATTCTTTTTTTTTTTTTTTTTTTTTTTTTGGGGGGGGGGGGGGGGGGCGGGGGCGGCGTACCATAAATGTGTCGGGGTGGGTTTTGGAGGGCGGGGTACCATATATATATATATATATATATCATAGAGTTCTACAGCATAACCTCCTCAACCGTATAGTTTCCAAAGCACTTTCCCTGACCTTCTCGGACCAGCCATTGTGTTCGCGTCGTGCACTGGTGCTGCCTGAGCTGCCCGCGTGGCCTTGTTGCTTCAGGGGTGTTTTTCCTAAACCCAAAACCCGAAACTCTGGGACTGAACGGGTTGGCGGAAAAAGTCGCAGAACAAAAAAAAGCCTACACCCTAAACCCGGCGGGGGGGGGGGGGGGGGGGGGGGGGGCTGGTTCCAAGGGGTCTTCGGGGTGAAGATTTGAAGCTTCTGTTGTGCTCGAGAGCCTTGTGGCTCTTCAAGTGCCACCCAGGGAGCCAGGGAGTTCATGTCTACAGGTTAGAAAAGGTCTGGGGCCCAGGAACTAGGGTTTAGGGCTAGGGGGTTCTGCTCGTGGTTTCAGTGGCTGTCTGGCGATCAGGCATAGTTTCCGTCCAGGTGGTGTCGCAATGTCCGTCCGGAACCAGACTATAGTCTCCTTAAGAAATATTTTTGATTTTGCGCATAAAAAACCCAAGAGAATATTAAACAACAACAACAACAACAACAACAACAACAACAACAACAACAACAACAACAACAACAACAACAACAACAACAACAACAACAACAACAACAACAACAACAACAACAACAACAACAACAACAACAACAACAACAACAACAACACAAACAACAACACAAACAACAACACAAACAACAACACAAACAACAACAACAACAACAACAACAACAACAACAACAACAACAACAACAACAACAACAACAACAACAACAACAACAACAACAACAACAACAACAACAACAACAACAACAACAACAACAACAACAACAACAACACAACAACAACAACAACAACAACAACAACAACAACAACAACAACAACAACAACAACAACAACAACAACAACAACAACAACAACAACAACAACAACAACAACAACAACAACAACAACAACAACAACAACCACAACCACAACCACAACCAACAACAACAACAACGACAACAACGACAACAGTAACAACAACAACAACAACAACAACAACAACAACAACAACAACAACAACAACAGCAACAACAACAACAACAACAACCACAACCACAACCACAACCAACAACAACAACAACAACAACAACAACAACAACAACAACAACAACAACAACAACAACACCAACACCAACACCAACAACAACAACAACAACACTAATGTTTATAAGGTTCTAAGGGGGGTATAACAAATCCAACAAGCCCTTCACCCTGAGGCCCCCTGGCCCTGCTCGTTCGACTGAACGCAACAATATCGAAACGTTGAACATCCCTGAAACACGCTCTCAACCTTTACCTTAACCCCCAAGAACCTACATTTTTACGGACATTATATAAAGAAATCATAATAAGGAACCCTAAAAAGGTAGGTTATTCAGGGTTAAGGTAACCAAAACTACACCCAAAACCCCTAAACCCTAAACCGTATCAACCCCAAACCTCGAGCCCCTAAGCCCCACTGCGCCCTTAAACGCCCTTCACCCTGAAAGCGCGAAGTCTCTCGCAGGCTGTAGATCCCCCTATAGCCCGTTCTGCAGATCCTTGATCAAGAACCCTTGTAAATCATCATCGATCCCTTTAAATCCACGTAGAAATTTAGGGTTTCGGGCTTGGGGGAGGATGTACTCTGCCGTGGCATCTGTTGCCTTGGCGTCACCTTCGATGTTTCAGAACCCGGCGACGCTGGGCGGGCTTAGGCCTTGAGGACTTGTGTTCAGGAATCCAGGGTGTGAGGGTTCTACGAGCCGTAATACTCAAAGTTCTGCAAGGCTTGACAACACTTTACAAGTTAATGCTTGGGGTTTGGGGCTTGTTGTTGGGACGTCCCAGATGTTGTCCGCTGATTCCCCGTGCGATGCAAGATTTCACCAGCCGGGGGGTTTGGCAGAAGGTTACTGCGAGGTTACTAGAAGGTGCTTCACACCAGGTGTTTAGGGTTTAAGGTTCATATATTGGCTATTTTTAGTGATGCATGCTTTTAGTAAATTTGACTGCTGGAGACGACGCTGCCGACAACGACAACTATTGAGCGATTTGTCTGCAGGGGCTCGTGCTACATCTTAAACTCCTCTAAACTTGGAAAGTCCTAAACCCAAAACTTAAAACCTACGACTCCAAACCCACAGAAGAAGCTGTATGCCAAACTCCACCCTTACAAACAACGTCCAAATTCTCAGAACCCCAAAACCGAAACCCTAAACCCTATAAGCCCCATACCCTGAAGCTTAGAGGACTGCTTCAAAGCCCCGAAACGCCTGCCAAGGAAGCGGCGGGCGAGCTTAGAGCCAGAACCGAAGGAGCATCCGGTTGCTACACTAGGTATCAATTCTATAGTCTCCTTAGAAAATATTGTTTTATCTTCGTTCATATAAAACCCCAGAGAATATTAACAGCATTGATTATTGTTGTTATGGTTCTGAGGGGGGTATAGGATGAGGGATACTTTCTAGTTTCCCTTTATGTATTGTGTAATATAGAGCCCCATTTTTTTTACTAATCTTGGGGACTGTTGAAATCGACACCTAAAACAAGAAAACAACAGCGCGTTTTTAGGGTTGGGGGTTCAGGGATGTAGGGTGTTTTTGGGTGTGGGGTTTCGGTTTTAGGGTTTAGGGTCCAACCCTGGCTTTTGACAAGAGAGGACATGAACCCTCAAGCCCGAGAACCCAACTCCTCAAACTCTAAACCCAAACCCTACAGCCTAAACCTACATCATAACCAAAGCCCTAAGACCCTAACCCTTGAAACGGCACGAACCTCGAGGATTATTATTGAATCCGCCGTACAGCATTCCTTATAGTGGCTCTTTCGGTATAGTATGCTAACCCTGGAAACGCTTAACCTAACCCCAAATCCTAAAAGCTACGGCTGCAAAAGTGCCAAAACCAAGTATTTGCACTAACCTGTTAAACCCTGAGAGGACATGAGCCTAGAGGATTGTAAGAGACCCTGTGCTTATTCTGCTCTTGCGGTAACGTTTTGCGTATTCCCCCAAAAGTCCCCAAAATTCCTAAAACCTAAACCGTTGCTGCGCAAGGAGCCCTTAAGGGCATTCTTTAAGAGTCAGCACAAGGAACCCTTAAGGGCGTTGTTTGAGAATCAGCACAACCCTTAAGGGCGTTCTTTAAGAATTCCTTTTAAAGGAGCCCTTCCTTCAAGATTCGTTGAAGGGGGCTTGGGCTTCCCTTCAGCGAACTCCCCCAAAAGGACCACCCCTTAAGGGGACCCTGCAAGGACTCCAAAAAGGATCCCTTATTAAAGGCAGCCTTAAAAGTAATCCTTCAAAGGACCTCTTGAAAGTTATCCTTTGAGGACGCCTTAAACGTAGTTCTTTAAAGGGGCCCTTACCAAAACTCCTTTAAAAAGAAGCCCGTAAAGGAACCCCTAAAACGGAGCCCTTGAAACGGGAGCCCCTAAAAAGGGAGCCCTTAAGGGAACCCTTAAAACGGAGGCCTTCAAAAGGGACCCTTAAAGGAGCCCTTGACAAAGGGAGCCCTTAAAAGGGGAGCCCTTAAATGAAACCTGCGAGGACATGAACCTCGAGGATGCGGACCTCGCGGACTTCGGGGAGCTGGTGACTGGGTTCTTGTTAGGAAACTACCTATAGTCTCCATTGTAGTTCCTTTTTTTTGGCTTGACCAGTTTTTGGTTTAGGATCCTATAAGAGAGATTTTGGTTAACCCGAAAAAGGAACTGCAATGGAGACTATAAGTACAATAATAGGGATCTATCGTAAATACTGTCCCTAAACTCTAAACATATTTTTTTTAAGCCTAGGAAACTACCATAATGGGGATCTTTAGCAAACAATGTCCCTAAACCCTAAACCCCTAAACCCCTAACCCTTAAGCGCTAAACCCTAAACCCTTACAGTACCCTTATCGAAACCCTTGTAGATCCCTTTAAGGAACCCTAAAGGGGACCCTAAAACCCAAAAACCCCTAATACCTAAACCCTATTCACCCTACAGATCCCTTAAAGGAACCCTTATAGTACCCTTGAAAGGAACCATGAAAGTACCCTTAAGCTTTAAAGGAACCCTAAACCCCTGAACCCTATTCACTGTGCACCCTACAGATCTCTTTAAAGGAACCCTTATGGTACCCTTGAGCTTTAAAGGAACCCTAAACCCCTGAACCCTATTCGCTGTTCACCCTACAGATCTCTTTAAAAGAAACCTTGCGGTACCCTTGAGCTTCAAAGGAACCCTAAACCCCTGAACCCCGAAACCCTAGGCCCCCAAAAGAAGAGCCCAGGTGAAACCTCAGCCGGAAGCCGGGCTGCTGGCGGTGGAGGCGCAGAGGGCTCTGACTCTGGGTTTCTTTAAAAGGTTCTTTTTTTTAAAAAAAAGGAAAAGGGTTCTTTTTTTGTTAAAGTTATTTTTTAAAAAGAAAAGGGTTCTTGTTTTTGTTAAGGTTCTTTTTCAAAAAGAAAAGGGTTCTTTTTTTGTTAAGGTTATTTTTTTGGTTTGGGGGGGATGGTCGGACCCTTAAGGGGTTTATTTAAGGAGTCAGGTTTAGGGCTTCCTTAAATTAAAGGGCTTAGAGTTTAGGGTTTAAGGATCAGGGGTTAGGGTTTCCTTAAAGGGCTGAAGGCCTGGAGTTCAATGTAGGGCCTGGGATTAGGGGCTTCTGGATTTCCTTAAGGGGTTTAGGACTTTCCTTTACCGTCAAGAACCTACCTTCTTAGGGTTCCCGATTATGATTTCCTTATGTAAGTCCTTCAAACGGTAGGTTCTTCAGGGTTTAGGGCTTTGGGTTGAGGCTTCACGGTTTTGGGTTTAGGAAGGTTCAATGTCTCCAGGGCTTGGGGATTGGGGCTGGCTTCCTTCTACGGCTGAGAAGGTTTAGGGCTTAGACTTTAGGGCTTAAGGTTTAGGGTTTAAGGATTAGTGTTTAAGGTTTAGGGGTAAGGAATTAGAGTTTGGGGTTTAAGGTTTAGGTTTGGGGGTTCAGGTTTAGGGTTTACGGCTTAAGGTTTCATGTTGACAGGTCAGGACGACGAAGATGATGAGGATAGGATGGTGACGATGTTGCATTGTCAGTGCTGATGCTGACGATGTCCGACGATGCTCATGACGATCACCGCGATGCGCTTGAACATAGTGACTTCGAGGTTTTAAAGGGGTTTCGCCCGGGGCTCTCCTGGCTCGATATACCTGTTATTCCATGGTGTTGGGGTTTCGGGGTTGACGTAATCATAAAGGTTCTCCGCGGAGCAAGAAGCGTGAATGTTATGACACATGTTAATGTTGGACGTAAACCTTCTATCGGCTATCGGCCACCCGAACATACAACTTTGCGCTGAAGCCTAAACCTGAAAACCCCAAAGATTACAACAGGTGCCTAAAACTTAATCTAAAGCCCCCAAAACCTCCGGCCCGACTCCCGAACCCTAGTCTGCGCAACATCTTCATTGCCTCATCAACTCGGTTTGGAGCTAGGGACTGAGGGGACTTTGCATTGAGGGTGCAGGGTTCGGGATAACGTGGGGTTTAGGGTTTAGGGTAGGGATAAAGTAAGGTTAGGGTTTCGTTTCCGTGTACTTCGGGGTTTCCCTTGCCAATCTGCCTCGAATAGATGCTTCTTCCCACCCACCCCAATAAGCCCAGCTATCCGCAGCCCGCACTTGAGGCGGCGGATGCTGTCTGGTTCCCTCCTTTGCGATTTGCGGTTATGCAGATGCTTGGCCGAAATTGCTCCGTTCCCCATGTTAGATACTTGTGTGTGTCATCTTTGAATCTTTTAAAAGCTTGTTCTAGCAGTTCTATAGGTTTCTTGGTACGCCACCATAGAATCACCCACTGGCCTCATGCAATCGCAGCTTTGCGGTTGGCCGGACACTTGACCCTAGCTCCGTCATCCTAACTAACACCCTCAGCCCGAAACCCACACCTCTAAACACCAAACTTCTAAAGCCAGGCCCTTAAATAAACCCAAGCCCCTAAGCCCCAAACCACTAAACCCTAAACCCTAAACCCTAAACCCTAAACCCTACCATGCCTGGCCACCCCGAGGGGGAATCTTGGTGCAGCGGCGATCATGATGGAGCGCCTGGCCTTGAAAATTCGGATTGACATGGCTAGTTCTCTGAATCAGTGTCCCTTTTAGGGTCCTTTTCATATCAGGGTGCCGTACTACCATGGGGATAATAAGGGTGCCCAAAGTCAGATAGCCGCCCATTGTTCATTCATAATTCACCCGCAATTATGGTATGAGATACCCCCCCCCCACCAAAACCGACTCTGATCCTTCAGGCAATCCCCAGAATACTCCGCCCAACCTTTTAAGCAAGCAGGATGCATAGCATGCACCCTAATACCCTATACCCTAAACCCCAATGCCTTAATACCCTAATACCCTAAACCCTACACCCTAACCCCCAATACCGTCGTACCCTAATACCCTATACCCTAACCCCCAATGCCTAAACCCTAATACTCTAAACCCTATAGGGTTTCTTCGGTGTCCTAAGTGGGAGTTTCCGAAAACAGGGGACTCTAACATAGCACCTTAAATAGTAGGATCCTTATTATAAGGACACCAAAATCACCAAAATAAGGTATCCCTAACTTTTGGAAACTCCCAAGTGTGTCATCGTGGGGTGATCGAAACGCTAGAGCGCTCAGCCACGACCATCCTCGCAGTCTCGCCGAAGAGGCCGCTGTTGGTACTTATAAGGCTGCCGTATCATTTTGGGGACCTAAAGAGGGACCCTAATTTGCAGAACTACCCATATACTCGTCAGGATAGTGTCCTAATATGCTTAGTAGCTGAGGAGGTAGCCTTTAGCCTCATTTTGGGGTTTATATGATCCTACAGAATTCAAGAGGTTAGACTTTTTCGGGCTAGGGTACTCGGCCCCCCAAGCTGTAGCTTCCACTCAAAATTCTTGGCGCAACTGTTGCTATATGGGAGGGCTTACTGCCATTTCTGCGAGTAGTTGCCCTCATCTCTAGAACGGTAACTCTAAAACCCTAGACTAAACAGTCATGCATCATGTCGTACCAGTACTCGCTAGTTTCAATGACCCGACATGTTCGCCCGCATGTCTTGCGCGACATCTTTTTCGGCACTCGCTCTTGAACAGTCGTTCGATATTCATCAGGCGGATGGTTCCAGACTCTGTCGATCGCTGGATTGATTGTTTCCTCGTGCCTCCCAAATGTCTGTGACCCCATTTCTTCAGCATGTATTCCGAGATGTGGTGCACCTCCTGTTTGGCTTCATGATGCCGTGGCGACTGGTGGCTGAGCAGAATTTCATGCAAGGAATTGTGTGTTTATTTTTGCGTAGGTGCTGTGGGTGCATCACCCTGAAATCAGGTGCTAACGCTAAACGGACTCGGGGGTGCGGGCGAGAGTGATCTCGTCGTTCCATTCATCTGAGGATTGTTCACGTCTAGTCGTGTGGAGTAGACCCAAAACCTCCAAACCCCATAGACCCAAAGCCCCAAAACCCGAAACCTCCAAAGCCCTATGCACAACAAGTTCAGCTTTTCAGGCCGGGCCGTCCCTGTGGCTTTGAGTGTTCAAGTGCCTTCATTCCTCTGCTTTTCCATGAGATGAGTCTGCATAGCTGTGCATGCTGTGGGTCCCTTAGAGGTTCTAGGGTTTTAGGAGGCATAGCTGTGCAGACTGTAGGTCCATGAATAAGGAACTCCCCTTCCCTCATGCCCTAAAACCCCTAAAAACCACGAAACACTAAACCGTTCCCTTACACCCAGGCTCGAAAATAGAGGGATCCTGTTACTAGATTTTCGGGACCCCGAATCTGACGTCATACTCCGGAGTTTCAAGCGTAAATGTGTAGATACCTTATATAGTTACCGTTCTAGCATCCTTTAAAGTTGAACCCCGTTGAAGAAAGAAAGGTGTAGATACCTTAGCATTCTTCAAAGGAGCCGTTAAAGGCACCCCTTTAAAGAAGGAAAGGCGAAGGTACCTTACACTGTCGAGTGCAGGGCGACCCGAGCTTGTCGAATCCCTTCTCCGCCACGCCGCTGACCCTGCCGCGCAGGTCTGTAGATTGGGACTTGCATACGGTTGCCTATACTGTAGGGTTTAGTGCTTAGGGTTTGGGGTTTACGGTTTAGGGCTACCTACATTTCCCAAGTTCCAGTGTAATTAGTTCGTTTCGTTTGGTTCAACCATTTCGAATTTCAGGATCTGCTTAATAAGGCAAGCACAAATGGAACCACAATGGAGACTACAGGTAACGGGCGGTAAACCTACAAAGTGTGCGACTGGGCTTAACGGATGCATCGCCACCCGCATGGAGGAGGGAGGGGGAGGCGTCAAAAGGTAGAATGAAGGATTCCTCATAATTAAGGCCCCTGAACTCAACCGGCAAAAAGCGCCCTGGAATCCCTACTATAGGGGCCTAAATAAGTACCTATCTTTTTGGGGGGTTCCAGATGATAATTGTAGTAAAATGGGACCCCAAACCCTATTCTAATTATTACGGCCCCTAAACTTCAGTACCCTTATAGATCTCTCATAGTAACCCTTATATATAGAGCCCTTTAAACCGAACCCTATTCTACTGATTAAGGCCTCTATATTATGTGTCATGGCTCGGCCCTCACGCCATCGTCCCTAATAGACTCACAGTCGCTAAACCCTTCAACCCTAAGCCCTACCTTAACCCCGAAGAACCTACATCTTTTAAGGACTTACATAAAGAAATCATTTTAAGGAACTCTAAAAGGCTTGAGGTAAGCTCAGAACACAGAATCCCGGCCCTTCCTAACCCACATCTCAGAACACAGACATCAGAAAGCAGCGTGCGAGGACGCGCAGGGCATCAGCTCGATTGATTTCGCGGCCTCCTCGCAGCACAATGGCTTCCGCTGGAGTTTCGGGTTTAGGGTTGAGGGACGCGCATGTCGTCCTGTTGCACAGAGTGTTGTCTCTCGCCAAGAAGTATGGCAACACCACAACAATAGTTAACATTATTTACCTCCTTATAGTCCCTATATACTTGTACTATATTATTCCCTGTCACCCTAGGCTGATCATTAAGGGCCCTGAATTTCTTTCTTTATGGCTCGGTTAACTCCTGATTATTTGCGAAGGAGGGAGGATTTCTATATAAATCTGAAAAAGGACCCTCATGGCAATCCTTAAGCCCATTATATCTACTTACTTTTATACTACCGCAGTCTCTAGAAGCAAATCTTGGAAAAGTGCGATGCTCAGGTGCAGGCTGGTGCAGACTACCAGATCGTGGACCTGCTGAGGTGCTCCAAAGACTAGAGCTGCCCCATGGAGTTGAGGGGTTAGGTCTGAAGGTTTTGGGGTTTAGGGTGTAGGGCGAAGGGTTCCTATAAAGGGATCTATATGGGGCTTAGGATTTAGGTTTGAAGTGTATGGCTAAGGGTTCCTATATAGGGATCTATAAGGGGTTTAGGGTTTAGGTTCGAAGGTTTTGGGGCTTATGGCTTACGGTTCCACTGTTCGGGGATGTTCAGGGTGTACAGTCAGTGTTGTATTCGTTATGATGTAAAACAAAACCAGCCAGGTGTAATTAGATGCGCCGTGTTTATGGTCATAAGAGGTCTTGTGTTTAGCTTGTGCTTCCCGTCCGCAAAGATGTTTCATCAGGACAGCCAGCGACAGCAAACAAATGACGCACACAACCATTACAACAGCTGAGACTGCAATCAGAGCAGGCGACCAACACTATCCATGACCCTAGGAACCAACCAACAGCAACCAACGACAACATCATCATCAACAACAGAAGCAGCAGCAACAACAACAGCAGCAGCGGCAGGAGCCACAGCAGCAGCAACGGCAACGGCAACAGCATCAGCAACAACAGCACCAAGAATAATTAGCAGCTAATTAGCAGTAACCACAACACGAACACAGACATTAATTACACAAACAGTAACAACAATCAAAACATGTGTAAACAGAACCACAACGACAACGACAACGCACGCAGCAACAGCCACGCAACAACAAACTATTTGGGCCATGCTGCTTCGGCAGAGCCCCCTGTAGTTGGAAGATATCCGCGCACCGAATCGCTTGACTGTGCTTCATAGCTTTGGAACCTTGACTTCACCCATGACACTTGTCAGAAGGAGCACTGTGCCAAACGAATGGCCTGAGCTCCAGCATGATTCCGAGACCGTGGTGAGCTGTAGCTGTCAGGGCACAATGAGATCTGCCACGCGGTTCTCCCGGGTGCCCAAACTCATTGTAATGTGCCATTTGAGCACAAAGCGTCCTCCAAGCATTGAGCCGGAAGGGACGCACCGAAGTCCCTACAGTTAGCCCGAAACTCAAAACCCAAGACCCTGAGCCGGCAAAGCCCTAAACGCTTTCACATGTCGTAATGCAGGCACCTATACTATTTTGGGGGCTCCTTATTGTAGCTATTACCACAAAATCCTAGTTTCATAATTAAGGCCCTTACACACTAGCCCCACGTGCTTTGTGTCCATTGGGAGTGAAGGCAGAATGTACACAAGCGCCGGAGCAGCGGAGCCGGTGACAGTGCCCTGGCAGGTACTGTAGTCACATTGAGCTCTTTGGGGTCATACGGTTGATGATATAAATCCTGCATTACCTTAAGGACCCTAAAAAATGTGAATTATGGCATCTTCCTTGTTATGGGTAATGCTGGGTTTATATCATCAACCGTAGGTGTTTATACTAACTAGGTTCCTGAGTAGTACCCTTTGGCCCTTTGCATTTTAAGCTCCCCTTGTTAGGAAAAAAGGTACACTTATTATAAAGGACTACTCAGGAACCTAGGTAGGCTTTCTGTGCTATACGGGTTCAAGGTCAAATGCAGAACGGCGGATGACACGAATCAGGAGCTTTTGCGATCCCAAGGCCCCAGGTTTTGGGCTCTTAAATGACGTCTTTCCTGAGGAGCCCTAGCCATTGAAACCATTGACCCCTAGGAAAAAGCAACTCTACGAGGGCCTATACCTTTCACCCCTAAACTCTAAACCCTCTGCCCCGATGACCCTAAATCCTAAACCTTATGATATGAGGTTTTTATCCTAAATCCTACAGGCCCTACACCCTAAACCCTAAAAGCCCTAACCTTGAGGTCTCCAGGCTGTCCTAAAAGGAATTTTTTTTCATTCGCAGCGGTTGAGCCTTGTCCAGGCGCTCGCCTAGCAGATAAATTCGGAGTGAAACAGAAAGACATCACCTCGGGGTAGAGACTTCGTCGGAGGTAACCTGAAAACCTACAGCTCGTAGCCACTCTGCAGCAGGTCCTAAGGCTTCCTCGATGCCGGCACACTGTACATGGCACGGTCGCATCTGTGAAGTCTCTACGAGTCTGGCGAGGACCAGACAGGCATCCTCAAGCCAGACAGCGTGGCCTGTAGCATCTCGCAACCTCATACTTGTGGGATGCCACGGACTGAGTAGTTTGGAGGGTGGTGGAGCAAGTGCAAAGACCTGTCGCGGAAAGCCACAAATAAGAGAGCCCGCTCCTGGCAAAGGCCAAGCAGGGACGGTCCCGGTGTCGTGGCTGTGGGGGGCAGACAGAGGCTGTCGTGAATCAGCCAACAGGTCGACATCCAGAAGCAGGAGCATGTTTCGGCCAACATCAATCCGCTCTGGAGTAGCTTCCAGGGCATTGCACCATTCCTGGACCGTAGCCCGAAGTACTGCCAACGGCTCGACATAGCTGGCAACGGTTTCCCAAGCACATGTGTCGTCTGGTGGCTCCAAAGAGGAAAGTTCCTCCAACAACCCAGGAGAGATGTCGGTCCGGATGCTCCAACCCGCCTCGAGAGAGGCGAGGCCTTGGGTATACTCGGGAGGAGCCTGAGCATGAAGTTGGGCATATCTGGCCTCCTCAGGCATAAAGGAGCCCCACGCAGCAATGCAAGTGGGCTGGGCAGTAAGGTGTCTCCTGAGGCGCCCGACGGAAGAGAACCGCTTGCCGCATGCTCTGCAGAGCGTGTCAACTGCACAGAGAAAAGCGTGATTGCGGTAACCATGCTTGCGGGCACAGTGCCCGGCCCATGCGCGACGGTTGGCAAAGGCGCGACGACATGGAATGCAGACTTCCGGCCACTCATGGGACTCAGTCAAGAATCCACACTGGAAGCTTCCAAAGGAAGAGGTCAGGGACCGGTGAAGGCACTGGAGTGCGGCAACACACTGGACACGCCTCCCCTCCAAAGCTCTGGCTCTCTTGACCAGTCCCTTGAATTTCCGAGGCGAGCCGTCGATAAATGCAAGCCAAGCCGGCCAGTGGCGAGCAGGACAGGGCATGCCGGAAGTGCTCCAAGTCCACTGGTGCAGCCAACGTAGGTCCTCCTGGAGTAACGAGGCATGTGGGCGATCTGCTTTCAGAATTGCCCAGACCACAGAGGGCGCTGAAGATACAACTTGGCCAAAGTATGTGAGTCTGTGGAAGCGGAGCCAGGTGTCAAGGCTGGGAAGTTCGAGGATAGCAAGACACGAGAAGATGTCGACATGCAGATCATCGGAGTGTTTGATCCCAAGGAGGGGTCTATAAAAAGACCACATAGCACCCTGAAGCAAGCGGTGCTCCCCTTTGCTCAGGGGACCCCAAGACCCTGCTCCGTGGAAGAGTTTGGCCAAGACAGTCGCAGCTAAAATGTGAGCCTTCCTCCGGACCGAGATTTGCGAGACCTTGTATACCTTCCTACGGCCTTCCGCGAAGGAGGCTCGTGCTTGTGCAATCCGGTAACGGATCTCTGAACCCAGCCCTCCTCCTGGGCTTTGCTGAGTGCCCAAGTGCCTGTAGGAAGGTACCAAAGGCAAGCGGACACTGCCACTCTCAAAGACAACTGGCACAGCTCCGGCGAGCCCAGTAGAGCCGAAAATGTGGCGTTTGGCTGCTCGGCTGCCAGCCCCAGCAATGTGCAGGACTCCTGCTGTCTTATGGGGTCCAAACGCAAGGGAGAAGCCGAATTCCTTGAAAGAGTCGACCAGGCAGCTGGTCTCAAAAGCAAGGGCAGATGCAGCTTGAGCAGGAGTGGTCAGGCGTGGAAGGGCAACGTCATCTGCCCACACGACATTGTCAAGGGTGAGCTCTTCAGTGGGGGAGGTGACAGGAGCTAGAGAGCGCTCACCATCCCATGGCAGCCGAATCGGCTCGGAGCATGGGTGGCCGGCAGCTCGGAGGGCATCTCGGCGATGGAGGACCCTCGCCACAACCTCGGCAAAGACGAGATCCGCCCAGCTGGAGCCTGGCCTAGAACCTCTTGAGGTCGCAACAACCTTGTCATCTCCTTTCAGCATAAAGAAGTTTCCGCTCTGGTAGCGGCTGGTCAAGGCTTCGAGCCAGGGGGAGGCTCCTGAAGCACTCATAGCTGTGGGAGCAAGCAGGTGCCGACGCAGAGCCGCAGACTCTTCTGGTAACAGCTGCAGGCCACGTGTGGCCTGCTGGAAGGCGGGATCATCGATCGGTTGGTCGCCATGCCGAGCGACAAGCTGCTGTATGACGGTATAAAAGGCAGATGCGATGTCCGTGAATAAAGTGAAGTGCGTGCGGCCTCGAGAGGCAGCAAAGCGCGCGGCTCCTCTGATGAGATGGCTTCCAAAGACGACGCTAATGCCCGATTTACCGCCAAGCTGTAGCTCAGGAGATTGAGTCTGGAAGTGCTGCTTTAAAGGCGGGCGGAGCGATTGATGAAGGATCTTACTCCAAGTAGGGAGGAGAAGGATTGCTCTGTACGAGCTGCAAGCGCTCATAGAACCTTTCCCTTTAAAGAACCAGACAGCCTTGCCCGACTTGAATCCGGCAGGCTCACACCCCCGTAGAGCTGTCTTCAAAGCGAGCCTGTGCAGGTGAGGTGCAAGCTGTTTCGAGAATTTTTTGCCGAGCTCGGCTGGCAGCCCGTCTGGCCCAGGGGCCTTGTTGGCTTTTGCCTGCGCAAGAAGCCGCTGAATATCAGCTTCGGTCGGCAAATCGAGCAGGGAGTCTGGGGGTGGCCAAGCAGAAGAATCAGCGGCATCTTCAGAAAAGCCCCGACTGACTCGGTCGACCAAGGTGGGGACAGAGAGCTCAACACCAGCTTCGAGTCCTCCAAAATGGCGCCGCCAGCGGGCGAGAATGTGGTCACCATCCGCGCACAAGGTGCCATCCTCGAGTTGAAGTGCCGGCAGGGGCTCCGCCCGATACGGCTGCTTGCGTTTGTGCGACAGAAGGGCATGGAGGTTCTGGAAGATCTCGCCCGATGGCCCAGTAGAAATGCGATCAGCAAGGAAGCTGAGGTATGCAGCTCTGTCACTACGGCAGGCCTGCCGAAGCCTTGAGCACCACTGCCCCAACACGGCCTGATGCGCTGCAACGGCAACATCAGCCCGTCGCCACCAGGAGGCACCGCTGTCAGACGCAGGGGCATCACGCCGTCCGCACCAAGTGTCAAAGCAGACAGCAAGTCTTTGGCATCGGATCTGGTGTTGTAAGCGATGCAGAGACCTGCGTGCTGCTGCGACTTGCTGCTGCAGTTGCCAAGTGGTCGCCTGCAAGTAGCTGCGATGCAGACGAGGCCCGCTCTTGCGTTTCAAGTCAGTGAGGATCCGCTGGACACAGGAAACCAAAATTGCTGCGTGTGCATGAGCGGAGACATTCCACGGTACAGTTGGGAGCTCGGAGAGGGCTTTCTCGAGAGCATCCGTATTGGCTGGTGCCAACACATCTGCAGCACAAAAGGTCCGGGGTCGAAGCAGCGGAGTAGGCGATGACCCTTGGAGAGGAAGCTGCACATGTAGAGCAACTGCAACGTGGTCTGGGCAACTGTGAGCAGCATGGACGCCTGGGACAGGGTACGACCGACAGCTGCCTCGTAGCCAGGAGCGAGGCACACACAGGTAGTCAATACGAGCGAGGCCACCGCCTCGCTTGTGAGTGTATGTGTGGGTAGGGCCAGAATGGAGCTCAGGCATGGAGGCGGGAATACAGCAGTCAGTTTAGCGCAGTAAAGAATGCAGTTGCTCGCCGGCAGCGTCCTCCTGCTCGGCCCCGTGTGGGCCGATATGGTCCGAGCCGATTGACCCGACAGCAGCATTGCAGTCGCCAGCAACAACAACCCATTCGTCTCGAGCAAGCTGCTTGACAAGCTTAGACGTCTGCTCCCACCAGCTTAGCAGGACCTCAGCTTCAGTCGCTCTATGCGGAGCATGCACCCCTACAAAGAGGATTTTAATCGGCTTGCACACAAATCGGACAAAGAGCCGTCGGGCATCCGAGAAAACAACAGCGAAGTGTTTTTCCCTGAAAGCCGGGGAGTCGGAGGAGTGCGATGTGAGGGGGTGGTTCTCCTGAAACCACCACTCCGTGCCCCATTGGCCGCGACAAGCACCACTAGCAAAGCGCAGAAAACCTCCAGCCCTCGAAAAACCCGCTTCGGCCCTGGTTTCCTGCAGGCATACAGCATGGATGCCGTGGTCGGCGAGCTGTGCAGCCAGCATGACGGCTCTGGCAGGTCGAAAGGCTAAGCCTTCAATCCCGTCGGAGCTCCCAGCTTGCTCCGAGGAAGGCCCAAGAGACAGTGCGTTGAAAGTGGCCAGGGTAAGAGAGAGGGTCGACAGACTGGGTGGCGCATCGGTATCAGTGGCAGTGGCCCCTTCACAAGAGGCCCCAGGCGTCTGCATGGCCCCTTGCGGCATGAACGGCTCAAGGATGTCGGCACAGGTAAGGCCAGAGTGATGCTGGTCGTCGCCAAGGTTAGCAGCCTGGCACGGTGGTAGAGAGGAGTCTCCTGCCAGATTGCGGATAGCCAAACCGGCCCATGGGAGGTACGGAGCTCCAACGCTTAGCCAGGCACACACAAGAGGGACGTGGGCTCTGAGCCCGCAGGAGGGACCGGCGTTGCGGGCGGCGGCTTTGGCTAAAACATCAGCAACCTCATTTCCCACATGCCCCTGATGTCCTGGATGTGCCCATAGGAGTCTCGGCCGGGGACAAAGCACGAGCGCAGCCAGTGCGCGTTGCGCATGGTCTGGGCTACACTACCCTGGACAAAGGAGCAGACCCCCTAAAAGGAATACCCAATATCCCATAGACCCGAAGCCGTTAAACCCAAACTTTACAAGGTCTTCAGGTTCACAACCGGAAAAGCTAAATCCTAAATCTTAGATTATCTTAAATCCGCAGGGATACCCAGAAATAGTTTTTAATCTTTTGTTATTATAATCCCTAAGAAACAGCTAAAATTATAATTTTTGCTAGGGTTCTAAGTTCAGTATAGAATCCTATAGACCTTAGGCCCTTAAACCCTTAAACTTGAGGTCTCCAGGTTCACAACCGGGTTCATTTGTACAGAACCCTAACCCTAAAGCCCATGAGGTCTCCAGGTTCACAACCGGAAAAGCAGTATCGTCTCCACAGTCTCCATCCGCTCATTGCCGAAGCCCCAGACAGGGTTTGGGGTTTCGGGCCTATAGTTTAGGGCTTTTAGGGTTTCGGGTTAGGGTTTAGGGTTTAGGGTTTAGGGCTTTTAGGGTTTAGGGGTTTAGGATTTAGGGTGAAGGGGTTAGGGTTAAGGGAGGGTAGAGCTTAAGTTTAAGGGTTCATGGTTTCGGACTTTAGAGTGTCAGGGTTCAGGGTTCAGGATTCTAGGATTGAGGTTTAGGGAGGGTCAAGGTTCAGGATCTGAGGGTTCAGGGTCCAGGGTTCAGGATCTGCGGGTTCGCGGTTTATCAAAGGGGAAACGGAGGGACCCTTAATGGGGACCCCTACCCTATAATGGGCTATATAATGGGTATAGAATGGCTATATCATGGGTATATACCTAGCGGTCCTTATGAGGGGTCCCTCCTTTTACACCCTCAACCCTAAACCCTAAACCCCTAAACCCCTAAACCCCTAAACCCTAAACCCTAAACCCTAAACCCCTAAGTACGTAGGACCTTTATGTATTATTTGACGGGTCTGTTTCCCTTCCAATAATTTCTTACGCCTTTTAAATAATTAACGGCCCTTTCAAATTTTAAACGGCCCTTGCAAATTTTAAATGGCCCTTTAAAATTTTAAACGGCCCTTTAAAATTTTAAACGGCCCTTTAAAATTGTAAAAGGCTCCTTAGACTCTTTCAAATTCCTAAAACTCCTTATAATTTTGAAAGAAACTAAATTATATTGGGGCGAGGCGCGGCCCATCTAAAATTTTTAGAAATCCCTGAAATCCTTAAAATTTTGAACGCACTGTGTCTGGCCTTCAAAAATTTAAGGAATGTAAGGGTGCTTTTAACATTTTCAAAAGGCCCTATAAGAATTTAAAAGGCCCTTTTAAAATTTAAAAGGCCCTTTCAAATTTGAAAGGCCTCCTTAAATTCTTTCAAATTTTGAAAGCCAGACACAGTGGCTTTCAAAATTTTAAGGGTTTTAAGGATTTTTAAGAATTTAAATGGGCCGTGCCTGGCCCCAGAACAATTTAATTTAAGGAATTTGAAGGCCTCTTCAAATTTTAAAGGGTCGTCTAAAATTTTAAAGGGCCTTTTTGAATTTTAAAGGGCCTTCTAAAATCTTAAAGGGCCCTTTAAATTTTTTCAACGGCCCTTTAAAATTTTAAACGGCCCTTTAAAATTTTAAAAGGCCCCCTAGATTATTTCAAATTCTTGAAATTCCCTAAAATTTTGAAAGAGACTAAATTATTTTGGGGCGAGGCGCGGCCCATTTAAATTTTTAAAAATCCTTAAAATCCTTAAAATTTTGAAAGCCCTGTGTCTGGCTTTCAAAATTTTAAAGAATTTCAGGGTGCTTTTAAAATTTTAAAAGGCCCTATAAGAATTTAAAAGGCCCTTTTAAAATTTAAAAGGCCCTTTCAAATTTTGAAGGCCTCGTTAAGTTCTTTCAAATTTTGAAAGCCAGACACAGGGCTTTCAAAATTTTAAGGATTTTTAAGAATTTAAATGGGCCGTGCCTGGCCCCAGAACAATTTAATTTAAGGAATTTGAAGGCCTCTTCAAATTTTAAAGGGCCGTCTAAAATTTTAAAGGGCCTTTTAGAATTTTAAAGGGCCCTTTCAAATTTTAAACGGCCCTTTAAAATTTTAAACGGCCCTTTAAAATTGTAAAAGGCTCCTTAGACTCTTTCAAATTCCTAAAACTCCTTATAATTTTGAAAGAAACTAAATTATATTGGGGCGAGGCGCGGCCCATCTAAAATTTTTAGAAATCCCTGAAATCCTTAAAATTTTGAACGCACTGTGTCTGGCCTTCAAAAATTTAAGGAATGTAAGGGTGCTTTTAACATTTTCAAAAGGCCCTTTAAAAATTTAAAAGGCCCTTTAAAAATTTAAAAGGCTCTTTCAAATTTTAAAGGCCTCCTTAAATTCTCTCACATTTTGAAAGCCAGACACAGGGCTTTCAAAATTTTAAGGATTTTAAGGATTTTTAAAATTTTAAAAGGGCCGTGCCTGACCCCGGAACAATTTAATTTTAAGGAATTTGAAGGCCTCTTCAAATTTTAAAGGGCCTTCTAAAAATGTAAAGGGCCCTTTCAAATAGATTTCGAAGAGTAGGATCGGGAGAAAACCACAAGAGACTTTGAATAGGAATATGGGAATACTCTCTTCTCCATAGGAGAATAGGCGTAGGGCCATGGGCAGGAGAGAATGGGCGATGCATGTTTGGGAGTAGGGAGTAGGATGGATTCGACCCTGGGGGTGGGAAAACAAAGCAATGAAAGGGAAATGATTTTCAATGAGTTGTATTGATTTTCAAGAGAGTAAGAGTAAGAGTAGGAGAATTGAAGTGGCTGATACGTGAGTAGGAGTACGGGAAAAGCACTAGAAGATTTGCATAGCAGGACAGTAGGAATAGCAATAGCAGATTCTTGCACAGGCTCTTGCATTCTTGCTCTTCTACTCCTACCTTTCCGTTTCCGTTCTCCCACTGTCATTCTGCTACTCCTTCTCTTGTATTCGCTTTCTCCTGTTACGACTCTCCTTCTCCTATTCAACTTCTACTCCTGCCTTCCTCCTCTCCTACTCCTAATGTATGACTCTAACTGTTACTATCTCTCCGTCTCTTATTTGCATATACATTCCCATCCCCCGACTCCTACCGTCCCATGCCGCTACTCAAGCTCCTGTTTCCTCCACCCCCTTATCCTCCTACTTTTAATGTTCCACTTGTGGAAATCGCAGTTAAATCCATGCATCAGACCAGTGTTCCTGCGAGCATGCAGTCAGTGATTCCTGTTAATGTGTATCCGCGACATGACGGACCGAAGGTCCCCCTTAGTCACGACGGAGCCTCATGAAAGATGGAAAACGTGCGCTGATCGAGTGTGGCCGCCTGTGAGTCCCGAACTTACAGGTGGTAGCGGAGCGCTGGAACTGCTGGGCTTGAGCTCGGCGGTGGAAGCGCTTGACGATCTCTGCTGTCGACCAGGAGATGAGTGCGAGTCGGGACGAGGAAAGGCCAAGGCTGGAGAGGTTCGATGGGTCGGATCCAGCCAGCTACAAAAGATGGCGCCGCAAGGCAGAACTAATGCTCATGGCACTACCAACGACGATGGCGAAAGAAAAATGGGGCCCGAAGCTTTGCGAGTACATCAGTGGCGAGGCTGAAGACGCGATTGAGGGCATTGCCGTGAATAAGCTGGTGGCCGAGGAGGGCCACAAGCTCATCTTTGAGGCATTGGACTCTCGTTACGCGGACTTGGAGCAGGACTCGTTGCAGAAGTACCTCAAGGAGTATTTCTTTGGGTCGCAGATCAAGGCCGGGGAGACCTACCGGAACCTCACGATACGGGTTGACACGGCCTACCGTAATCTCCAGGAGGTGAATGTAAAGCTTCCGGAAGAAGTTCGAGGCTGGTTCTTGCTTCGGAAATTGGCGTTGGACAAGAATGCTGAGGCGATGATCCTGACGGCTACCCAGGGCAGCTTGAAGTATGACGCAATCAATAAGGCGGTCAAGTCTGTGTTTCCCCAGGGAAAATGCTCCACTGTGGCGAACCGCATGAAGGATGTGTACGCTGCAGAGGCTGAGACTGCCGAGAACGAGTTGCCGGAGGAGGGCGAGGACGAGAATGACGTCTTCCAGGTGGTTGCCGATCAGTTCCAGAACCAGGAAAGCTATGACGACGAGGAGGTGCTTGACGTGCTGGAGACTTACCAAGACATTCGAAGGCGACTTCAACAGAAGAAGATGGGAAGGGGATACAAGGCACAACCAACCTCTTGGAGTCTGAGCGGGACGGTTAAGGGACGTTTGGAGCAGCTGAAGCAGAAGACCAAATGCCACATATGCAAGATGCCGGGACACTGGAAGCGGGAATGTCCCAAGCGCCGTGATGCCAATGCGGCGGGGACTACAGCAAAGCATGCCGGGACCAAGGAGGCCATGATCGCAGATGCCGGCTTCCAAGATGGTGACGGGCCGGAGTGGTTCATTCCGGTGGAGCAGATCGAGGAGCTGGATGTGTTCTTGGTTGAGGGTGCCGGGAGCGAGATTGATATCGTCGTGGCAGGTCCGGGTGAAACGGACTGTGAGCAAGTAGATGCCGTGCTGGGGGGCCTTGAAAAAGGGCTACTTTCTCCAGGAGTTTTTGAGGAGGCTTCGGACGCCGCGCGCTCGAGTGATGCATACATGGCTGTGTGCGACGAATCTCGGGAGTCATATGCTGCGTTGTCCACTCATGCTGTACCTGACACTGCTTGCCGTAGGACGCTTATAGGTGAGAAGGTTCTGCGAGGGCTTGAGCATGAGCTTCTTAAGAGGGGGCTCCGTGTCAGGTATGTGAATGAGCGGCACGAGTTTAAATTTGGAAATGCAGGGAAACTGCAGACGCAGCAGAGTGTAGTGATACCGGCTTGCATTGGGGGCAAGCTGATAGCCTTGAAGGCGGCGGTGCTTCCCGAAGCAGGGGCTGATACACCACTTCTTCTTTCCAAAGAGTGTTTGAGGGGTTTGAAGGCGACTCTTGATATGGATAGAGATGTGATGTATGTGGGGAAGCTTGGGGTCAGTATTTGTATGAGAGAGACTGAGAGGGGTCACTATGCAATACCCATTTTGGGCTGCAGAGCGTGTACCAAAGCCACCAGAGAGAAGCCACAGGTCAATGAAGTGCACGAGTCCGTGTGTGCAGCCACCACGGGTACAAGTGCCAAAAGCAGTGACTGTGACCTCTCTTCCCAGCCTTCTCCAGGCGATGTCGATGGGACCCATGGAGACGGAAGCGGAGATCGTGAGCAACACGGCCGGCGTTCCATGGCGAACGGACATCAAGTCCACACCGTTGATGGAGGACCTGTTGGCTGCACTGACGCCAGAACTGGTGTCTCCCGAGCCGACCAGCATGCCGGTGAAGCTGTTGGACAGTCGAGAAGATCAAGAAGGCGACGAGCCAAACGTGCCAATCAACGGCAGCGAGATTCTGGAGATCGGGAAGT